GTTTCTGTGTGCTGCTCTGCAGCGGCGTAGCGTGGGTTGTCAGCACCCAGGGCAAGGCAAGTAATTTGCGCCCCCTAACCCGGGGCAAGGCAAGTAATTTGCGCCCCCTAACCCCTAACCTGCCGCTGCTGCCAGCTTCTTCTTGCTGCTGCCTGGTCTGGTCTGGTGTGGTTCTCTCCTGCGCTCAGTGCTGCGCTGGGCGGCCGCTGCACTGTCCCTCCCCCAGATAGTCCCTCGCTCTCTCTCCGCACCGCACGCCTGGCACCCACCCCTCCACAGTGGGCGGCGACCCAGCGGCTCGGATCGGATTCGCACAGCCAGCACTGCAGTGAGAGAGAGTGAGCCAGGTAGGGGCAGAGAGCTGCGAGTGCGAGCGCGCCCCCCCCCAGATGTTGCGCCCGGTGCGGCCGGCCCCCCTGCACCCCCCACGCTACGCCACTGCTGCTCTGGTTCACCAGAAGCGGCTTAGTCATGCTGGCCACATGACCTGGAAGCTGTCTGCAGACAAACACCGGCTCTCTCGGCTTATAGAACGAGATGAGCACGCAACCCCAGAGTCGGCCACGACTGGACCTAATGGTCAGGGGTCCCTTTACCTTTACCTATCGGGCTGAATGACCAACTACCTCAGATGGTGCCACTTTGACAGACGAGAGACTATTTGAACCTCTCCAAAACATCTCATGCACAAAGCACAGGCAAGATACTAAAGGAGGCCTTTTGCACCCTTCTTTCCCACCCCCAGCCTTCATGGCAGGTACAGTGTGCATTTCTGGTCCTGTCTCTTTTTACATCGCAGAGTCCTGCAATCTTGCTCATTCCCCGCTCTCACGAGGTTGGTTTTCCTATCGCTTGACATACGAGCTTCTCCAGGAAAGATCCCAAGTTAAGATGCTCATATGCAAAGCGAAAGGACAACAGCCACCATAGAAGGAATACATTAATTTTAGTCCGAGAGCTCCACTGGAGAAGAAGAAGTTAGGCCTCAAACACCACCAAAAGGTGCAAAAACACAGCACTGGAATATTTCCGTTTCTACAAAAGACATTTCCTTTTCAGGAACACGAGAAAAGGCTCTCTCAAGGGCAAAACATTGTTCTTAGTGGATCTGAAAACAGCCAGAAATCTTCCTCAACATTTAAAATGAGTTGGTGTGAGAAGCAGGAGATACTTTAGCAAAGCCATCTCTTGGGAACTGCTGGAAATATCTCTTGCCAATTTCCCCCAAAGGCTCGACAGGTGGCAGCAGAGCTTGGCTTTCACGGGAGGCCAGTATAGCTGATTCGGCCTTGAAAAGGGTGAAGCGAACACGGCCTTGTTGTTGTTTAGTCGTTTAGTCGTGTCCGACTCTTCGTGACACATGGACCAGAGCACACCAGGCACTCCTGTCTTCCACTGTCTCCTGCAGTTTGGTCAAACTCATCCTGGGAGCTTCGAGAACACTGTCCAACCATCTCGTCCTCTGTCATCCCCTTCTCCTTGTGCCCTCCATCTTTCCCAACATCAGGGTCTTTTCCAGGGAGTCTTCTCATGAGGTGGCCAAAGTACTGGAGCCTCAGCTTCAGGATCTGTCCTTCCAGTGAGCACTCAGGGCTGATTTCCTTCAGAATGGATAGGTTTGATCTTCTTGCAGTCCATGGGACCCTCAAGAGTCTCCTCCAGCACCATAATTCAAAAGCATCAATTCTTAGGTGATCAGCCTTCTTTATGGTCCAGTTCTCACTTCCACACATCACTACTGGGAAAACCATGGCTTTAACAGGCCTTTGTCGGCAAGGTGATGTCTCTGCTTTTTAAGATGCTGTCTAGGTTTGTCATTTTCTCCCAAGAAGCAATTTTCATATTGGAGGGAAGCTTTGGAAAGGAGCTTGGAGGCAGGAGACCTCTAGGTCCCTGTCAGAGCCCCCACTTTTTCCTGGTTTCAGGGAGGCAGCACAAGGGTTGGGGTGCCGGGGTGTGTGTGTCAAAAGTTGCCTAGAAAAGGTGCCACATGTTGAACCACCTTGGACTAGGAAATGTTTTACAGCATACACTCATGGATTTACATCTGACGAATTGTGTCGCACTCAGTAGAAGTTTGTGCCATAATCACCTGGTATTCTTTACGTTGCCATAAAACTCTTCGCCCTGTCTCCACTGCTGATTAGAGGATGCTGAGGTGAATTAATTATTACTTGGGTGTGTGTGTTATTGGGTTGTTGTTTTTATTCTGATTATTTATGTGATCTTTTCTGTGAACCGCCCTGAGACCTCCGGGTATAGGGAGGTATATAAACTCAATAAGTAACAAAATAATAATAATAATTACTTAGGCTAGGGTAACTGCAAACGTTCTACACATTTCCATAGATTCCTGTGGGACAGTAAGAAAACAATGCAAATCTCCTTCAGGAGAAGACGACCGTCTATGCCTGTTGATCACTCAGCATTAGTCTGCAAAGCAGGCAGGGCATTATTAAGACTCGTATAAGTGATGACAAACCTAGACAGCATCTTAAAAAGCAGAGACAAAGGTCCGTATAGTTAAAGCTATGGTTTTCCCAGTAGTGATGTATGGAAGTGAGAGCTGGACCATAAAGAGGGTTAGGGTTTGCTGCCGAAGAATTGATGCTTTTGAATTATGGTGCTGGAGGAGACTCTTGAGAGTCCCATGGACTGCAAGAAGATCAAACCTATCCATTCTTAAGGAAATCAGCTCTGAGTGCTCAATGGAAGGACAGATCCTGAAGCTGAGACCCCAGTCCTTTGGCCACCTCATGAGAAGAGAAGACTCCCTGGAAAAGACCCTGATGTTGGGAGAGATGGAGGGCACAAGGAGAAGGGGACAACAGAGGACGAGATGGTTGGACCGTGTTCTCCAAGCTAACAACATGAGTTTGACCAAACTGTGGGAGGAAGTGGAAGACAGGAGGGCCTGGCGTGCTCTGGTCCATGTGTCACGAAGAGTCGGACACAACTAAACGACTAAACAACAACAACAATAAATGTTATTCCTGCCCCTCCTTATTAGTGATGCAGTATACCTCTACATTGGGATGCGGTGGCGCTGTGGGTTAAACCACAGAGCCTAGGACTTGCCGATCAGAAGGTCGGCGGTTCGAATCCCACGACGGGGTGAGCTCCTGTTGTTTGGTCCCTGATCCTGCCAACCTAGCAGTTCGAAAGCACGTCAAAGTGCAAGTAGATCAATAGGTACCGCTCCGGCGGGAAGGTAAAAGGTGTTTCTGTGCGCTGCTCTGGTTCGCCAGAAGCGGCTTAGTCATGCTGGCCACATGAGCTGTACGTCGGCTCCCTTGGCCAATAAAGCAAGATGAGCGCCGCAACCCCAGAGTCAGTCACGACTGGACCTAAACGGTCTGGGGTCCCTTTACCTTTACACCTCTATATTCCTTCTAGAAGCCTCATTGTTGGGTAGAGCATCTTGCTAATGTGGCATAATAATCCTTCAAGCCCCATAATAAAGTGTTGGGATCCTTGTGTGGCATGCATTGCTATCCCAAAAGGCAAGAACGGCAGCTTTGAAGTGCAATGCAGCTGTTGCGTACATCGATTCATGAATCAGGGCAGAACTGGGAGTGCAGAAAAGAAATCCTGCTGGCAGAGATTATAGTGGGAACGGACAACCGCTGTGTCGTGATCTTTGCCCGCAGAAGGCACCAGGAGCAAAGTCACACACCCAGCACAACCACCCACCTTTGCAATAGAGGATTTATTTCATTTTTCAGCTTAAAACTTTACAGTCACATATCCAACTGAAATGGGGTTTAAAATTCACTTGAAAGAAAATTATATGAAAAGGATGTACCGCTAGCAGTGCTTTTCTTCTGGGGCGTACGCAGGGGTACGCATACCCCTAAACATTTTGTGAATCTAAGTCTGGCCTCATTGAGGGGCAGTATTTCAATAGGAATAGGAAAAGAGAGTACCCCTAAACATTTTTTTTAGGGGGGGAAAGCACTGACCGTTGGTATTTAACTTTTGCTAGTCAATTAGCAAAAATGTATAAAATGTATACAAAAATGTATAAAACGGGGTCAAATGTACACTGGAAATGTAAGGGAAAAGAAGGCACCTTTTATCATATGTGGTGGAAATGTAAGGTAGTAAAAGAATTTTGGGAAATGATATATAATGAGTTGAAAAAAATGTTTAACATAACCTTTGCTTTAAAAAAAGAAACCTTCCTTTTAGGAATTCTAGGTGCCGATATCCCAAGGGAGCAGAAAAGACTATTTATGTATGCAACCACGGCTGTGCGGGTGTTATTGGACCAGAAATGGGGGGAAGCTTCACTTGTTTTTTCCTCTCTCAGACATTTTATACTGCATAGTTTGCGGCCGACCACTCCACCTGCGAAAAAAAAGGACATCACTTTGCATCTGACACTAAGCATACTGTATGCAGATTTGTGCAAATTGTGTCCTCTTCTGCAAGGGCTGACTTCCTTCCCCCTCTTTCTGCGGTTCCTTCAGTTTATTTTTTAATAACTGCTGCATATCCAAATTAATTTACTTTACTCATTTAATTATCTACTCTGCAGGCTATTGCAACAATCCTGCCAATGTTTTTATCCGTTTGCAATTTATTCAAGGAACCATTTCCATTCTTCTATAAAAAGTTCATCTTGATTTCTTATTCTTCCGGCAAGTTTCGCCATCTCTGCATATTCCATAAGTATTTTTTAATCCACTCTCCCTTTGCTTCTTTCCATTTTCGGGCAAGTAGCATTCTTGCCGCTGCAGTCGCATACATGAATAAATTTCTATATAACTTAGGCTAGAATTCCCAGTCCAGTTTCAAGCCGGCGCCCCCCCCCCGCCCCCAGGTACCGCCCGGCTTCTCCCTTTGCGCCGGAGCCGCCGACTCGACGGCTTTTCCTGCTACACGGAAGCCGCCTTGGGGGGGTCCTATCGCTTTTCCGACCCCCGGGACGGAGAGAGGGTGGTCCGGACGGAGAGGAAGCGCGCCCGGCCGCGCGGCTCCTCCTTCGCGGGCGGCGCATGCCGGGAAGCGGCGGCGGCGTGCGCTCTCCCGACCGGAGCTTCCTCGGGGCGGTGCCGTCCCGGGGCCCGCCTCCCCGGGTTGAGGCCGAGGGGCCGCCGCCGCCGCCGGACCGAGGGAGCGCCAGGACAGCGCGATCGCCCGTCCGCCTGCGCCTTCCCGCCGCCCTCCTCCCCGCGATGCCCGTCGGGGCCTCCCCGTCGGCCAAGACCCGCTACAGCCTGGTGGACGACCGGCACGACCTGCGCGTCCCGCTGCACAACGACGACGCCTTCCAGCACGGCATCGCCTTCGAGGCCAAGGTAGGCGCCCGGCGAGAGGTCGAGAGGGCTCCTGAGCGCGTACAGAAAGCCTCTCCTTTCCGAGGCGCGCGCTCGGGAAGCGCTTCTCCCAGCGGTGCTTTGTGGGGACGGCAATTGGCCTCATCTGTTCCTTGGGATGAGGTTGTGCGCTCTGCACGTGCTCCAGAGCACCCTTGCTCCGCATCTGGATGCCAGCCTCGACGGGGGAGAAGGGAGTGTAGGGGCCAGCCCGGTTCGAGTCGAAGGAAAGAGCGCTTTGGAGGGGGGGTGTCCTGTTGTCTCGCAAGGCTCGCCCGTGCCAAGGCGAGGAGGTGGTTCCGAGTCTGCTTGTGCCCCGCGCAAAGGGCACGAGGTCTGCCCAGGGAGTGGGCACCGAGCAAGCTGGCTTTCCTGGGTGCCCCTTCCTGGTGCCCTTTGCTGGGATCTCCAATAATAACCTCAAATATACCAATTTATAATACAGTTATTAATAGCAATAGCCTGCTGGGATCTCCAAGTCCCGGAGTGGCACGGGAGCAGGTGCCCTTTGTCTCTTGTTTGCCAAGCAGGCAGGTGTGCCCTCTTCTTCCCCTCCCTGCCAGGAGAGAAACAGGGCAGCGCTTACCCACCTGCCCTCTCCGCTCTTGGCTTGCTCTGAATCAGGAGGGGAGACCCTGGGCAAAGGCGGCTGGGCATCTCAGGTTGCTGGTGCCAGCTTTGTGCTGGGGTCCCTGCCATGGCACCTGCAGGCACTGCCCCCTTCATCTTGGGGGGTGGCTTTTGCTTCTCCCCTCCCCTTTTAAAAGTGAATAGAGTTGAAGGACGAAGTTGAAACTCGCTTTGCTTTCCAGTCCTTGGTCAGTCAGAGCGATGGAGAGAAAGGGTGGGTGGGTGGGTGTGATTTGGGGGGGAGAAAGATGGTGCGGGGGGGGAATGTGGGATGCCACCGGAGCCGAGGGAGAAAGGGGTGACATCTTCTTCTTCTTCTTTGTCGATCACTCGTAGCCAAGTAAGATTGTTTTCCATAAACACGGTTTTAACAATGAGTCCAAAAGGGACTGTGGAGGCCAATTCTGGATCCACACGTCCTTCCACAGTGGGGACATTGGTTTCCGGGCGGGAGTTGATCACGGTGTGGATTTGCCAAGTGTGCCTTCCTCTTAGCACGTTTCTCCCTTGCGACCTGAGTTCAAGTGTCTTCAAAGCCCATGACACCTTTGGTAAAGGCTGTTCTCCAATTGGAGCGCTCACAGGCCAGTGCTTCCCAGTTGTCAGTGTTTATACTACATTTTTTTAGATTTGCCTTGAGAGAGTCTTTAAACCTCTTTTGTTGACCACCAGCATTACGCTTTCCATTTTTAAGTTCGGAATAGAGTAGTTGCTTTGGAAGACGATTGGGTGACATAGTGCTGTTGAAATTGCATTTTTAAAATGTGTCGTCTGTCCCCCCCAGCAACCCCTGTCCTGCTTCATCCTTCACCTCAGCCAGAAAGCTTTCTCTCTGCCACATACTTTGGCACAGCCTCCTAATGTACCCTGACTGCGTTACGTTGATCACCCATTGCTCAAAACAATGACAACAACCTAAATGACAACAAAAACGATGACAACAACCTATTGCTCATTCCGCCTCTAAAGCACGCTGCACTGGCCTTATTATTATCATTATTTATTGAATTTATATACCGCCCTATACCTGGGAGTCTCAGGGCGGTTCGCAGAATAAAATCAAGATATAAAACCACAAAATACATAATAAAAACAACCATCCAATACCCCCTCCAAAAAAAAACATTTTAAAAGGGCATAGGATGTCAATCGGGTCAACCAAAGGCCTGTTTAAAAAGGAATGTGTTTGGCTGGTGCCTAAAGGTGTCTAATGAAGGTGTCAGGCGAACCTCCCTGGGGAGAGCATTCCACAGATGGGGAGCCACTGCAGAAAAGGCCCCGTTCTCGTGTTGCTACCCTCCGAACCTCTCGAGGAGGAGGCACACGAAGGAGGGCCTCAGAAGATGATATCAGGGTCTGGGTAGCTTCATATGGAAAGAGGCAGTCCTTGAGGTATTGTGGTCCTGAACTGTTTAAGGTTTTATAGGTCAAAACCAGCACTTTGAATTGGGCCCGGAAATGAATTGGTATCCAGTGCAGTCGGACCAGGATTGGTGTAATATGTTCAAACCGTCTTGCTCTGGTGAGCAACCTGGCTGCTGAATTCTGCCTTATCACAAGGCAAGCAAGGGCAGGAAGCAACGGAAGACAGAAGCAGGCATTGCATCTTAGCAGTGCCAGGGAGGGGAGTGTGGGAATAGGTTGGACTCATGGATAGAGCAGCGGACCATCTGGTGTGGGGCTCCGTAGGGAGACAGCTTACCCATGTGAGTAAGTGTAGGAGCGGAACAAAATGGGCAAGTAAGAGGAAATTTGAGCGTCCAGGGAAGGAATATTGTGATCTGCTTTGGAAAGACACTTGGTTTTGCAAAACAGCATGCATTAAATAAATCAATAAATCAAATTAGGCGACGTATTGCAGCAAACAACAGGGACGCGGGTGGTGCTGTGGGTTAAACCACAGAGCCCAGGACTTGCCGATCAGAAGGTTGGCGGTTCGAATCCCGGTGACGGGGTGAGCTCCCGTTGTTTGGTCCCTGCTCCTGCCAACCTAGCAGTTCGAAAGCACCTCAAAGTGCAAGTAGATAAATAGGTACCGCTCCAGCGGGAAGGTACCGTATTTTTCGCTCTATAACACGCACCCGACCATAACACACACGCAGTTTTTAGAGGAGGAAAATCCGTAGGCATGCCACCCATAGGCATACCCTCCATAACACGCACAGACATTTCCCCTTACTTTCTAGGAGGAAAAAAGTGAGTGTTATGGTGCAAAAAATACGGTAAATGGCGTTTCCATGTGCTGCTCTGGTTCGCCAGAAACGGCTTAGTCATGCTGGCCGCATGACCTGGAAGCTGTACGCCAGCTCCTTCGGCCAATAAAGCGAGATGAGCGCCGCAACCCCAGAGTCGGTCACTACTGGACCTAATGGTCAGGGGTCCCTTTACATTTACCTATTGTAGCAAACAGACTCTGGGAGTTTTGTAACCTGCACCGACACAGAATCACTAAAAAGTCCACACCAGCAATTGGTACCCACATGTCCGTTCATGCTTATGTATGTTCCATCCTGTGTGTTATCCAACTTAGTGCTACATTTCCATGTTGGATAAAAGTAAGTAATATTCATGAACGATGCCTTATTATGCATTTGGACAGGTATTCTGTTGCCCTCTAAACATTAGACTGTTGTTTGTCTCCCATAATCATTTCTCCCCTCTTAAATTGCATGCAGTGATTATTTTCTTCTTTTTTTAAAAAAAAAGCATCGGGTTAGGCACATTTCCACCTGTTCACCAATCTCCCGTTCATTCTTTGTGTAGTTGTGAGGCAGGGTTCTGACATCGCCCAGCCCTGACTAGTTCTGAATGTTGTCGCTCTTTTATTAATTTATTCATTTTACATGTGCATCAAAGCAATTAATAAACATGTCATTAAAACATTATAGAATGTCATTACTGCTCTCTGCTATCATCATGAATTTGCACGTGTGACCCCGTCACTTCTGGCTATATGGGGCCTTGTCTTCATTTTTTAATTTTTATTTTCGTAAGCTGACAACATGGGTTATGATGAACTTTAAAGCACTAGCAGACTTGCAAATAGTTGCTTTCGTGGTTGCTTAGGACAAATAAGAATTGCCTTGGTAACCAGGCAAGAACTTAGCTCTTTCTTGAGCACAGATGAATCACACAGATATGTTGGGGTGGGCAGACTAGGTTTTTTTTTGTTTGTTTATGATGGATATTTAGTTAGAGTTAAATACTGTGGGGTTTTTTATTATTTTTGTTTGTTACTATGTTATGCAATTTTGTGTTTTTATATTGTAAACTGCCCTGTGAGCCTTGGATAAGAGGTAAAATAAAATAAATGAATGAATCAATAAAATAAGAGTTGGGCAGATTTTCACATGTTGATTATTGTTAAGGAATTAAAGTCACTGGAACAACAAAATGGTTTTGACTTTTCCCAACTCTCCATAATGTAATGTTCTCACTTGCAGCAGTATTTCGTATGTTTACTTCCGTCGGCGCCTCTCACCTTCCATGGGGCAAGCAGAATTTAGTTCCACACATCTCGTCGCATCGTTTCCCAAGCTTGGAATTTTAATGGGACTCCCTTCTGACTAGACTGCATTCACTTTTCTGATGTTTCCTTACCTGATTTTTTGAATACGTTTCATGCCATCTTTCCCGTGACATAAAAGCTACTTCTAGAAATCTAGTGGGAGTTTAGCACTCATTTCCATGTTAAACTGCTTCCAGGGAGGAAAAATCAGTTTGCAGTATTGTTAACCTGGAAAATAACAGGAGTTTTGCACTGCAATTTGGCAAGGTTTTCATGCCTCAAGCCGTGTGATGAATTTTGGGCTGATATTCGAGCATGCAGTTATTTCCTGCCAATTTTGTGAGTGAAATGGGGACAGACGGACTGGGGACAGAAGCCCTGCTATAGAATCACTATCAATGAAATGCTGAATCTTCTTGTCAGCTGGGGAGATGGTTGTCCCAACAGCTAGCCTTATTTGAGGACTGTAGCCATCAGTTAAGATATTGCTTCCCATTGCTAGAATGAAGTGGACAGGACAGTGGTGGGTGCAAAACACGACCAGATCCAGATGTTCTCTGGGTGATATGTGACTGAGTGTGTGGTTGACGGACACCATTAAAGGAACATCAGAGATGTTGCTCTTCTCTGTGTGTATATGTGTTAATGCTCAGGATGCATGATGTCAAGTGCAAAGCATGGAGATGCTGAGCTGTACTGAAAAAATATAATGTGTAAATGTCTTTAAAAGGGTATTGCAACTCTTAAGATGGGCAGTTCCAAAGTGCTGGCATTTTAGGCCATCTTCTGAATTTGCACTGCTTGCCCTTGAATTTCTTCGGAAGGTTCAGTTCTTCTTGGCAGGTTCAGTTCTTCCGCCTCTCCACAGTTACACACATTAGCCTTGCTGACATATTTAGCATTCAATATTTCCATAGCTTGATATACAAAGTTCCTCTGATATCGATGTTTCCAAATGGTGGGTTTTCCCAGAAATGTTTTTGAGTAATCTTTCTGCATCCTTCTGATAACCTTTGTTGGTGATTTAGCAATGCGCTGTGGACTCAACCACTAAGCCTCTTGGGCTTGCGGATCAGAAGGTTGGCGATTCGAATCCCCGCAACAGGGTGAGCTCCCCTTGCTCTGTCCCAGCTCCTGCCAACCTACCAGTTCAAAAGCACGCCAGCGCAAGTAGATAAATAGGTACCGCTGCGGCGGGAAGGTGAACGGCGTTTCCGTGCACTCTGGTTTCCATCACGGTGTCCCATTGCGCCAGAAGCGGTTTAGTCCTGCTGGCCACATGACCCAGAAAGCTGTCTGCGGACAAACGTTGGCTCCCTTGGCCTGAAAGCGAGATGAGTGCAGCAACCCCATAGTCTCATTTGACTGGACTTAACCATCCAGGGGTCCTTTACCTTACCTTTACCTTATTCCCTCTCCCGCTGCTTTAATTCTGAAAGAGCCCAAAGTATTGGTGTTTGCAAGCAGGCTGTTCTGTTGTGCCAGAGGGGGCCAGATTCCTGTTCGAGATTCCATTCCACCTTTTGGTTCAGACGTGGAACTATTTCACGTCACATGTCTGTTTACATTCCATCACTGTTTGCTGGCATAAGCGGAACATCCATTGTGTTGCTTTTGCTTTTGCTTCTCTGTCTCTCTCGGAAGGACGGCAAAGAGAGACGACATGTTTCTTTGTCTTGATTTAAGTTTAATAAATCCGTAGTTTGTTAAGTATGTCTTCATATGGCTCAAGCCTCTTTCATTGCTCAGTTTTGCTCTGCGAAATGAACTGTGTCCATGTCAGCAGACTTGGGTCACTGATTTATGTCGCACCAGAGGTCGGAGGTTCTTCGCAGCGTGACGGTTGGAAGGAGACGATCAAGCTAGGGGCTAGCCAGCTGGCCTTTTGACCCATGGGGTAGCAGTAAGACTGTGCTTTTAGAGCTGGACAACTGCACTGACCTCTCATTATTCCCCACCCGCCTTCTGCCATTATCTAGCATTGGGAACGATGAAGGTGAGATCATGAATTCCCATCTTGCCTGAGGTGGAACACGATGGAGGGTCGGTATTGGGTCTTGTAGCCCTGGGAGGAGTACAAAAGCGAGACAAGAAACTTGGAGAAGCTCCAACCTCGACACAGTCTTTCCCAGTGATCTGGGAACCCTGACTCTGGGGGGAATAGCTAGAAATGCATCACTAGTTTTCCTATAATATCTGGGCTAATTTGATCGAAGGAGGGTGACTTGCCCAAGGTCTCGCCTGAGATAGGTCAGGCCTGAAGCTGTGCTTTCCAGACCTAAGCCCAACTTGTCATCAGTTCCTACTGGGCACAGAGCCAGTACAGTGGTACCTCGGGTTACAGATGCTTCAGGTTACAGACTCCACTAACCCAGAAATAGTACCTCGGGTTAAGAACTTTGCTTCAGGATGAGAACAGAAATCTTGCGGCAGCAGCGGGAGGCCCCATTAGCTAAAGTGGTACCTCAGGTTAAGAACAGTTTCAGGTTAAGAATGGACCTCCGGAACGAATTAAATTCTTAACCCGAGGTACCACTGTAAAACTCCGCAACTGGATGTTCATAAACAAAGCATCATCTTCATGCCATCTGTGTATAAGACAACTTTTCACAGCGGTGGCAAACTCTGCCCGCCATGGGGATATTGGGTTCCCCCCAGATCTCCCCCAATGGCTGCCCAGGCTGGCTGGCTGGGGCTGATGTACGTTGGAGCCCAATGACACCCAAAAGGCCACAGATCTGCCACCCACGTTGTACAACCGCTACACTCCGTAAAAACTCTTCGCTGAAATATTTTGGCAGCAGGTTCCTCCACCCAGTTTGGGGTGAGTTAATTACTACTCTCTCTAAATCCCATTTCCTCTGGTTTTGGATTGTGGAGCAATTCATTTCATGTCGGAAACAACAACAACAAAAAGTTCACAAAGGAGAGCGGGGTGGTGGCAGGCAGGTGGGCAAATGCCAGCTCTCTGGTTAGGTGTCAGGACAAGCAAAGTTGCATGTGCTGTTCAAACAACGGAGGAGAGGGAGAGAAGTCTATGCAAAGAGCTGAGCTGGGAGAAGTCTGTGCGAAGAGACATGTGAAGATTCCTTTCATAGGAAGACTGAGCTTTGGGCGTGGGGAGAGAGGGTTTTATTCTGCCAGGAGGACTAATTTGGCAGCAGCAGAAGATGGTGTTTTCATATTATAAATGGCATGCATTCCCAGGACCACATTACTCCTGCTCTGGCTTTTTAAATACCTTCCGACAGTTCTACATGTTTTATTTTGCAACCAGGACATGGGTGGCGTTGTGGTCTAAACCACGGAGCCTCTTGGGCTTGCCGATCAGAAGGTTGGCGGTTTGAATCCCCGTGACGGGGTGAGCTCCCGTTGCTCTGTCCCAGCTCCTGCATTTCCGTGCGCTCTGGTTTCTGTTGCGCCAGAAGCGGTTTAGTCCTGCTGGCCACATGACCCGGAAAGCTGTCTGTGGACAAACGCCGGCTCCCTCGGCCTGAAAGCGAGATGAGCGCCCCAACCCCAGAGTCGGTTACGACTGGACCTAATGGTCAGGGGTCCCTTTACCTTTACCTTTACCAACTACTGAAGTAAAATATTACTGAGCATGAACTATGCACATCAGATATTTAAAGAATATTCTCTATTAACATTTGTAAATAATAATTATGAGAATTTTTGGAAGCAACACTCTTAGGACGGGCAGAAATTCAGCAGATGATGTTTTCCCTATCGTTGCTAATGCAGGGCTGAATTCTTAGTAAATGTAAAGGTAAAGGGACCCCAGACAGTTAAGTCCAGTCATGAACAACTCTGGGGTTGCGCGCTCATCTCGCTTTACTGGCCAAGGGAGCCGGCGTTTGTCCGCAGACAGTTTTTCCAGGTCATGTGCCCAGCATGACTAAGCTGCTTCTGGCAAACCAGAGCAGCACACGGAAACGCTGTTTACCTTCCCGCTGGAGCGGTACCTATTTATCTACTTGCACTTTGATGTGCTTTCGAACTGCTAGGTTGGCAGGAGCTGGGACCGAGCAACGGGAGCTCACTCTGTCTTGGGGATTCGAACTGCTGACCTTCTGATGGACAAGCCCAAGGCTCAGTGGTTTACACCACAGCGCCACCCGCGTCCCCTAGATTCTTACTACCTAGCTCTTAGGACATAGTACTTCTTTTAAGAAACAAAAAACCCAAAACCTATTCACATGAAGAGTTAGACACAACTAAACCTAGTGGAATCATTGCGCTGAAGAACACCAACTCTTTATAGGACTGGACTGTGATCCATCCAGCTCCTCTGAGCGAATTGTAATTCTGGGTAACAGGTCTACTCAGATTGAAGTTTGCGTGTGAGATGATGAACTGTTTGGACATGTTTGTGTTTAGGTACAGTTAAAGAAAGATGGTTAAACATTCTGCAGCGTTGCCTTGTGCATATTTTCTCGGCCATTCCATCCCATAACTGCCCACCCCCATGCATGTGCCTTTTCTCCATGAACGAGCCCTGATTAAGATATTCTGAAAGTTAAAGAGTAGGCAATTTAGGGTGTCGGCCTAAGTGCACAGCAGTTAGTGGTTGGCAAGGAGAGAGTTCAAGGAGCCTGCTTTGGTTGAGATGGAGATAAGATAGGTGACAATTCCCTTGTGCATCTCCTTGCCTCTTCCACGATGGACCCAAATGCCTTCCAGTCTGTTCCTTCAGCTGCTCAATGCAAGATTGGTGCTAATCTGCATTTGGGACTATAATTGTAAAGCATTCCTGTTTTTCAAATTGCAGGGAGTACGATTTTGAATTAAGTACGAGGAACCTGAAAGGGGAGTTTAGAACCAGAACTGGCTCCCCAGGAGGTTGTGAAATCATCTGACTTGAGGAAGTTTTCCAGAAAGGAGAAGTTACTGGGGTGGTTTAGACATAGGTGGTCACAGGGACTCGGAAATGCTGTGAAAGGATGGGAAAATGATTCCCCCAACCATGAAAGCCTTTTCTCCCCAAGCAATTGAGGAGGAGGGTGAAAGAGGACTGCAAGGGCCCAGTACAGACCCTCCAAGTGCCCCTATTTTCCAGGGACAGTCCCAGATTTACAGAAGCCATCCTGGTTTCTGATTTGATCCCGGAATGTCCCGCTTTTCCTTAGAACATGCCAGTTTTCATCGGTGAAATGTTGTAGGGTCTGGAGTTATGTGACCTTCAAGTCAAGGAGATAAGATAGAGACTTTAGGAGACATTTGCCCTGTATTGGGTAGGTTTTTTAAATGCTTACTATTTCATTATGTTTATTTATTTGGTTTTTCAGATTATAATTTTACAACCACATATCCAACATATAAAACAAGATTCCGAAGAATCTCCTGGACTCCCTTGCTCCCCTTTGTGGGTCCTATTGTTAATCATTTCCTCCTGTATCTTTTATAATAATCCAATTCTTTTATCTCTCCATTCTATCCAAAATTCACCATTAAACTGCAAGTCATATTCCAACCCTACAAACGATTTTAACTGTTTACAATGGTCTTTAAGATAAATTATGAATTTTCCCCATTTTGGCATAATCCATCAACTTGATCTGCCTTTCTTCTCTGGTTGGGGACTTTATCTTCTTTCCATCTCTGGGCCAATAACATCCGTGCAGCCGTGATCACATACATAAATAGTATTCTCTGCTCCTTTGGGATTTCGGCAGCTAAAATTCCTAAAGGAAAGGCCTCATGGGGTTTTTTTAATAGAAAAAGTTATTTTAAATATTTTATTCAGTTCATTATATATCAGTTTGTTTGTTTTGAAGGGAAGGGAGGTTCAAAGAGTAAATGAATCTATGTGACTTTAGCAAAAATGTATCAAAGATTTAAGAAAAATAGACTGTTAATTGGTGAAAAGAGGGAAAGTAAACCTATATTAAGATCAAGATAAATTTTCAGGATAAGAATTTTGAAGAGAGGGAAAGGATTTGCTGAAATGGATAATTGACTTAGAATACAAAAAAGGGAGGTGTGAGGAGGTCAGGGAAACAAGCAATTGAAAGATAAGTTATGGGAAGGTTCGATTTGTCTTTTTTTCTTTTTGTTGTTTTTAAGTGTTCTTATTTTTCTGTTTTTTATTGTGATATGTTGTTTTGCTATTGTTTAATTTGGTGTTTTTTCTGTTTTCTTTTGCCTTTTTGTAAACTTAAAACCTTAATAAATACTATTTAAAAAAACAACAACAAAGAGTAATGCCTCCCCCTTGAACATATCTAAAGCAGCTGTCAGTCAGGATTTTCTTCTGATATAAAAGGGCTTTAACAGGTGGGTGATGTCCAGGGCCGTCTTAAGCATATCTGGTGCTGTGGTGCAAAGATCCCTCTGGCGCCACCCCCTGGGCAACTCCAGAACAAGGGAAGGGGCTGGTGGAAAATGTCCTCTGCCTCCCCCACTGCCCTGATCCCCGGCGTGGCGGTGGCGATCCAGCAGGAAAACGGGCTGGCAGACATCCTCTCTGGCATCAGGGCGCCCGAGAAGGCAGCCCAGGAAGGCTGCGTGCCGCCTTTCACCAGAAAGCAGAAGAAGGACAACGACCGGGAACAGGACTGTCTTTAGCAGATGCAGAGGTTTGGGAGGGAAGCTGCGCTCCCGCCAGCTATATACCGCATTTTTCGCTCTACAAGACGCACCCGGCCATAAGACGCACCTAGTTTTTAGAGGAGGAAAACAAGAAAAAAACTATTCTGAATCAAATGTTAAAGAGGAAGGAGGAGGGAGGATTAGGCTAAGGAGCCGCCGGTCCGTCCGCCCCTTTGGGGAAGCTGGATCTGCTGGCCACCTAACAGCGTTGTCCCTGCTGGGGGGATCGGAGGAGGCAGGCGAGGCGAAGCGACACTCTTAGGGAGCCCTTAGGGAGCCCTTCCTTTCCTCCTCCCGCCTTCACTGAAGGGGCCAGCAGAGCAAGAGGGATTGGTGCGCAGCGCCTCTTGGTCTGCTGGCTTCCCAGCGAAGCAGGATGAGGGACGGAAGGGGCTCCCTAAGGGCTTCCTTCTGTCCCTCATCGTGCATCGCTGGGAAGCCAGCACAGCAAGAGGCGCTGCAAAGCAATCCCTCTTGCTGTTCTGGATTCTGGGATAGTTGCGCAGCCTGCATTCGCCCCATAAGACGCACACACATTTCCCCTTTTTAGGAGGGAAAAGGTGCGTCTTATAGAGCGAAAAATACAGTAGTTGGCGGGGCGCAGCTGGCGGGCATGCAGGGAAAGGGGAGGCTGCCGGCGAAGCCGCGCAGCTCCCCCAGTCGCTAGGGTGCCCCTGAGAGGCCGGCTCCCTGGCGCAGCAGACCACTAACACCAATGGGAAAGACGGCTCTGGCGATGTCTCTGAAACTCCCTTTGCCGGGCCTACATTAGCTGCTTATGTGCTGCTTCTATGGGAAAGATAAGGAGTGGAGAGAAGGGACGGCTTTGTTGCTTAGCCTAGCACACAGCATGCGTCCCTTGATTTCTTAATGGTTCATTTTACATATCAAAAATCCCTGCATATTTTACAAAAACTATACCATTCCGCATTCCATTGTTGCATCCATCAAAACTTGTTTACACTGTTGAATTTATCTCAGTGCCGCCAGCGTTTTCAGCTGTAAACAGTTAGTTCCAGGGCCGTCTTAAGCATATCTGGCGCCATGGTGCAAAGATCCCCCTGGCGCCTCCACCTTTCCCAGAGTTTTCAACCTTTTTTTAGGGCTGGAGGAGGCGGGCAGCGGCTGGAGGGCAGCTCCTCCGGCAGGGAAGAGGTGGAGGCTGGACGCAGCGCCTCCTGGCTCAGCTGCCCGCTTCGTGCCACGGTGGCCACAGCAAGCAGCACACCGAGCGAGCGTGCCTGCGCCAAGTGAGCGAGGGCGCGTGCGCCGCTCTCGCTGAGTGCCGGCTCAGTTTTTTCCCTTTCAGCCTTCTGGCGCCCTGCATAATTCAGCGCCTGCAGGCTAAAAGGGAAAAAACCAAGCCGACACTCAGCGGGAGTGGCGCATGCACCCTCGCTCACTCAGCAGGCTCGTTCGGTGTTCCCCGGACTTTCGCTTGGCGCCCTCCAGAACTGGGCGCCCTGGTGTCCTGTGCCATTAGCCTCTACGGGTAAGACGGGCTGTTTATTTCCCATATATTCAATAAACCTTTTCCAATCGTCTTGTTCTCTTATTCCACAAATTAAGTCTGCAAGCTGTGCATACTGAGTCAACTTAAGTTGCCATTTTTCTTTGGTTGGGACCACGCTCGTTTTCCATTTTTGGGCTGCAGTAGTGGCATACATAAGTAACCTTTTTTGACACCTGGGAATTTCAGTCTGAATTATCCCCAACAGAAAGGACTCTAGTTTAGTACTTTAAACATTTTTTTTCACTTCATTATGCATCATTTCCCAATACTCTTTTACCCTTTTACGTGTGTCTTGTTGTTGTTGTTTAGTTGTTTAGTCATGTCCGACTCTTCGTGATCCAAAGGACCAGAGCACGCCAGGCACTTCTGTCTTCCACTGCCTCCCGCAGTTTGGTCAAACTCATGCTGGTAGCTTTGAGAACCATCTCATCCTCTGTCGTCCCCTTCTCTTTGTGCCCTCCATCTTTCCCAACATCAGGGTCTTTTCCAGGGAGTCTTCTCTTCTCATGAGGTGGTCAAAGTATTGGAGCCTCTGCTTCAGGATCTGTCCTTCGAGTGAGCACTCAGGGCTGATTTCCTTAAGAATGGATAGTTTTGATCTTCTTGCAGTCCATGGGACTCTCAAGAGTCTCCTCCAGCACCATAATTCAAAAGCATCAATTCTTTGGCGATCAGCCTTCTTGATGGTCCAGCTCTCACTTCCATACATCACTACTGGGAAAACCATAGCTTTAACTATACGGACCTTTGTTGGCAAGGTGATGTCTCTGCTTTTTAAGATACGTGTCTACCACATATCAAAGAACGTTCCCTCCAGCTCTTTGCATCTCCAGCACTTACCTGATTCATTCTTATACAACTTAGCAAGCCTACTCGGAGTAGGCAGATGGTGCACTTCCTAAAAAGCTAAGACGGAGTCATCACATGAATCAGACGGTCCCTTGAGGCTTCCTGTTCACTGGCTAGCTTCTGTTCCCGCATCCTTCTGATTGTACACCCTACTGTTCCTTTTTTTTAATGTCCCCTTCGGTCATGTGCTTCTGCTCCACATCTCGACCACATCACCTCTGCTTGTGTGATTCAGAAACCATGGGAGGGAAGGGAGCTTGCTTCCTCAGTGCCACAGGATAAATGGGCTCCCATTCGTGAATGAGTCCTTCCTTCCTATATGGAGGAACAGGCAGACGGACATCCAATCTGGAGAGTTTGGGATAAGGACAGAAAGAGGCGGGTGGTGCTTGCTGCAAATTAGAATTCATTCATTTTGAGTCTTTCTCATCCAGCAATGGTATCCCCAATGTAGGGAAACTTTTGCCAGTTCTTTATTTTACTGGTAGATATATAGATGGATGGATATAACATGTAACTAGAGAGATGATAGATACAGCACATAACTATTAAATTAAATTAATACATATTAAATTAATAAATTAAACACATGCACACAGATAAATACATTTTTACAGCAGAGCAAAAGCACCGTATGGATATCTTCTTCTTGAAAGTTATCATTCCATGTGCGGAAAATAATATCTTATCATTCTGATCATCCTGCTTACTTGATTACTTGGCCACGAAGGGCTCCTCTTTATTATTATTTTTACAGTGGTACCTGGGGTTAAGTACTTAATTCGTTCTGGAGGTCCGTTCTTAACCTGAAACTGTTCTTAACCTGAAGCACCACTTTAGCTAATGGAGCCTCCCGCAGCTGCCGCACCGCCGGACCACGATTTCTATTCTCATCCTGAAGCAAAGTTCTTAACCTGAGGTACTATTTCTGGGTTAGCAGAGTCTGTAACCTGAAGCGTATGTAACCCGAGGTACCACTGTACATTAAATGCATAACTAGTATGCCACATATTGTTTCAAACCATTCTGAAATCAATGGAGTTTGTGCTTTTGTCCCAAGACAAGCACAGAGTCTCACCCGCCCACCCCTGCCTCAGGAATAATAAATTGAACACAACTTTCAGATCTACCTCTCATGTTATGTGTTTCAAATTGCCTAACGGTATCCCTGCAATAGTAAGTATTTAGTCATTTCGTTGATAAAAGTTATGGACTGTAGTCCAGAAAATCTTGATTACTGGGCAGTTCCAGAATATAGGTACAGTGGTACCTCAGGTTACATACACTTCAGGTTACACACGCTTCAGGTTACAGGCTCTGCTAACCCAGAAATAGTGCTTCAGGTTAAGAACTTTGCTTCAGGCTAAGAACAGAAATTGTGCTCCGGCGGCAGCAGGAAGCCCCATTAGCTAAAGTGGTGCTTCAGGTTAAGAACAGTTTCAGGTTAAGAATGGACCTCCGGAACGAATTAAGTACTTAACCCGAGGTACCACTGTATTGGCTCTGCTTGAGAAGTATTACATTTCCAGCAGTTACATTAACAACCCCCTTTTAATTCTGTTTCCAGTAGGAAAGTATTGCCTCAGTAGTGCAAGAGAGCCTTATGAGAAAGCAACCTTCTCTGTCTATTTTCTGTACAGTGGTACCTCTACTTACGAGCACCTCTGGTTACGTATCCTTCGGGATACGCACACGGCAAACCCGGAAGTATTTTTCTGGGTTTCACTGCATGCGCAGAAGAGCTCTACTGTGCTGCGCGCATGCGCAGAAGCGCTCTGCCATGTGCATGCGCAGAACAGGCACCTCTGGTTGCAAAAACCTCGGGATCCGACCGGAGCTCCGGAATGGATCCTGCCCGCCACCGGAGGTACCACTTTACTGTCCTTCCTCTGAGGACCACAGGTGGTACACAACGTAAAAACACAAACACACATAACATAGCAACAAACACTATCTCCCCCACCCCGCTTTTAAAAGGCCATAGATGGTTTGATTCTACAGTGATGTGAATTTGCTTCTCGTACCATTGTTCTGTGCAGGAATTTATCATACGGTTCATTCCCCCCAGTGACTGTTTGCTGTTTTCGGAGGCAAAATGCAATTTCCCACAAATCTTGTCAGGTTTGGAATTTTGCTTCTGAAACCTGGCCAATGAATGCTTAAAGAAAAGGAAAATTAATCTCTAATTTGTTCAGGACTTTATTAGCTTGTTAACATTCTTTGTACTTCGTTTCCGCCCTAAAACCTGCAGATTTTAAATTGCATTGCAATCGGGAGTGTTGAAAGTAATCAGATATTTGCGGGGGAAGTACAAATAGGAACAATTTGTTCAGTTCCCTCCCCATTATTTTATTCCTGCGCTGGTGCCCACAAGAGCTGTAACTCAGTTAAGGAGATTTTATTTGATTGATTCTCCATCGAGTAATCGACCCATTTAAATTCGCAGTATTTTTAAAATACCGTATTTTTTGCTCTATAAGACTTACTTTTCCCCTCCTAAAAAGTAAGGGGAAATGTGTGTGCGTCTTATGGAGCGAATGCAGGCTGCGCAGCTATCCCAGAAGCCAGAACAGCAAGAGGGATTGCTGCTTTCACTGCACAGCGATCCCTCTTGCTGTTCTGGCTTCTGAGATTCAGAATATTTTTTTTTTGTTTTCCTCCTCCAAAAACTAGGTGTGTCTTGTGGTCTGGTGCGTCTTATAGAGCGAAAAATACGGTACTTTGGTGGTTTGCAGAGGTTTGTGACAGACCACCTGTTTTGCATGAAGTGGACCCTATTCTTAACCCCTGACATCCCCAGCTGCCTGATGAACAGAAGAGTCGCTGCCAGTCCGAGCAGGAAGTACTGAGTCAGGTGGAGCTGTGGCCTGACTCAAAAATAAGGCAGCTTCCTGTCTTGTTCAGGTGATAGCCACTTGCGCTGTGGGAGGCAGAGTCTTTTAGAGGCCTTTCCATTCGGTTCGGTTGGTTGGTTGGGCTTTCAGATTAAAGTTGCACAATTTACAATAAAGTAAATTGGACTACTGCAATGCGCTCTACGTGGGGCTACCTTGGAAGGTGACCCGGAAACTGCAATTAATCCAGAATGCGGCAGCTAGACTGGTGACTGGGAGTGGCCGCCGGGACCACATAACACTGGTCCTGAGAGATCTGCATTGGCTCCCAGTACGTTTCCGAGCACAATTCAAAGTGTTGGTGCTGACCTTTAAAGCCCTAAACGGCCTCGGTCCTGTATACCTGAAGGAGCGTCTCCACCCCCATCGTTCAGCCCGGACACTGAGGTCCAGCGCTGAGGGCCTTCTGGCAGTTCCCTCATTGCGAGAAGTGAGGTTACAGGGAACCAGGCAGAGGGCCTTCTCGGTAGTGGCACCCGCCCTGTGGAACACCTTCCCTTCAGATGTGAAGGAAATAAGCATCTATCCTATCTTTAAAAGACATCTGAAGGCAGCCCTGTTCAGGGAAGTTTTTAATATTTAATGCTGTACTGTTTTTAACATTTGATTGGGAGCCACCCAGAGTGGCTGGGGAAACTCAGCCAGATGGGCAGGGTATAAATAATAAATTATTATTATTATTATTATTATTATTATTATCATCATCATCATCATCACATACCCAACATACAACATAAAGACAAGATTCCAAAGAATCTCCTGGACTTTGTGGGTCCTATTCTTAGTCATTTCCTCCTGCATCATTTATAATAATCCAAATCTTTTATCTCTCCATTGTATCCAAAATTCACCATAAACTACAAGTGTTATTCCAAGCCTACTAACGGTTTACAATGTTTACAGTGGTTTTTTAAGATAAGTTATAAATTTCCCCCATTCCTTATTAAAATTGTGGTCTTCCTGATTTCTGATTCTTCCGGTCATTTTTGCCATTTCGGCATAATCCATTAACTTGATCTGCCATTCTACAGTGGTACTTCAGGTTACATATGCTTCAGGTTACATACGCTTCAGGTTATAGACCTGAAATATTAACCCAGAAATAATACCTCGGGTTAAGTACTTTGCTTCAGGATGATAACAGAAATCGCGCTCTGGTGGCACGGTGGCAGTAGGAGGCCCCATTAGCTAAAGTGGTGCTTCAGGTTAAGAACAGTTTGAGGTTAAGTACGGACCTCCAGAACGAATTAAGTACTTAACCTGAGGTACTACTGTACTCTGGTAGGGACTTTATCTTCTTTCCATCTCTAGGCCAGTAACATCCGTGCAGCCGTGGTCACATACATAAATAGTCTTTTCTGCTCCCTTGGGATTTCGGCACCTAGGGTTGCGAAATGAAAGGCTTCGGATTTTTTTTAGAAAAAGTTACCGTACTTTAAACATTTTTCCCCAACTCATTATATAACATTTCCCAAAATTCTTTTGCTACCTTGCATTTCCACCACATGTGATAAAAGGTGCCTTCTTTTCCCTTACATTTCCAGCGTACATTTGACCCTGTTTTATACATTTTTGCTAATTTACTGGGAGTTACATACCAACGGTGCGTCATTTTCATATAATTCTCTTTCTGCGTGTAACATGCTGTGAATTTTAAATCCCACTTCCATAACTTCTTCCATGCTGTAAGTTGTATATTATATCCAAAATCCCTCACCCCACAGAAGCCTCTTTTAGAACGGTGCTTGCCATCTGCACTTTTTGCCCGCATTTGCATTAAAAACAACACATTCAATATATGTGTATTAGAATTCTGCTGCCAGATTTAATCAGGGACCTTTTTAGCTGATTAAAAGCATTTCATCCAAGGGGATCAGCCTAGTGCTAGTGATGTCTTGAGCTTACTGAGGCTGAGCATATATTCCGTTTTGGTCCTCTCTGCCCAACTTGCTTAGGAAGCTCCACATAAAAAAAACGAAGATCATGGCCACTGGTCCCGTCACCCCCTGGCAAATAGAAGGGGAAGAAATGGAGGCAGTGAGAGATTTTACTTTCTTGGGCTCCATGATCACTGCAGATGGTGACAGCAGCCACGAAATTAAAAGACGCCTGCTTCTTGGGAGAAAAGCAATGACAAACCTAGACAGCATCTTAAAAAGCAGAGACATCACCTTGCCAACAAAGGTCCGTATAGTTAAAGCTATGGTTTTCCCAGTAGTGATGTATAGAAGTGAGAGCTGGACCATAAAGAAGGCTGATTGCCGAAGAATTGATGCTTTTGAATTATGGTGCTGGAGGAGACTCTTGAGAGTCCCATGGACTGCAAGAAGATCAAACCTCTCCATTCTGAAGGAAATCAGCCCTGAGTGCTCACTGGAAGGACAGATCCTGAAGCTGAGGCTCCAATCCTTTGGCCACCTCATGAGAAGAGAAGACTCCCTGGAAAAGACCCTGATGTTGGGAAAGATGGAGGGCACAAGGAGAAGGGGACGACAGAGGACAAGATGGTTGGACAGTGTTCTCAAAGCTACCAGCATGAGTTTGACTAAACTGCGGGAGGCAGTGGAAGACAGAAGTGCCTGGCGTGCTCTGGTCCATGGGGACACGAAGAGTCGGACACGACTAAATGACTCAACAACAAGAACAACAATAACCCAACTCATCTCAGTGAGTTTACTCTGAATGGGGATGGAAGGAGGCAGCAGTTTCCCTTCTGAGCACAGATGAACACGTGAACCGTAGCAGTTCCCATCCTTTTCCCTTTTCATTGGAATCTCCTGACATCCCTGACCCGGAGTAAATCGTGTTTCAGTTTCAATCTCTCACCTAAAGACAAGAGCAGGGGTCAGCAAACTTTTTCAGCAGGGGGCCGGTCCATTGTCCCTCAGGCCTTGTGGGGGGCCGGACTATATTTTGGGGGGGAAATGAACAAATTCCTATGCCCCACAAATAACCCAGAGATGCATTTTAAATAAAAGCACACATTCTACTAATGTAAAAACACGCTGATTTCTGGACTGTCCACAGGCCGGATTTAGAAGGCAATCGGGCAGGATCCGGCCCCCGGGCCTTAGTTTGCCTACCCATGGACAAGAGCCGAAGAGATATGAGGACTTTAAAGGTAATGGGTAATTTAGATAGTAGAAATTCCTGTAACTGCAGTGTATCTTGAACTCCAAACTAATCCCCAAAACTTAACCTCCATGAGAGGGGACGCTACGATTTTGCTGAGCAACTAGTTTCACTGCCCAGTTGTTTTTCCTGGTTGTTGTTTAGTCGTGTCCAATTCTTCGTGACCCCATGGACCAGAGCACGCCAGGCACTCCTGTCTTCCACTGCCTCCCACAGTTTGGTCAAACTCATGCTGGTAGCTTCGAGAACACTATCCAACCATGTCGTCCCCTTCTCCTTGTGCCCTCCATCTTTCCCAACATCAGAGTCTTTTCCAGGGAGTCTTCTCTTCTCATGAGGTTTTTCCTGGTATATAGTCTCAATCTAATGTCTTACAATGTGAATCTCTTGCTGCTTATCCTTTCCTGGGACTTGGTAAATGGTTCATTTCACATAACATAAATACCTTCATACAGTCGTACCTCTACTTATGTATCCCTCTGGATACGGAATTTTCGGGTTACGGCCACGGCAAACCCGGAAGTGTATACAGTCATACCTCGGGATAAATATGCTTCAGGATAAGTATTTTCGGGTTGTGCTCGATGGCGACCTGGAAGTAATGGAGCCGCTCAAAATGACGTCACGCACATGTGCAGAAGCAGCGAAACGCGGCACCCGCAGACGCACTGTTGTGTCTTATGTTCTGTTCAGGATTCGAATGGGGCTCTGGAACGGATCCCGTTCGCATCCCGAGGTACCACTGTACTTCCGGGTTTCGCCGCATGCGCAGAAGTGTTCAGTCGCGCCGCATGCGCATGCAGAAGCCCACCTCTATTTACACAATTTTCAGGGTGTGAACGGACCCCCAGAACGAATTAAGTTCATATCCGGAGGGTCCACTGTATTGTATAAAAACTATACCATTTAGCACTGGGACGTGGGTGGCGCTGTAGGTTAAACCACAGAGCCTAGGACTTGCGGTTCGAATCCCCGCGACAGGGTGAGCTCCCGTTGCTCGGTCCCTGCTCCTGCCAACCTAGCAGTTTGAAAGCACGCCAGTGCAAGTAGATAAATAGGTACCGCTCCGGCGGGAAGGTAAACAGTGTTTCCGTGCACTGCTCTGGTTTGCCAGAAGCAGCTTAGTCATGCTGGCCAGCTGTACGCCGGCTCCCTCGGCCAGTAAAGCGAGATGAGCGCCGCAACCCCAGAGTCGGCCACGACTGGACCTAATGGTCAGGGGTCCCTTTACCTTTACCTTTAGGATGGTGAGAGGAATTCTTCAGCAGAAGCAAGGGAGCCACTACTCACTTTTAAGAAACTAAACTAGGGTTCTCACGTTAAGCTGTTGGGTGTCATGACTTGGGTGTCTTCCTGTTCTGCTGTAGCATCAACATTCAAATCAAATGAAATCAAGCTGTTAGACTACGCCGAAATTTTTACAATTTATTTAGCAGACCACTGTAAACAAATGAAAACATTAGCAGCAGGGTGGATAAAAATCAATGATTTTTTAAAAACCAACAACAGATTTTTTTTATTTAAATCAGATTTTTAAAATAAAATGCTTTTGGAGGAAAAATCTTTCTAAAGATAGTTTTCTATTTAGGTTACATTATAGTCCAAAGGCTATTCATCAGGAAATAAGGATTTGTTTTAAGTTTTTCACATGTGCTAAAATTCAGTCTAAGTTGTTTGTTGTTGTTTTTTTAAAAAAGTTTAACCACATCAGTTAACAAACATGGATACATATGCTATAGTGTTACTGCTTTAGTTAAATAAATTGTTTAAATTGTTATTAAGGAAATGATTATTTTTCTCCTTCCAATAAAGTACAGCAGAAAAGTTGTCCATATATAAACAGTTAACTTATTAGACCTCACAATAATTTAATAATTATCTGTCCATGTATTTCTAATAGTATAACCAAATCAGTAATTTTTTATATAACTGTAAAAACTGCTCTGAAAATTTATTATTCCAAAAATGAAACCTTCATCTGATTGTAAATATTAAGATTATACCAGCAAGAATGAGTCTTTCTGTAAAAAAAAATAAAAAAAAATTAAATCCAGTCTTACTGACTAGTGATTTAAATCGTGATTTAAATCGATTTGATTTAAATCAAATCCACCCTGATTAGCAGGATTTTAATCTCACTTGTAATGTAACAAATCATATGTATAATATGGATAGATACAAAATATAAATTATGAAATAATATGCAGTTGAAAACGTTGACAATAGGACCCATGGAGGGGATTGGGGGAGGTCTCGAAATTCAGAGAAATCTCTCTATATGGATATGTATTTGGTTTTGTTATAAATTGATATTTTGTAAAATCAAATAAAAACGATTTCAGAAAAACGCCAAAACATTCAAATCAACCAGATCCTAGAAACAGAATATTCCCCCCCAGTGGGATAGCTTTGATGAAATACCATCCCGTAGTAGAATGTTTTACGCCTGCTCAGAGGAATTACCGTATTTTTCGCCCTAAAGGACGCACTTTTTCCCCTCCAAAAATGAAGGGGAAATGTGTGTGCATCCTATGGGGCGAATGCAGGCTTTCGCTGAAGCCTGGAGAGCGAGAGGCGTCGGTGCGCACCGACCCCTCTCGCTCTCCAGGCTTCGCGCAGCTCTCCACAAGCCGTGGGAGCCTTGCGGGCAATAGCCCGTTCTGGGGGCTGGGGTTGGGGGAAGCTCGGGCTTCCCCCGCCCCCAGCCCTGCAAGCTCCGCGAGCGATGGCGAGGTTGAGCGCAACCTCGCCTTCGTTCCTGGACCCCCAGCCCTGAGGCTAAAAACGAAGCCAGGACAGCTAGCTGTCATGGCTTCTTTGCTCTTTGGGGTTCGGGGGGGGAAATAAATTTTTCCGCCTTTATTTCCCCCCCCCCCCCAAAAAAAATAAGTGCGCCCTATGGGCCGGTGCGCCCTATAGGGCGAAAAATACGGTAAATGTTGTGCATTTTGCTGGCATTGTAGCGTTGGAAGAATGAGAATGCCCCATCCCTTAGTCTGAGGACCAAGGCTTGTTTGCCCTCTGTGAACTGCCAACTTCATCAAAACCATTGAGTTTCTGAAGTTTGCCAAGACATCAGAGAGGCAAAGCAAAATACAGCCCTCCTTGCCACCTGGTTCTGTATGCTAAAACCAAGTTTAGATAGTATATTTCATAGTTCCTGCCATCCTTCTCTCCTAGCCCCCAACCAACATGGCTCTGAAGTTGGCCAATGGTTGTATCTTCGGACAGCATTCAGAATGGTGCAAGCAGAACAATTTCTGCTTGTGCAACAAGACTTTCCCCCCTCCCCCTCCATGTGCCCCCTTTGCCATCCCCACATATACTTGGGGAGGGGTTGGGGAAAAACTCACAACAATGGCAAGTCCCATTGTGCAAGTAAAAGTAATACCACTTGTACAATAACATATTTGAATGTCACCCTTTGCTTAGTGCAGTGGTACCTCGGATTACATACGCTTCAGGTTACATACGCTTCAGGTTACAGACTCCGCTAACCCAGAAATAGTACCTCGGGTTAAGAACTTTGCTTCAGGATGAGAACAGAAATCGTGCTCTGGCGGCGCGGCGGCAGCAAGAGGCCCCATTAGCTAAAGTGGTGCTTCAGGTTAAGAATAAGGTAAAGGTAAAGGTACCCCTGCCCATATGGGCCAGTCTTGACAGACTCTAGGGTTGTGCGCCCATCTCACTTAAGAGGCCGGGGGCCAGCGCTGTCCAGAGACACTTCCGGGTCACGTGGCCAGCGTGACAAAGCTGTATCTGGCGAGCCAGCGCACCACACGGAAACGCCGTTTACCTTCCCGCCAGTAAGCGGTCCCTATTTATCTACTTGCACCCGGGGGTGCTTTCGAACTGCTAGGTTGGCAGGCGCTGGGACCGAGCAACGGGAGCGCACCCCGCCGCGGGGATTCGAACCGCCGACCTTTCGATCGGCAAGCCCTAGGCGCTGAGGCTTTTACCCACAGCGCCACCCGCGTCCCGCCACCAGCGCCACCCGCGTCAGGTTAAGAATAGTTTCAGGTTAAGAACGGACCTCCGGAACGAATTAAGTACTTAGCCCGAGGTACCACTGTATTATAAAAAAGGTAAAATTAAAAAAACCTATACGCTTAAAATGTCAAATTCAAAAGAATAAGAATAAGAATAAGAATAATTTATTATTTATACCCCACCCATCTGGCTGGGTTACCCCAGCCACTCTGGGCGGCTTCCAACAAAACACTAAAATACAATAACCTATTAAACATTAAAAGCTTCCCTAAACAGGGCTGACTTGAAACCATGAAACATGGTTAATACCTATTTTCAAACCCAGGCTTTCCTCCTTTAGTTTGAACGTTAGTCCTGTCTAAAGTGGTCGACCATTTACTGCAAGGGGGGGGGTGGATTGGGTTTGCTCTGTGAGATAATCCCACTTGCAAGATTTTGACTTGCAGAGAGCAATTTACAAAGTGGTTCTATCTCTGAATGGAGTTTCCCAGAAAATCTGGGATGGGATTCGCTGTGCTTTATCTGTCTGTGTCTCTCAAATCCTTACAGGCAGATGGTGGAGGGGGGCTGTTTTTATCACAGTGAGTGGGCTGGGTGATCTTCCAGCCGATGGGCCTGAGTGAGGAAGAATGCATCTGAAAGCTGCAGGCCTTGTGACCTCTGCTCAAGATATAATGCTTCAGGAAATGGCTTCCCTCTGAACCTAGAGCCCTTTTTTCATCACACTTACATTCTCCCTATGAAGGGGCACGGGTGGTGCTGTGGTCTAAACCATTGAGCCTCTTGGGCTTGCCGATCGGAAGGTCAGCAGTTCGAATCCCCGCGATGGTGTGAGCTCCCGTTGCTCGGCCCCAGCTCTTGCCAACCTAGCAGTTCGAAAGCACACTGGTGCAAGTAGATAAATAGGTACCACTGCGGCGGGGAAGTAAATGGCGTTTCCATGTGCTCTGGTTTCTGTCACGGTGCCCCTTTGCACCAGAAGCGGTATAGTCCTGCTGGCCACATGACCCGGAAAGCTGTGGACAAACGCTGGTTCCCTCGGCTTGAAAGCGAGATGAGCGCTGCAACCCCATAGTCTGCGTACCCGCAGCCCAGGGGGCCTTCAGATGACCACCCATTGAGTGGCAGCTGGAGGAGGCATTGGCAAAATGACTGCATGCCAGCGGCTGGGCCAGCAGGACTTGTGCTGGTCACTGCAGCTTCCTTTCTGTTCCCACTCCCCGCCCCAAAAGATCTTAGAGCCAAGAGACAGCATAATAAAATGCTTGTTTTATTGTTTTTTAAAAAGTTTAAAAGATATTATCCCTTTCTGCAGCAGTGTGCTTAATCCCAAGCAAGCGTCTTTGGCACCAGGGCAGGCAGACGCAAGCTCCATTTGTTTCCCTGTAATCGTAACGATGCTGTGATTTCAGTGAGATTAAATCCAAAACTGCGCGTACTTAGAAGTGTTTGTTCTTATCAGGGTTGGCAAACTTTGTTTTTTATTTTTATTTTGTTCCGAAATGCCAAGTAAGTGGAAGCAGTTGTAAAGCATGGAACGGCAGTGGAGCAGAAAAGAGATATGTTAATTGTGTGCTATTGTTGTTTAGTCGTTTAGTCGTGTCCAACTCTTTGTGACCCCATGGACCAGAGCACGTCAGGCACTTCTGTCTTCCACTGCCTCCCGCAGTTTAGTCAAACTCACGCTGGTACCTTTGAGAACACTGTCCAAACCATCTCGTCCTCTGTCGTCCCCTTCTCCTTGTGCCCTCCATCTTTCCCAACATCAGGGTCTTTTCCAGGGAGTCTTCTCTTCTCATGAGGTGGCCAAAGTATTGGAGCCTCAGCTTCAGGATCTGTCCTTCCAGTGAGCACTCAGGGCTGATTTCCTTCAGAATGGAGAGGTTTGATCTTCTTGCAGTCCATGGGACTCTCAAGAGTCTCCTTCAGCACCATAATTCAAAAGCATCAATTCTTCGGCGATCAGCCTTCTTTATGGTCCAGCTCTCACTTCCGTACATCACTACTGGGAAAACCATAGCTTTAACTATACTGACCTTTGTTGGCAAGGTGATGTCTCTGCTTTTTAAGATGCTGTCTTGTGTGCTACTGAAGCCATACTCACAGAGCCATCAAAAGGGACACACCCACACACCCATAAGACCATTAAGCCCAAAGTCTAAAATCAGCTGCACCACTGAGATCGTGCTGTTTATAGTGCACTCATCCTGCTTCCAAAGCTGGATTTTCAATACAAAACACGTATGTATGTCGTGCATCGTTATACGATATTCCTGTTTGATATGTTCTTTCTCAAACCAGATTAACACTGATTGGAATTCTTAAGCTGTTCTGACTTGGTTTCTAGCCAAGGTATGAACCCCCTAAAAAAAGGTAAAGGACCCCTGGACGGTTAAGTCTAGTCAAAGGCGACTGTGGGGTTGCGGCGCTCATCTCGCTTTCAGGCCGATGGAGCCAGCGTTTGTCCACAGACAGCTTTCCGGGTCATGTGGTCAGCAGGACTAAACTGCTTCTGGTGCAATGAGACACTGTGACAGAAACTAGAGTGCACGGAAACGCCGTTTACCTTCCCCGCTGCAGCGGTACCTATTTATCTACTTGCACTGGTGTGCTTTCGAACTGTTAGGTTGGCAGGAGCTGGGATGGAGGAACGGGAGCTCATCCTGTCACTGGGAATCGAACCGCCGACTTTCCAATTGGCAAGCCCAAGAGGCTCAGTGGTTTAGACCACAGCGCCACCTGCGTCCCTAACGCAGGGTAAAGACACTCTCAGCCCAACAAGGCCCCCTCGATGCATACAGAACAGAAGCAAAGTGAAGCCATGCAGATGTGAACAGTGTTTGTTGGGGGGGAGAGATTTAGGAAGCACTGAAAATGCAACCGCTGGAACGTGGCTTTTTGAACACATTTTCAGTAAGATGCAGGGCGTGGTACCCTATAATAACCTGGGTGAGGGAGGAGCAGGAGAGCAGCTCAATATGGGATGCAGCTGCTCAGAAGGCTGGTTCTGAAGGAAAGTTTGACTCTTGCCTTGGTATTGCCTAACTCTTCTCTCTTTTCCTTCTAGTATATTGGCAGCCTAGATGTACCCCGGCCAAACAGCAGGGTGGAGATTGTCACGGCCATGAGACGCATCAGGGTAAGTGGTGTCTGCTGTATCCGAACAAGATTCGTGTGAACAAGAGAGAGATATCTTAATTCTAGATGGTCAGGAGAGGTAACGCGGGAATGCTGCGATCCTTATTAAGCCCCTTGTAAGCGGGTAAGCGCGGGTGGCGCTGTGGGTTAAACCACAGAGCCTAGGACTTGCCGATCAGAAGGTCGGCGGTTCGAATCCCCGTGACGGGGTGAGCTCCCGTTGCTCAGTCCCTGCTCCTGCCCACCTAGCAGTTTGAAAGCATGTCAAAGTGCAAGTAGATAAATAGGTACCGCTCTGGCGGGAAGGTAAACGGCGTTTCCGTGCGCTCCTCTGGTTCGCCAGAAGCGGCTTAGTCATGCTGGCCACATGACCCGGAAGCTGTAGGCCGGCTCCCTCGGCCAGTAAAGCGAGATGAGCGCCGCAACCCCAGAGTCGGTCACGACTGGACCTAATGGTCAGGGGTCCTTTTACCTTTACCTTTAAGCAGGTAAACGTGGTCCCTTCCTCAACGGCAGTGGCTCATGCTCTGTTTCTGCTGATAATAATTTTAGCAACATGAATTCTTATAGCACTACCAGTGCACCTAGTTCTTTAGGAAGTAATAACAACATGAGGAGGAAGGGTTCCTACCCCAGAGAGCTTGTGATGTAAAATTCAACCCAGGAAGGCAGTTGCAGAAGAAAGAATTGTGGGTTCAGTTCAGTTGCACCCTCACCTGAGTGCTAACCATTTCTGGCCTGAGGGCTCTAGTTATTCTTGGCCCATGGAAACAATTATTTTGCCTGCCCTGCCTCTCCCTCTCCCCCCTCAGTGAATGTTTCTGGATTCTGTATTAGCTGATAACATGCAGTACGGTGGATTTCATCAATAAGCTCTTTCTAGAAACTTTGAATACAGTGGTACCTTGGTTGTCAAACGTAATCCGTTGGAAAACCAAGGTGTGGCTTCCAATTGGCTGCAGGATTGGCCAATCAGAAGCTGCGGAAGCCACGACGGACATTTGGCTTCCAAAAACATTGCAAACTGGAACACTTACTTCCAGGTTTGCAGTGTTCAGGAGCCGATTTGTTCAGGAGTCAAACCGTTTGACAACCAAGGTACCACTGTGGTAAGGTAGATCAAAAAGATGGATAGAAAATCTTCCTTAGAAGAACATCTCCAACCAGCAGCTGACCTGTCATGAGAAATTCCCCCGTATATTGAAATACCCAAGGTTGATTATTTGAAAAGTTTTCTTTCAAATTTGTGGTCAGCAGAGTTGAGAGTGCATTGTTGGCTATCCAAGACCATTCCTGTTACTGAATGTGTATCTTTTCAGGTATGCTTAAACAATGTGTGTGTTTGAGCGGATTCCTTGCATGCAGATAATAAAGAACATATTTTGCTCATCCACACTTGCTTTTTCTGATTCGTTATCCTGTTCTCAAACATTGCTTCATCCTATAAGGACGGTAGTTCGCCACCACCTCAGTTACGATGTGCCTTATTTGGGAAGGCAAAAAAACATGGTGGACGAGAACCTCCCGTGACAGCAGATAGTTCTTTGTAGGACATTATGCAGTGTGCAAGAGCCTGTTGAATTTGCCCCAGGAGGACCAGCGCTTCTTCGCTGCTCTCCGTTTCTGAACAGCGATGAGCGCAAGAACAAAAAATTCCTTGCTGCTGGCCTGCGCAGACTCGTCCCAGAGGTCTCCAACCTCTGTTCCCCCATCCCTGCCCAGCCGTGTGCTAATGAAGCGGGGGAAAGCAGAGTAATGGAATTCCTCAGATTCCAGCCTTAATCTGCCGCTCTGGATTCCATCTCAAGCTTAGCAGACAAGGAGGGAGGGAGCTGCCTGCCAGACGTCTTGGAAGCGGGGGGTGGGGGGGGCTAGCTTTTCCGGGAATCACAAGGCCAACATGACCCAGGCAAAGGTGTGGTGGAGCAGCAGTTGCCTTGTATTGAAGCCGAAGAACGAGAGAAACCCTGGCAAGGAGTACAACTTCCAAGCGCTTAGCTAAGAAGTGTTTAAAATGCAGAATAGGACCTGTTTTGGGTAGGGGGGGGGAGTGTGTCAAAGCCCTAGGTCAATATAGCTGCTTCGGATTTTTTCGCTTTGCGTAATAGGTAAAGGGACCCCTGACCATTAGGTCCAGTCATGACCGACTCTGGGGTTGCGGCGTTCATCTCGCTTTACTGGCCGAGGGAGCCGGCGTGCAGCTTCCAGGTCATGTGGCCAGCATGACTAAGCCGCTTCTGGCGAACCAGAGCAGTGCACAGAAACGCCGTTTACCTTCCCGCCAGAGTGGTACCTATTTATCTACTTGCACTTTGATGTGCTTTCGAACTGCTAGGTTGGCAGGAGCTGGGACCGAACAACGGGAGCTCACCCCGTCGCGGGAATTCGAACTGCCAAGCTTCTGATCGGCGAGTCCTAGGCTCTGTGGTTTAACCCACAGCGCCACCCGCGTCCCTTGCGTAATAGATGTGCTTATGTTAGGACCGGTTGATGCTGCCATGATTGGTGGTAATTTTTTTAGTGTTTTATCAACTGACCCTTATTATGGTCAGCGGGGGGGGGGGTGTAAGCAACGCTAGCATTTTCATGGATTTTTGAGACTTACCCTTTAAAGAGGGGTTGGATTCGTGAGAGAGACAACCTCAATTTCAAAAAGGAGTGAGAACCATTTATAAACTATAATGGACGCTCGGGTTGCGAACGTGATCCATGCGCGGTGCACGTTCGCAACCCGCAGCGGGGCGTCTATGCACACGCAGATTGCGATTCAGCGCTTTTGAGCATGCGCAAAGTGCGATTTAGCGCTTCTGCGCATGCGAGACCACCAAAACCCGGAAGTAACCGTTCCGGTACTTCCGGGTTTCGGCGGGTGTGTTACCCGAAAAAACACAACCTGAAGCGACTGTAACCCGAGGTATGACTGTACAGTGGTACCTCAGGTTACATACGCTTCAGGTTACATACGCTTCAGGTTACAGACTCCGCTAACCCAAAAATAGTACCTCGGGTTAAGAAATTTACTTCAGGATGAGAACAGAAATCATGCGGTGGTGGCAGCTGGAGGTCCCATTAGCTAAAGTGGTGCCTCAGGTTAAGAACAGTTTCAGGTTAAGAACGGACCTCCAGAACAAATTAAGTACTTAACCCCAGGTACCACTGTAATAATAATAATAAAGAGGAGCGCTTCGTGGCTGCAGCGCAAGAGTTTGCTCCAAGAGACAGACTTGCCCAAGTTTCATCTAGTACAGTGGTACCTCAGGTTACATACGCTTCAGGTTACAGACTCCGCTAACCCAGAAATAGTGCTTCAGGTTAAGAACTTTGCTTCAGGATGAGAACAGAAATCGTGCGGTGGTGGCAGCGGGAGGCCCCATTAGCTAAAGTGGTGCTTCAGGTTAAGAACAGTTTCAGGTTAAAAACAGACCTCCAGAACGAATTAAGTACTTAACCCCAGGTACCACTGTATATAAAAAGACAGTATAAAGATTTGGACTCATTGGCAGGTTTTGACTAAACTTTCAGAACTATATAAGAGGTAAAAACCAGCAGGGTATAGAATTTGTTTAATAAATCAATACGGAAATACGGGGGAAGCCAAAGTGGGGGGGGGGGAGAAATATGGATATATAAATTGTTCGATTAAGATTTGTGGAAAAATTGTTCTTACAATTTGAAAATTTAATAGAAATTATTAAAAAATAAAAATAAAGAGAGGGTTGAATTCCCCAATGTATATCCTATAGAGAAGAGCAGAGCAGAGTTCAGCACATTACATTCCTGCCCGACCCCATCCCACAGCTGCCAGGAATTTCTGCAGCACCCTGTTCCCTCCGTCTGGCTCTCTTGGAGAAGCCACCTAGGCAGAATAAAGAGGAGCCCTTCGTGGCAGTGGCGCAAGAGTTTGCTCTGCCGTTGGCTGCTTGCTGTCCAGGGCCGTTCAGGAGAGCCTTTGCGGAAAGATCTCCGGAAGAAAGCCCAAGTTCTGGTGGCGCTTCTTTCCCTGGGGGGGTCAGGTGATGGTTGGAGACCTTCCCAATTTCTCCTTCCATGGATTTGGTCTCCAATATGACACCCCACCCCCCTTCCCGGCTGCTTCTTGTTTCTCTCTCCTCCCATGGTAAAGAAGCACAGCCCCTTCAGAGGAGTGTGGTAGCCTCTGGCTTTTGTCAGGAATGCCTGGAATGGCTGTTGCATGTGGTCATTTTTCACCTTAGGCCTTTCCTAAAACCCCCCCATATTCTATCAAAACAGTGTCAGGAAATCCAGTTCGCTTACGCCAATGCGACTTTTAGTCTAGCTTCTCAGTTTTTATTTTCATTTTGTAAATTTAAAGTTTAACGTGTAATTTCCACGTATAATTCTTGGTCATTGTTGCAAACCATACAATTCAGGTCGTCTAATCCTACACAACTACAAATTTCAGATTATAAAGCTTAAAGAAAGAAAGAAAGAACCGGACCCGCCTCAAAGAGCTAAATGAGACAGCAACATGCAAGTGTGTGCGAACGAGAATAACTGTATAAATATCTGCCTTCCCATAAGGAGAAGCGCACTTGGCCCACGGTTCCTGGTTGTATGGAGGAGCCCGTTGTGTGTTTTCACTAGCACTGAAAAGTGATTTCGAAGATGCACTTGGTGTGTGCGGACAGATGGCATGTCTAAGACATTATTGCCAGCAGCACATAACAACAACAACAATAACGATAATAATTTATCATTTGTACCCCACCCATCTGGCTGGGTTCCCCCAGCCACTCTGGGCGGCTTCCAACAAAGATTTTAAATACATTAAAATGCCACACACCAAAACCTTCCCTAAACAGGGCTGCCTTCAGCTGTCTTCTAAATGTCAGGTAGTTGTTTATTTCCTTGACATCTGGTGGGAGGGCGTTCCACAGGGCGGGCGCCACTACCGAGAAGGCCCTCTGTCTGGTTCCCTGTAGCTTTGCTTCTCACAGTGAGGGAACCGCCAGAAGGCCCTTGGCACTGGACCTCAGTGTCCGGGTAGAACGATGGGGGTGGAGACGCTCCTTCAGGTATACTGGGCCGAGACCGTTTAAGGCTTTAATGGTCAGCGTCAGCACTTTGAATTGTGCTTGGAAACGTACTGGGAGCCAATGTAGGTCTTTCAGGACTGGTGTTATGTGGTCTCAGCAGCTGCTCCCAGTCACCAGTCTAGCTGCCACATTCTGGATTAGTTGTAGTTTCTGGGTCACCTTCAAAGGTAGCCCCATGTAGAGCACATTGCAGTAGTCCAAGCAAGAGATAACTAGAGCATGCACCACTCTGGCGAGACAGTCTGCAGGCAGGTAGGGTCTCAGCCAGATGGAGCTGGTAGGTAGCTGCCCTGGATACAGAATTGACCTGTGCCTCCATGGACACCTGTGAGTCCAAAATGACTCCCAGGTGGTGCACCTGGTCCTTCAGGGGCACAGTTACCCCATTCAGGACCAGGAAGTCCTCCACCCCCGCCCACCCCCTGTCCCCCAAGAACAGTACTTCTGTCTTGTCAGGATTCAACCTCAATCCATTAGCCGCCATCCATCCTCCAACCGCCTCCAGGCACTCACACAGGATCTTCACTGCCTTCACTGGTTCCTACTCTCTCCTCATGCTCCCAGTGAACTTTTTCCTTTTCTTTCTTTGAGGGCACATGTGATCTAGAACTGATGAGGGACCTTCTCCTCGGGAAATATGGGAAGATGGCGAGCTGTTTGTCACCCTGCCCCCGCCCCAAATACTCCTGGCGGGAACAAATGGTTCTGCGAGCCCTAATGCTTCGCCAGCCTCTCTGCTTTGCTCTCCCAGGCGGGAAAGGCTGGCAAAGATCCAACCATGGGCGTAAAGCGATGGAGTAATCGGCTACCCACGTTTCTCACGAGGGAAAAAGAAATCAGAAATAGGCTGAGGAAATCGGCATTGTCTTGCATTTTTGTGGCCTTTCTAAGCCACACAATCCTAGGTTAGGTACGAATCCCCCTGAGCACCTCAGCTGTTCTCCACAAGCCACCGTCCTAATAGATGCATTCTCTGTGGAGAGATTCACGTGGCTTCACATCCCAAAAGTGTTCAGTAAAGAGGCTGGAAGATTACCCACTCACTCGGTGAAAACTGATCTTGGGGAAAGGTCTCTAGGAATGGCATAGTTTATTCCTGAGCGGCCCGTTTTATCTTTTGTCTGCCCTATCCCAAGGGACGCGGGTGGCGCTATGGGTTAAACCACAGAGCCTAGGACTTGCCGATCAGAAGGTCGGCGGTTCGAATCCCCACGACGGGGTGAGCTCCCGTTGCTCGGTCCCTGCTCCTGCCAACCTCGCAGTTCGAAAGCACGTCAAAGTGCAAGTAGATAAATAGGTACCGCTCTGACGGGAAGGTAAACAGCATTTCCATGTGCCACTCTGGTTCGCCAGAAGCGGCTTAGTCATGCTGGCCACATGACCCGGAAGCTGTAGGCCGGCTCCCTCGGCCAATAAAGCGAGATGAGCGCCGCAACCCCAGAGTCGGTCACGACTGGACCTAATGGTCAGGGGTCCCTTTACCTTTACCTTTATCCCAAGTGTTACACCTCATACCTTGGTAAATTCCCCCTTTTTGAACTCCCAAAGGCTTTGAAGCCTGGAGGATGTAATTGGGAAGATCTTGTTCTGTGCATTTGAACCCCTGGATGCAAGGATTTAAATATTTATCAGGATCCTGAATACCCGAGGCCCAAGCATACTTTTGTACCCTTTTGCTGTTTATATTTCTTTACTCCCCTTCCAACTCTTGCCTCTTCTGGAGGACAAAAAGGTTGCCGCCGTTTTGTGACACGTTTGGCTGGTCCTAATAAAAGATATTATGCTACTGTGGATTATTTCTGCCCCCCTTATGGGCCAGCATGGCTTCCTTTGCTCATTCCTCCTGCTTTGTGGCTCTTAGATGTTCTGAGAACTTGAGTTAGGGACCTGGTCTTCTCTGATCTTGGATGGCAAAAGGGTAGAGTTTCTGCTTTTTTAAATAGCCTCTGTGGAAAATCAAGGAGATGCTAAAGACAAAGGTCAGTTTGGAGAGGTTGGGGGACTCTCATCCACTCCCCCTGGCCCAAATTTTATATGAATATTATATAACCGCCCTGGATGTGTGTATGAGTTTGTTTTGCTTGTGTAAACTATTGAGAGGTAGAAGCAGTGTGCATTAAACTGATGAATTCTGTCACATGTGACCTTTTGAAAACAGGATCTTCCTGATTCTATGATTTGATGTTGGCACCAGGCCTATGTCCTTCTGTGACATTGTTGACAAGGAAATCCAGCTTTCTATCGCATTGCCATTCCCTGTTCCTGCCCCGAAATGATCGATATATGCCCCTCTCTTGGCAGTTTGCAAATGCAGAATTCCATGCTGGTCCCCTGCCTGGAGCAAGTCTGTCTGGATAAATAAGGGTCATGGAGATGACATGAAGCAGTTTCCCATGGCGCAAGACCCTTTAGGAGATAGTTACACTCGGACAAGTCTTGGCAAATGTGCTTCTCAGCAGCCCAATGGTCAGTTAAGGCCGGTATCTGTCTTGAGGGCATGCCGGTGGCTAACCAAGCCAGAAAACAGAACTGCCGACTCAGGATTTAACCGGGAGGCATTGACGTTTTTATTAAAGATAAGATACAACGTTTAAGAGTTTGCATTGTGGTTACAGAAGTGGATGGTTTTTACAAATGGTACAGATCTGTAACTAATAAAGAAAATGAAGATCTGCTTGAGCATTTGGGTGAGCCCGTGAGAATGAAATGCAATGCAAAATAAACTTGAGATAAAACAAAAGCTATGCAGTTTGCGAAGCTGGCATTACAAATATAGGAAGCAAGCAGCCAACTGAACCACGTCCGTCGTTGATTAAATAATTTGTTCTACTTGGTCCAAAGTGCAGAAATGCAGTGGGGAGAATAATTCTCAGTCTGTGCTGCTGTCTGGCTTTTTATACTTCTGTTTTGGTTAAAGGAAAAGCTGTGATGGTTGGACGATGCTTCCATCACCAATGGAGGAGCTACCTCCAGCTATTGCAATGGCCCTTACGTTTCCTGATAGGAATGTCTCGCCCCTGACTTCATACTGTGTGTCTGGACCTTCCCAACACCTGGGTATCTTGACTGATTCACACGTCCTTCCTTGTCACCATCTTCTGTCATGGTTATGACAGCGTGAAATAATCTGCGTCTCATCTGCAGTATTGCTATTCCTTAAGAACTGATGTTGTTGTTGTTGTTTAGTCGTTTAGTCGTGTCCGATTCTTTGTGACCCCATGGACCAGAGCACGCCAGGCACTCCTGTCTTCCACTGCCTCCCGCAGTTTGGTCAAACTCATGCTGGTAGCTTCGAGAACACTGTCCAACCATCTCGTCCTCTGTCGTCCCCTTCTCCTTGTGCCCTCCATCTTTCCCAACATCAGGGTCTTTTCCAGGGAGTCTTCTCTTCTCATGAGGTGGCCTAAGTATTGGAGCCTCAGCTTCAGGATCTGTCCTTCCAGTGAGCACTCAGGGCTGATTTCCTTCAGAATGGATAGGTTTGATCTTGCAGTCCATGGGACTCTCAAGAGTCTCCTCCAACACCATAATTCAAAAGCATCAATTCTTCGGCGATCAGCCTTCTTTATGGACTGATGTACACCAAGGAAAAAAGGTTTCCTATTGCTAAGCAAGGACCCTCTCCTCATCAGTGACGGAGCCTACTCAGGGCTCAACCACACTAACCTTCGCTCAGCACAGCTCTGGGCAAAGGGCAAGGGCTTTCTAGGTCTGTGTTTGAGTCCTTCCTTCCTTTTTGCCCCAGTGCTCTCCCTTTAAAATGCTGCTCTTTACTGCGGAATTGGAACAAATGGCAATCTGCGGACAACTCAAATTGCTCCAATTCAGTGGTAAATGTCGGGTTTTCCTGAAGAAAGCACCGGGGCAAAAACAACAAAAAACAACTAGTGTTAAAATATGGACTGGAGAAGCATGAGCCTGTGGCTAGAAAGGCTACGTGTGGATGAGCCCTTAGTCTTCAGCAGGTCTTTCTCAGCAGCTGTGAATCATGTACGAAAACAATCCTTGCTTTATTCTCCTGTATAAAACAGTTATTGTAAAGCAGCTTGTGCAATAATTTTCCATCAAAGGCTCGGATTTCACTCTGTACCTGAAGGTGCATAGAGGCTCCGTCACACAATCTGAGATCTTCATACAGAGAACATACTGAAGTCTTAAAATCTTTCAGGGGTCACTTGTGACTCCCCATTATCATACCTCTGGAGGATGTCTCAGGATCCTGACTGAAACTACAGTGGTACCTTGGTTTACGAACTTAATCTGTTCCGAAAGTCTGTTCTTAAACCGAAACCGTTCTCAAACCGAGGCGTGCTTTCCCTAATGAGGCCTCCCGCCACCGGTGCCCTCCCAACGTTCGGCTTCCGTTCTTAGACCGAGGTAAAGTTATCAAAACAAGACACTATTTCCAGTTTTGCGGAGTTTGTAAACCAAATTGTTCTTAAACCGAGGTACCACTGTATTTGATGGTTTTAGGATGAAAGTAACGCTGCCTTGTCAGTCTTGTCCTGCCGTAGTTCATTCAGATGTCAAAGAGATAAACAACTATATGACATTTAGAAGACATCTGAAGGCAGCCCTGTTTAGGGAAGCGACTAATGTTTTAATGTATTTTTAACCTTCTGTTGGAAGCCGCCCAGAGTGGCTAGGGAAACCCAGCCAGATGGGCGGGGTAGAAATAATAAATTATTATTATTATTATTCCCGTGGAGCTGGCTTCAGGAATTCTGCGGAGGGCTGTACTTCATGCCAAATGTGCTCCTGAGGCTCGTGCTTCATGTTAGTGCTGAGACAGTGAGTTTGACCCATCATCCATTTGTACTTCTCTGTTTTGTACAAGTCAGAAGTGGCTCAGAAGCTAGGAAAGGGTACGTTCTATTATATGTGGTGGACCTGTAGAAGGGAAAAAGAGTGATGGGAAATAATTCACAGTGAACTGAAAAAAAAATGTTTAAAAGCACTCCCCCCAAAAAACAAACAAACCCAGAGTCCTTTCTGTTGGGCATAATTCAGACTGAAATTCCCAGGTGTCAAAAAAGGTTATTTATGTATGCCACTACTGCAGCCCGTGTTTCATTAGCCCAAAAATGGAAAAAGAGTGAGGTCCCAACTAAAGAAGAATGGCAAATTAAACTGATGGACTATGCGCAGCTTGCGGACCTAATTATAGAATAAGAGAACAAGAAAAACATATGTTTAAAGAAGATTGGAAAACGTTTGTTGAATATATGGAGGGAAATTGTGTATGAACCATGGAAAGAGAGGAAGGGAAGTCGTTGATATTTTAAGGTTGTTTAAGTGAATATTAGGGACGTGGATGGCGTTGTGGGTTAAACCACAGAGCCTAGGACTTCCCGATCAGAAGGTCGGCGGTTCGAATCCCCGCGACGGGGTGAGCTCCCGTTGCTCGGTCCCTGCTCCTGCCAACCTAGCAGTTCGAAAGCATGTCAAAGTGCAAGTAGATAAATAGGTACTGCTCTGGCGGGAAGGTAAACGGCGTTTCCGTGCGCTGCTCTGGTTCGCCAGAAGCGGCTTAGTCATGCTGGCCACATGACCCAGAAGCTGTATGCCGGCTCCCTCGACCAATAAAGCGAGATGAGTGCCGCAACCCCAGAGTCGTTCGCGACTGGACCTAATGGTCAGGGGTCCCTTTACCGTTAAGTGAATATTCTAAAATGTAAAACAGAAAGAAAAGGTGTCTTCCTCAACAGGCAGTCAGCTGGCCAGGCCTGCGGAAGCTCCTTGCTGGGGTATCCCCTCCAAGCACATTGCATCTGCCGCTGACGCTGCCCTTGTCCGGGGCCCACCTGTCTGGCCCCCTTATGAGGTTGCTTGCGCATACCAGGGTCCACACAAAGTGCCCCTAGGAAACATGGTAGCTGTGACATGGGGGCTGCCTTGCACATGAAATAAGTCTCTGGGGGTGGCAGACCAAGGGGTGGGTTCGTGTTCTGCACAAATAGTTTGGAGACGCTGCTGAGGGGGCCTTCCTTCCTGTTGTGCTTTTGCTCCCCACAGTACGAGTTCAAAGCCAAAAGTATAAAGAAGAAGAAGGTCACTCTCATGGTGTCTGTGGATGGCGTGAAGGTGCTGCTGAAGAAAAAGAAGAAGAAAAAGGTGAGCTCCCGATTTCTCGGGCTGCAATAAACTCTGGGCACCGTCTGTGCAATTCCTCCCTTAGGCTGGATGGAAAGAGATTTCTGTGCACCAAAGCGTTGACTTTCATGAGGCGTCCACTGTCCTATCCGGCTCCGTGAGGTAAATGAGAGCCGACTCTTCCCCCCCCATATTTGCTCGGGGCACTTTTCTGCCCAGCAGGACGCAACCTGGGTGGCAAGGTTTCTTTTTGACTCTGCCGGACAGGCCCTTACCAGAATTGGTCAAATCAAATGTTACAGAGGGGAATGGCCCAGTCTTACAGGCAGCAGTGGCAGTGGTGGGGGACGGGGACGGGCGGATGGACAGACAAAACAGAGGACACTTCTTTCTCTCCTTAGTGGACCCTGTCCCTGCTGCTGTTGCCATAAGAAGAATGAGCAGTGAGCCTGCGTTTTCAAATGCACAGCAGCATTTCTTATTGCGTTGAGGGGGAAATGAAGGAGAGAACGGATCTTGTGGGAGGTACAAAAAGGTGCTTTGAAACGCAGTCTTCTTGTGCTTCCTACAGCGGGGCAGGGCGAGGGGAGACCAAGGGAAGAAAGAAGCTTCCTTCTCCTCTTTGCTCTCCTTCCACCCCACTGCCACTGCTTCCGGGTGCACAAAAAAGGGACGTGGGTGGCGCTGTGGGTTAAACCACAGAGCCTAGGACTTGCTGATCAGAAGGTTGGCGGTTCGAATCCCCGCGACAGGGTGAGCTCCCGTTGCTCGGTCCCTGCTCCTGCCAACCAAACAGTTCGAAAGCACATCAAAGTGCAAGTAGATAAATAGGTACCACTCCGGCGGAAAGGTAAACGGCGTTTCCATGCGCTGCTCTGGTTCGCCAGAAGCGGCTCCGTCATGCTGGCCACATGACCCAGAAGCTGTACGCCGGCTCCCTCAGCCAATAAAGCGAGATGAGTGCCGCAACCCCAGAGTTGGTCACAACTGGACCTAATGGTCAGGGGTCCCTTTACCTTTACCTTTACAGCTTACAGGCCTTGTTTGGCTGTGTGCTCCTCTTACCTGAGTAGAACCTAAACCTTGCCCATCAGCTGGCTAGCGCAGGCCATATCCTGCTGCATTGGCTGCAGGTGCCTCTTGCTTCCTGGCAAAAGGCACCTGCAGCCAATGCAGAGTCAAATCTCATCCCGCCCGCCCTGCGGGTTGCAGGTGACATCAGCTGATGCCAGGTCACCTGAAGGATTGTGGGTGCACAAAACCTTCCTTGTGAGCTTTGTAATAACTCTGCCACTCAGTGAGGCATCTGTCTTGCTTATACGCAGCTCTCTTTTGCAGAAGAAAGAGTGGGACTGGGACGAGAGCAAACTGCTGGTGATGCACGACCCGATCTACAGGTGAGATCTCGAGAGCAAGGAAGGAGTGTCGGCTCATAGCGCACTTAACTTGATCGGTCGGTGTCTGGCCAAAGGAAATCTACAGTTGGACCTCTGGCCACTGCTGGCAGGTTAATGAAAGGGGAAGCAGAGCCTTGTCTCAGGAAGAAGGGAACCTCGCCCTGCAGACGAGGCACAAGGAGAGGATGGGCTCGGTCGCTTTAAAAGCAAAAAACCCCCACATAAAATGGAAAAGGACATGGTCTTGCTTGTCACTATTCACAAGAGCCAGTTGATGCCCCCTGCAGGTTGATAGCAGGTGGACTTTTCTGGGTCAGGGATCCCCTCGCCTCTCTGAGCGTTCCCACATGAAGCCTGATGTCCTTCATTAGTGCCTCATGTCCTGTATGTAGAGGGACACGGGTGGCGCTGTGGTCTACACTACTGAGCCCCTTGGGCTTGCCGATCGGAAGGTCGGTGGTTCGGATCCCCGCAATGGAGTGAGCGCCCATTTCTCTGTCCCAGCTCCTGCCAACCTAGCAGTTTGAAAGCACGCCGGTGCAAGTAGATAAATAGGTACCACTGTGGCGGGAAGGTAAACAGCATTTCTGTGCGCTCTGGTTTCCGTCATGGTGTTCCGTTGTGCCAAAAGCGTTTTAGTCCTGCTGGCCACATGACCCAGAAAGCTGTCTGTGGACAAACGCCGGCTCCCTTGGCCTGAAAGCAAGATGAGTGCCGCAAGCCCATTGTTGCCTTTGACTGGACTTAACCATCCAGGAGTCCTTTACTTTTACCTTTTTATCTTTATGCAGGTAAAGGTAAAGGGACCCCTGACCGTTAGGTCCAGTCCTGGCCGACTCTGGGGTTGCGGCGCTCATCTCGCTTTACTGGCTGAGGGAGCCAGCGTACAGCTTCCGGGTCATGTGGCCAGCATGACTAAGCCGCTTCTGGAGAACCAGAGCAGCGCACGGAAACGCCGTTTACCTTCCCGCCGGAGCGGTACCTATTTATCTACTTGCACTTTGACGTGCTTTCGAACTGCTAGGTTGGCAGGAGCAGGGACCGAGCAACGGGAGCTCACCCCGTCGCAGGGATTCGAACCGCCGACCTTCCGATTAGCAAGTCCTAGGCTCTGTGGTTTAACCTACAGCACCACCCACGTCCCTTCTTTATGCAGAGCCCACCCCAAATAACCATTCCAAAACAGGAGTTCCCTACTTGCCCTTGTCCTGATTTCCTCTTGTGCCCGGGTGGGAAGCTCTTATTGGACTCCCACCCACGGCAACCAGTATGGCCAGTGCCCAGGGGTGATGGGACTTATGAGTCCCACCACAGCTGGAAGGCCACAGGCTCCCATCCCAGCCAAAGAGCATGGGAGCCTCTTTTGCACATCTTGAGCATCTGTACAATTACTGTGCCATTCCTGCAGGATATTCTACGTGTCCCACGATTCCCAGGACCTGAAGATCTTCAGCTACATTGCCAGGGATGGCTCCAGCAACGTCTTCCGCTGCAACGTCTTCAAGTCGAAGAAGAAGGTGAGCTCCAAGCTGGTCTGGTCTGGCCAGCAGCAGGCAAAGCTTGAGGTGGAGCCTCTGAGTATCTCTGTTTGCGGGGCAGGATCATGGTGTAAATGTGGCGTTAGCACCTCTGGCAGAGCTTGCAGCTGGAGACACATTGTGGAACCTCAGGCCTACTTAGATGGGGATTGTGAGCAGGTTACAAGGAAGGCAATTTTCTCCCCCAGATTGAAGCTAGTATGAGAAAAGACCACCTGAGAAAGGTTTTTTCCCTTCTTTTACTCTTTCTTTCTGTTTTTACATGCTATGGTAGACTAAAACACCTGGAGGGGCCACCTCTGGACTTAAGAATTGGCTTCCCATGGAGATGCAAAGAGGTGGAGGGAATGTTCTTTCATATGGGGGGGGGGACTTGTAAAAGGGTAGAAGAGTACAGTGGTGCCTCGCAAGACGAAATTAATCCGTTCCGCGAGTATCTTCGTCTAGCGGTTTTTTCGTCTTGCGAAGCAACCCTATTAGTGGATTAGCGCTATTAGCAGTTTAGTGGCTATTAAAGGCTTAGCGGCTTAACGGCTTAGCTGCTAAAAGGCTATTAAAGGCTTAGCGGCTTAGAGAAAGGGGGGGGAGCGAAAAAAAATCTCAAGACTTGCAAGACATTTTCGTCTTGCGAAGCAAGCCCATAGGGAAATTTGTCCTGCGAAGCGCATCGAAAAACGGAAAACCCTTTCGTCTAGCGGGTTTTCCGTCTTGCGAGGCATTCATCTTGCGGGGCATCACGGTATTGGGAAATGGTCCATAATGAATTGGGGAAAGAATTAAAAGTACTTCCCCCCCCCAAAAAAAAACCCAGAGTCCTTTCTGTTGGGGATAATTCAGACTGAAATTCCCAGGTGTCAAAAAACGTTATTTCTATATGCCATTACTGCAGCCCATATTTTGTTAGCCCAAAAATGGAAAACGAGTGAAGTCCCAACCAAAGAAGAATGGGAACTTAAGTTGACAGAATATGTGCAGCTTGCAGACTTAACCTATAGAATAAGAGAACAAGAGGAACATACATTTAGAGAAGATTGGAAAACGTTTATTGAATATATGGGAAATAATTGTGTACAGCTGAAAACCCTGGCAGCATTAAGATAAAATCAACAGTGTAAACAAGTTTTGATTGATGTAATAATGGAACACTGAATGGTTTAGTTTATGTACAATATGCAGGGTTTTATGATATGCAAAATGAACCATGGAAAGAGAAGTAGGAAAGTCATTGATATCTTAAGGATGTTTAATGAGTATTTTAAATTGTAAAACGGAAAACTTAATAAAAATTATTTAAAAGAGAGAGAGGGAGGATGGGGGAGCTGGGGACAGTTACTTGGGCACAAATGCCTTGCCTGGACTGCTTGAATGGTCAGGATCCTGTGGGGCGCTACCTTCAGTTGGAGTTGCATCCTTGGGTTTCTCTCCAGCTTGCATCAGGGCAGAGGTGCAGGAGGTTCTCGATTTGGCAAAGGGTCCATGGTTCTTTGTGTCCCGGGAAGAACCTCTTTCCTTGCCTCTCTGCAGAGTCAGGCCATGCGCATTGTCCGAACTGTGGGGCAAGCGTTTGAGGTCTGCCACAAGCTGAGCCTGCAGCACACTCACCAGAATGCGGACGGCCAAGAGGACAGCCAGAGCGAGAAGGGCAGAGAAGACCCGGAGGCGCCAGGTGCGTGGGCGAGGGCAAAGAGGCTGCTGCTGGCACCCTCAGTCTGGATGTTCCTCCTCAGACTAAGCCCTGAAGAGAATCACTCTCTTCTCAGAGCAACAGGGCTGGAGTGTGGATCTGTCATAGATGCTTCGGTTGAGATTCCTGGAAGGGTCCCTTCCAACGCCACAGTTCTGTGACTCTACAATTCCATAACCACCCCCGGGTGGGGAGGAAGCCCAACACCGTCCTCATAGTGTCAGCCTACAGCAACGTGACGAGGAACCTTGCACTTAGCAAAGTTTGAGAAACTCCCTCTTCCTCTGACGCTGAGTTGAGAGGGTGGCAGAGCAAACATCTGGCCCCATTCTGACAGGGACTGGGAGATGGCCTCCTCGGCCTGACCCTTCCAGAGAAGAAGAAGGCAGTTCAGAATTACAACAGGGGTTTGAGGGAGGTCACAGGTCAGGGGAAGATGAGGGGGAAAGTTGGGAAATAATGGGAGAGGAGGAGGAAGAAGAAGAAGCACCAAAGGGGCGACAGCTGATGGACTCAGTGTCTTTAGAAAGCATTCCAGACCCTCCATCTCCCAGAAACTGGCGAACCTTGAAAGTAGGAGAGCAAAGAACTCAAAGGCAGAGGGCATGTAGCAGGACCCTTAGCTGTGACACATGAGAGAAGAACGGGGGTGGACACTCACTCGGGGCAACACCATAATTCCAAGAGGCTGTATTCCCAAGCCTCTCTCTGTGAATATTGAATAAAAAGCAGTTGGTAACAACTTTCCCTTGCCTTATCCGTTCCTGGCGTCCTGCCATGGGAGTTGGATCCTCTGCCGCCTGACACAATTCCCCCACAACCCACTGCCTGCCCCTTGGCAAGCAGGCCACCAGGAGCCTCCACCAGCCCCCTTGACCCTTAGAGGAGAAGATTGCGGACTTCCTTCCATTTTCTACCAAGAGTTTTCGGGGATAATTCCCTCCTCCTCCACCATGCCCTCACGGTACCCTTTGTTTTCTCCTAGCCTTGCCTGAAGCCGAGTCGGTTGTTGCCGCTGAGGAAACGGACATTGATGCTGTGGACTCTGGGCTGCCGGGGAGGCACCACCTGGAGTTCAACAGGGGAGTGACGGACCTTGATGCTGTCGGGGGAGAGCTGCCTGGCCTGCTTTGCACCAAGGTACGTTCATCTTGAGGGACAAGGGTGGCGCTGTGGGTTAAACCATAGAGCCTAGGACTTGCCGATCAGAAGGTTGGCGGTTCTAATCCCTGCGATGGGGTGAGCTCCCATTGCTCAGTCCCTGCTCCTGCCAACCTAGCAGTTCGAAAGCACACCAGTGCAAGTAGATAAATAGGTACCGCTCCAGTGGGAAGGTAAACAGCATTTTTGTGCGTTGCTCTGGTTCACCGGAAGCTGTACGCCGGCTCCCTCGGCCAATAAAGCGAGAGTCATCCACGACTAGACCTAACGGTCAGAGGTAGCTTTATAAGTGAATCTGGTTGTATTGGTCTGAATTCTGCTAACCAGGTTTTATACTGATTGAAGGTCCCAAGTAATTTTCAAGTTCCACTGAGAATTCAGTGAGTGAAAGTTAATATTAATGGCAACCCTGCCTGTTCCACCTAGGTGACAATGAAGGAAGCAGTAACGACACAACTCCTCTCTGCCTACAAAAATCTGTTGGCTCCCATTTTGTAGAACCAGGAGTCTGCGAAAGAGCAGGCTTTAGCCACAGCACAGGAGCAGAAGAGAGGCCTGCAGAGCAAATTTCCCAAGCCTTAGAGTCATCTCGGGGGTGGGGGAAGACCCACGTTTCTACGGATCTAATCTGGGGGGGCAGGTTAATATTTCTTGCCTTAGATATGGCAAATCAAAGCAACTCCGTGGTGTCTTCCCCCAGTGGGACTGAGGTCCAGCTCCGAGGGCCTTCTGGCGGTTCCCTCGCTGCGAGAAACCAAGTTACAGGGAACCAGGGAGAGAGCCTTCTCAGTAGTGGCACCCGCCTTGTGGAACGCCCTCCCACCAGATGTCAAAGAGAAAAACAACTACCAGACTTTTAGAAGACACCTGAAGGCAGACCTGTTTAGGGAAGCTTTTAATGTTAGTGGATTATTGTATTTTAATATTCTGTTGGAAGCCGCCCAGAGTGGCTGGGGAAACCCAGCCAGATGGGCGGGGTATAAATAATAAATTGTTGTTGTTGTTGTTGTTGTTTCTGATTCCCTGCAGCTTGTTTGTCTTTTTCAGGGCTTGCTCCACAACGAGGACATCCTCACGGCTTCCCCCGAGATGTTGCTCCCATCTTCTGCCCAGCTGTCTGAGCCAGGGACCCCTCTCTCTGCTCACCACCAAAGGCAGCTTTTGCAGCAGCTCTTGCAGCAGCAGACGCAGCAGACGCAAGTGGCCGTGGCGCAGGTTGTTATCTTCTCTGTTCTGCGGGAGGGAAGAGCACAAAGGGATCCACGGGGCAGAGCTGGTGCATGAAATGCTTCTGTCCTAGAAATAGCCTGATGCCTTAAAGGGCCAGTGGCTGGTGTCATGAGAGAGATGCCTTATTGGGTCCCTGTGACTCTGTGTGGTGTACTGGTTAAGAGCGGTAGACTCGTAATCTGGTGAACCGGGTTCGCTTCCCCGCTCCTCCACATGCAGCTGCTGGGTGACCTTGGGCTAGTCACACTTCTCTGAAGTCTCTCAGCCCCACTCACCTCACAGAGTGTTTGTTATGGGGGAGGAAGGGAAATGAGAATGTTAGCCACATTGAGACTCCTCAGGGTAGTGATAAAGCGGGATATCAAATCCAAACTCTTCTTCTTCTCATTCGCTCTCCTGCATTGTTTTTTTTATTGCTCGTTCAGTGTTTCCACGGAATGTTGCTCAGGAGTCTGTTCCTCATTCCTAGCTATTTTTAATTCTGCCTGCTATCCCTTTTTTTAAAAAAAAACTTTTTTTATTCAAAATTAAAACAAAACATATTATCCAGAAACATATCATCCTTATTTTTCCCCCATTTCTCCTCCCTCCCCCCTCACATAACACACCCACCCCCACCCCCGACTTCCCTCAGTTCCAGTCTTTGATTTCTCTAAAAATGCTGTTTCCCGCATGTTACACAGTTGTATAGATCCTCAAACTATTTAGCTGATTATTATCAATAAAAAATTTGTGAATGTTTATTCAAAGCCAGCCTAGGGGTCCAGTTCGCTTTGTTGCGTCTTCAAATACTTCGTAAAGGGTTCCCATTCATCTTTAAAGTCACAGTTATCCTTGTCCCGTAGCTTGTATGTCACTTTTGCCAGTTCTGCGTAGTCCATCAATTTTTCTTGCCATGATTCTTTAGGTTTTTATTATTATTATTACTCGTTCAGTGTTTCCACGGAATGATGCTCAGGAGTCTGTTCCTCATTCCTAGCTATTTTTAAATCTGCCTGTTATCCCAGCACGGCTTCCAACAGTTATCTTGGCTTTCAATATCACCAGAATACTGCTGTTCTCCGTCTTTGCCCCAGCTCATTCTCCCTCCGTTCAGTCTGGCACCTCCAACTGCTTATCCTGCCTAATTGGATGTCTCATCACAATTTCAAACTCAAGATCTTTTCTCCTAAGCCTTCCTCTGATCATTTATTCTCTCTCTTTAAAAAAAAAAAAAAAAAATATTAGATTTTCCACAATGATAACACAAACCACAAAGCAAAATGACACACAAAAACAGAAAAAAGAACAATAAACAGATAAACAATAACAACAAACTTAATTCTTCACAAATCCACCTTTTAAACATCTTGGTTGACTTCCTCAAATCCCTCCCTTCTGAGTTTCCTTGTAATTAAAAGTAACAGCTTTCCAATATCATTATTAAACTAAAACAATTTCCAGTTGTAGTCCATCTTATTCACTTTTCTTAACATTCTAAATCCCATTTATTTAATTATAACTTCGTTTAATCCTAGGCCTGTTTGTTTCTTTCAAGTAATTTCTAATTTTTTATATTACAATATTTATTCAAATAGTCCTTAAATTTCCTCCAGTCCTCTTGAAACTCCTCTTCTTTCTGGTCGCGGATTCTTCCAGTCAGGTCAGCTAGCTCCGAAAAGTCCATCATCTTCATCTGCCAATCTTCCACTGTTGGTAGTTCTTGTGTTTTCCAATTTTTAGCAAGTAATATTCGAACGGCCGCCTGATCATTTATTTTCAGTAGCCAGTAGCAATGACCACGGCTTCCTCTGTTGTCCAGGCACCAAGCCTCGATTTCAGCTTTGAAGGCTCCCTCTCTCTGGCTCTTAGCGTCACTCAGTGCCCATCGCGTTTGTGCTCCCTGTGCCATGTTGTGAAAATCCACTTTTCCTGGGGGCATTTTCTACCCTCTCTTTAGGAACCTGTAACTGCATTCTCACACAGTTTGTCCTAGTTAACTTCATGCTTCCTTCCCTCTGTTGGTTTCCCCCTTTCAAAATATGGGTAAGGATCTGGCTTTCTTTGCTTCTGTTTCTCTGCAAAGCGTTAGATACATTTACAAAGACGCTGTCGATGCTTCAGCACATATCTTGCATCCCGGCTTTTTACAATGATGGGATACATGGTAGGTTTGTATTTGATCATTGATTAAAAAATAATAATCTGTGGCTGTTTACCATTAGATTTTCCTTTAGTTACGCAGTGATTTAGTACTTACGTCTGTTTCTGAAGCTAGCTTCTGTGACTGTTGTTTGTTGTTGTTTAGTCGTTTAGTCGTGTCCGACTCTTCGTGACCCCATGGACCCAGAGCACTCCAGACACTCCTGTCTTCCACTGCCTCCCACAGTTTGGTCAAACTCATGCAGGTAGCTTCGAGAACACTGTCCAACCATCTCGTCCTCTGTCGTCCCCTTCCCCTTCTGCCCTCCATCTTTCCCAACATCAGGGTCTTTTCCAGGGAGTCTTCTCTTCTCATGAGGTAGCCAAAGGATTGGAGCCTCAGCTTCACGATCTGTCCTTCCAGTGAGCACTCAAGGCTGGATTTCCTTGAGAATGGATAGGTTTGATCTTCTTGCAGTCCATGGGACTCTCAAGAGTCTCCTAGGGCTATTTTTTGCATTATAGCCACAACAGTGATTATCTGACGTTTAGTCCTGATTCGTGAATTCTGAATACTTTGAGGCGATTAATTTTCAACAGGTCCTTTAGGGAATCACCAACTCCAGCAAGAGTGATTTGAAACAGAGCCATGCCTCCATTTTGTTTGTTTTTGTTTAATTTATATCACTTTTAAGCAATACTTTATATACAATGGGAAAAGACATGCATAGGCCAAATACAATGTTGAAAATAGCATTTTCCATAACAAAAAACCCAAACATTCATGTACATGAATTCAAGAAGGACCACCCTTCTGTCTGTTGCAGTTTATTTAACAATATGCTATAGAAGTAAGAAACGAGTTTTGTTTCCCCCCCTCATTATATACAGTGATTGAATCTTCTTGCAATTTTTCATATTTATAGTAATTCTAGAGCTTGCGTGATTTACGCTATAATTGCGCTTCCTCATTTCAAGTTTCACATCGCTGAATTAAAGAAAAGAATATGCTTCTTCCCTATTAAAATTAGCATGGCCTGAGAAGTGATCATCCCTATTTTATTTTTATTTCTTTGTAAACCCGAAACCAGTTTTTATCAATTTTGTTTCTGTCTCTGAGATAGGTTATTGTATTTTAGTGTTTTGTTGGATGCCGCCCAGAGTGGCTGGGGGGACCCAGCCAGATGGGCGGGGTATAAATAAATTATTATTATTATTATTATTATTATTATTATTATTATTATTATTATTATTGTGGCAAAGATGCTTGGCCTGAAGGCATGTTGCCAGGCGGTAGAAAATGTGGGTGTGCCCACACTGTGCATAATGTATGTCCCCAAAATGTCCTCGTGGGGGGAGGGGGGAGTCCTGTAAAAATAAGGGAGGAAGCCACGCCATTGGGTGCCTTCTCCACAAAACAATTTGCAATGTTTCAGGATCCCCCACCCCCTCCCCAATTTGGGGAAACTAGCAGTTTTGTGACGGCCCTAGCAAGTGTGTTCCTACATGGGTGCAGAGTGTCTTCCGAGAAGATTTCCCTTTGCTTCCTTCCCCGCTTCCTCTGAGCATCTCACCTGAGTCTTCCTTTATCTCTGTTCCTGCAGGTGCACTTGCTGAAGGACCAGCTGGCAACAGAGGCCGCTGCCCGCCTTGAGGCCCAAGCCCGAGTGCACCAGCTCCTGCTTCAGAATAAGGACCTCCTGAACCATATTTCGCTTCTGGTGAAGCAGGTGCAAGAACTAGAGGCAAAGCTGTTGGGATCCAACCCCAGTAAGAGCTCCTTCTCCTCCATATTCCTCCTCCCTTGTCATTCTTCTGCTTCTCCTTAACGCTTAGAGCAAGCTTTTCATCTGACAGTTGCTCTTCTGCCTTTGTGCTTACCATCGCAGTGACACTGTGAGCAGGAGTGGAGGAAGGGGGGTGCGGTGGGGGTGGGCCGCCCCGGGTGTCACCACTGGGGGGGTGACAAAATGCCAGATGGCACTCACCGTGGGGTCTGCAGCGCGCCTGAGCTACCCGTCTCTCCTGGGAGTGACACGATGGCTTGGGCGCCCGCAGGCTCCACTCTGCCCCAAACGGTCCGCCCGCCGCCTCCCCCTCAGGTATAGGGCAGCTGAGTGGGAGGAGGCAGGCAGACTCCTTGAGGCCCCACGGAGCGTCCTGCCCTGGCTTGCCCCGCCATTGACTGTGAGGCAGGGATTTCCCCCGATCTGTTCATTGAAATATTTATATATTGTTTTCCCGGTTGCTAAAAGCAGTTTGCAAGCCATTCAAAGCTAAACAAATCAGAAGGTGTCAGCAAAATCCCAGCTACAGAAAGATGTCACCTGAAATCCAACCTAAAGAAACATGTATTTTCAGCCCGTATAAAATGAAAATGGGGGTTAGCCTGTACCAATAGAGGGAGTCAGTAAAGCACCAAGGAGGGTGGTGGTCTCAAATACTGACTGTCCGACTGACTTGACTTTCACAAGCCTCATGGGACATTCTCACCAGCTCCCCAAAGGTGGCCATAGGAGGGACATATTCTCTCCATTGGGCAAGATTCTCCCATGTTTCAGGCTCTCACGCCATGGACCCAGCTGCATGCTATTTCCCTTGTTTTGGACAGTCTCCTCCACTTGGCTGCCCCAATGTTCATCCCTAACTCTAGAACATTAATGAACAAGTTAAGAAGCACAGGTCCCAATCCCGATCCTTGGGGAAACTCCAATTTCTACATCCCTCTGTAGGGAGAACTGTCAATTTTCCCCCTGCTCTATATTTTCTGTTGCTTAGCCAGTTGCTGACCACAGGTGGCGCTGTGGTCTAAACCACAGAGCCTCTTGGGCTTGTCGATCAGAAGGTCAGCGGTTCGAATCCCCACGACGGAGTGAGCTCCCGTTGCTCGGTCCCAGCTCCTGCCAACCTAGCAGTTCGAAAGCACGTCAAAGTGCAAGTAGATAAATAGGTACCGCTGCAGCGGAAGGTAAATGGCATTTCCGTGCGCTCTGGTTTCTGCCACAGTGTCCCGTTATGCCAGAAGTGGTTTAGTCCTGCTGGCCACATGACCCAGAAAGCTGTCTGTGACAAACGCCGGCTTCCTCGGCCTGAAAGCTTGATGAGCACTGCAACCCGACAGTCGCCTTTGACTGGACTTAACCGTCCAGGGGTCCCTTTACCTTTGTTTACCTTTTTTTACATGACATTTGCTGCCAGCCTAGAGGATCTCCGGTCTGAGCCTCCCTCTCTCCCATCAGGCAGACTGGATCATTGGCGTGACGCTGCTTCTTCTCTCTTTGTCTTTCAGGAGGCTCTCGAGACAGCTTGCTGGAAATCACCTTCCGCCCCGGCGGGCTGCCCGTTCTGTGTGACCCCAGCACCCCTCTGCCCGAAGACACTCGCCCCCTCCAGCTCCACCCCAGCTTCTCCAACGCTGCCAACTCTCTGGCCAGCCCCTTAGGTAGGAGTAACTGCCTGGCGAAGCTGGAATGTTTCTGCTTCCTCCCAGGCGACGGCCCTCCCTTGGGCAGCTTGGAGCTCCTCAAGTTCCGTGAGTCGGGGATCGGCTCCGAGTTCGAGTCCAACACGGACGACAGCGAGGAGTGGGACTCGTGGGGCCAGGAGGCCTCGCTCCGTCTGCTCAGTGTCCTCAACAAGCAGGGCCTGGGAGATAGTTTGGAAGAAGAGGTTGCCATTTAAGAGGAGGCAGAGATCTCAGGCCTGTGGCAAGCGACAGGGGAGGAGAGTGTGGGGGGCTCAGGCCTCCTTGCAAACAGGCCGGAGAAAGCCTGCTTCTTTGTTTGTCTTGGTACCTGGAAGTCAGGAGTAGGGTGGTGGTTTTCCTCCTGAAGGCAAGAGCCGCTTTCCGGGGCGCCCAAAGGTCTCAGGAATTGTTTTCATTTATTTATATATGTATTTTAATGCCATATTGCACCACCAAAAAGGGATACCTGGTGCAAATGACAGCATCTTGAGGATCCTCACCTTTCTTTTAGAGAAGCTAAAAAGGTGTCAGCAGTTCCTGGTGAAACCTTAAAAAGCCAGCAGTGAGAGTGTGCAAGGTTGCCAGTGTCCAGGTGTTGCTTCATAACACTCCCCCCCCCACACACACACTCCCCAAAAGACCTATTAGACGCTGGATAAATTATGCAAATTAGCAAGGACCTGCAAGTTGGCCTCCTTTGCATCATGCATACAGGTGGCAGAATTCAGAGGGGCCTTTTGTGTACCTAGTGGGTTAGATTCGGCTACTGAGTCGCATCCGCAAAAGCCCTGCAAGGGGATTTCCCCTCCTCCTCCTCCCTTGCTGCCTCCTGTACTTAGGATAATCCCTAGTCAGCTTCCAGACAGGACCAATAGCCTTACGTTTCTGCAAACCTCTGAAAGAAACAGTTCAATTATGACAGGGGTTGTCTGTGGGTAAATGATCGAACCTTGGTTGGAATTGGTATTAGAACTGTGGGCCTGATAACTTCTCCTACAGTTTTTGAATACCGTTGAAATTCTTGACACGGCAGCCTCAGTTTCAGAAGCTCAAGTCGTCCTCTTTTGTCGTAACTCTGGCACCTTAGTCCCCCGAGCGCATAACTGCAGGAACGCAGGAGCGGTTCCTTATGGAAGCAACTCCACAAAAGGCCTGTGTGTCTGAAAGCTCAGGCTGCCTCTGCGTTCGTTCCAAAAATCTCCTAGACGAGTCAGAGCTATAGTTGCGCTTGGAACTGGGCATGGGAAAAGTTAGAATTTCTTTGTCTAAACTCAGAAAACGGGTCAGTTCTTTCTAAGCAAGTGTGCGGAATGGATGGGTGAGAGGCAGAGCAAAGACTACATATGTTCCTCTCTAGCTTGGATTTGAAGCTGAGCCAGAGAAGAACTTTTGGGGGTTGCAATGCGTGTTTTGTATGGAGGCAAGTGTTATAAACTTTGCTGTATTTGTTCTCTGAGATGCACTCAGGCAATGCTTGGCATCATCAGTAGTTAAGCGTTCCATTGGCTCCATGTTGTGATTGTCCTTTGGGAAGTAGCATCTCAGTCCTGGCCTTCCATGGGCCAGGTTCTTTTCCCCACATGGGACATGGCCTTTCCTGCTTTCTCTTTTGTGGCTTTCTGAGGGATAGGGCGAGCGGCGTACTGCAAGCGAGAGGTCCAGATTTTTTAGTTTTAACTTAAGACACACAAGAATCCTAAAGGAGCTTCTGTGTTCAGAATAGGTAAAGGTAAAGGGACCCCTGAACATTAGGTCCAGTCGTGGCCGACTCTGGGGTTGCGGTGCTCATCTCGCTTTATTGGCCGAGGGAGCCGGCGTACAGCTTCCGGGTCATGTGGCCAGCATGACTAAGCCGCTTCTGGCGAACCAGAGCAGCGCACGGAAACGCCATTTACCTTCCTGCCGGAGCAGTACCTATTTATCTACTTGCACTCTGACGTGCTTTCGAACTGCTAGGTTGGCAGGAGCTGGGACTGAGCAACGGGAGCTCACCCCGTCACGGGGATTCAAACCGCCGACCTTCTGATTGGCAAGTCCTAGGCTCTGTGGTTTAACCCACAGCGCCACCCACGTCCCTGCAAAATGGACTTCTCACTTTCAGGGAGCTGTTGAGTAAAACAACAGGGCGGTTTCTTAAGCGTCCCTGCGCAGCATAAACTGAACTAGAATTCAGTCGTGCAAGGCAGCAAGACATCATTTCGATCTCTGAGGACTGGCCCATATTATGACAGGCAGCTAGAAGAAGCATCAGTGCCCCTCTTCCTTCCAGCTCTTACCCTGACCAGAAGCTGCAGCAACGGTGGTGCAGAGATCCCTGCTGCCCTCTTAATACTGCCCTGAAGAAGCATCATGTGCTCAGAAACATTATGGGGCTGTTGGGCTTTTGCTCACTTTGACCTTTCCTTAGGTGTTTCCATAGCTCGAATTTTGTTCTATTCTCCTGCAAGCCGCTGCAGACTTTGCCATTACAGTGGTGCCTCGCAAGACGAAATTCGTTCTGCGAGTTTTTTCGTCTTTCGCATTTTTCGTCTTGCGAAGCACGGTTTCGCTGGGTATTAACGGTTTTCAGAAAAAGGAAACAAACTTGCAAGACGTTTTCGCCTTGCGAAGCAAGCCCATAGGGAAATTCGTCTTGCGAAGCAACTCAAAAAACAAAAAACTCTTTTGTCTTGCAAGTTTTTCTTCTTGCGAGGCATTCGTCTTGCGAGGTACCACTGTATTTAATTTGCAGGCTGTTCCCTAGGTTTGTGAGGAACGACCGCTTCCGGCCTTCCCTGTTGGGGAGCATAAGGCACCAAAGGAAGATTTACAATTAATATTTGCCAGGGCGTTCTGCAAATCCTCCCAAGGATTTGCTTGCAAACAAGGGTCATAGGATGTAGTTGGAGGAACTGCAACGATGAATAGGGAGAGGGGGAGATACAGCTGGACAGGGAAGCACGTTGCATTTAACTGCTGTGCAGTTCTTATTAAGCAAATTGGATTTTTTAATAATAATAATAAATCCATGGGTGATTTTTATGCAAAACTACTGAAGATAGAATTTGGGGATGCAGTTTTCACATAGCATCCACAGGAATCCACCTGTGTCTGCAAGACAAGACCTTCTTTTGCGGCTGCTCTCCACCCTTTCCTTCCACCCCTGGTTCAGAGAAAGCAATGCAAATGTGGTAAGCCATTGAACAAGCTGTGTCCCTTCCCCTCTCTTGCGCAGCTTCAGCAAAGCTTTCTTGGTTTCCTGTGGCGTATCCAGGTTTGGAGGGAGGGAGCTCTTAAGCTACTGTTTCCTGGTCTGGATCTCGCAGGAAACCATGGCTTAGGAAAACAAGTGAAGTTTCCTGTGAGAGGGAAGCGGCACATGGCTGGGCCTTAGGTTGAGAAGCCACGGTTTATCTGACCAGGGTTGTTACATCCGGAGCTAGTTTATGTCTGCCACTTAAGAGCTAGTGTGGTGTAGTGGTTAAGAGCGGTGGACTTGTAATCTGGTGAACCGGGTTCGCTTCCCCGCTCCTCCACATGCAGCTGCTGGGTGACCTTGGGCTACTCACACTTCTCTGAAGTCTCTCAGCCTCACTCACCTCACAGAGTGTTTGTTGTGGGGGAGGAAGGCAAAGGAGATTGTTAGCTGCTTTGAGACTCCTTCGGGTAGTGATAAAGTGGGATATCAAATCCAAGCTCTTCTTCTCTTCTTAACCCAGCGAGTTTGAAGCCAAATTAGCTCCCCTGAGGAAGTCTGGCCCATTGTTTGCTCGGCAGCTTGGGCTTTCAGGGACGCAGCTCAGGGAGAAAGTGCCTTCGGGGTGAATTGAGAGGGAGGGCGTAATCCTGCTGGTCTTGTTCAGGAAGAGGAAGGGAGCATCCGAGATACTTCTGTGTTTTGGCAAGAGCCATGAAGGGGCTGGGCTGCTGCTCTCAACCTACGTCAGGCCCTGATATCATAAGACCTTGCTGAAGACAGGAGGGAGGCATGAAAGTGGGAAGGGGGTGAACAAAGGAATGCTTTTCGAGATGGAATGAGTGTGTGTCGGTTGTTAGGGCAGGAAAGCGCCTGCCATAGAGCAGCCAGGGCAGAGGTGCCAGCATGCCCAGCAACACTGGCAGATGCCTCAGGCAAGAAAATGCAATTTGAAAAGGAAGGCACCTGATCACAGTTCATGGGGCAGATCACTCACAGCAGCCCAGACTGCTTAGACCATGGGTAGGCAAACTAAGGCCTGGGGGCCGGATCCGGCCCAATCACTTTCTAAATCCGGCCCACAGACGGTCCGGGAATCAGTGTGTTTTTACATGAGTAGAATGTGTCCTTTTACAGTGGTACCTCGGGTTACATACGCTTCAGGTTACAGACTCTACTAACCCAGAAATAGTACCTCAGGTTAAGAACTTTGCTTCAGGGTGAGAACGGAAATCGTGCTCCGGCGGTGTGGCGGCAGCAGGAGGCCCCATTAGCTAAAGTGGTGCTTCAGGTTAAGAATAGTTTCAGGTTAAGAACAGACCTCCAGAACGAATTAAGTTCTTAACCCGAGGTACCACTGTATTTAAAAGGCATCTCTGGGTTATTTGTGGGGAATTTGTTCATTATTATTTTTTTTCAAAATATAGTCCGGCCCCCCACAAGGTCTGAGGGACAGTGGACCGGCCCCCTGCTGAAAAAGTTTGCTGACCCCTGGCTTAGAGGGACTCTCAGAGGATGGCCTTTCTCCATCTCCTGGCATTCCACAGATGGTTCCTTCATAAATCCTCTTGGGAGTTTCCTCCGCATTTTCCCTTTCGTTTTCTCCTTTTGCAAAAGCAGTGGATGTTATGGAATTTCTTTCTCTGTAAGTGCACTTAAGCCCCGGCCGGTGGTGTTAGAGCTTCTTGCCTATTGCTAAATAAATCTTCCTTATTTCTAAAGCTGAACTGACGTCTCTGCTTTCTTTGCTTTCCTTGTATCTTTTCACACTTCCCTCCTTTCTTCTCGATCACCTCGAGTGTTACAAGAAAGATGGCTGGTTTGTTCAGGGTTCCTTACAAGGAGTAGCACAGCAACCTTCAGTTAGAGAACAGGGACCCAAATTTAACACCCGGAGTCTGGAAAAGAGAAAAGGTCATGTGAAAATCTGTGGCTAACACTGGCAGGTCCCAAGGTAGGTTAAAGGTAAAGGGACCCCTGACCATTAGGTCCAGTTGTGACCGACTCTGGGGTTGCGACACTCATCTTGCTTTATTGGCCGAGGAAGCCGGCGTACAGCTTCCGGGTCATGTGGCCAGCATGACTAAGCCGCTTCTGCAGAACCAGAGCAGCACACGGAAACGCTGTTTACCTTTCCGCTGGAGTGATACCTATTTATCTACTTGCACTTTGATGTGCTTTTGAACTGCTAGGTTGGCAGGAGCAGGGACCGAGCAACGGGAACTCACCCTGTCACGGGGATTCGAACCGCCGACCTTCTGATCAGCAAGTCCTAGGCTCTGTGGTTTAACCCACAGTGCCACCCGCGTCCCAAGGCAGGTTGTGCATAACCAAAGACTGTTTGAAGAGACCAAGTCCTGTATTCCACCTCTCCCCCAATAGAACAATGGTTTGCAGAGAACAGCTGTGCCAGACAGGCATTGCACCGGTGCTGCCAGACGGTCAGACCTTATGGGGCAGAAGGTTAGGGTGGAAAGCATCAACCCTAGTGGCATCTTAGCAGTTTAAACCTGCTGGCACTCCCAAGTCTCATGCTGCATCGTCAGCCAAGGAAAAAGAACCATAAACCTTTCCACTAGTGAGTCAGGGCTTTCCCCCCCCCCCACATTTTCTAGGAGCAGGTCTGTGCTTTCCAAGTCTGAGCACTCCCCCTCCCCCACCCACTGCAAAAGCCCGCTTTTTGATGCTGGAAGAAACTGAAATTTGGGGTTTCCCCAGATTGCTGTTTGCTCCAATTTAGCAGTAAAGAGCAGCTTTTTGCAAGGCAAGCGCTGAGGTGAGGGGGCTCAGATGCAGTGCAGGCCTGCACCTAGAAATGCGGCGCAAAAGAAAGTCTGGATGAGCCCTCGGGCAGCTGTCCCGGACGAGAGTGTGCCATGAGGCGTGCAGTAATGTTAATGGTGTGTGCCATCCAGAATTATGGTGCTTGGGCTGTTCCCAACATCCTCACCAATTGCGGTCTGGGAGCTGTCCTGGTTGTTCTTCTTTCCTTAGCAAAATGCACACTCACCTCTACGACTGTGCACTCCTAGGTGGGGAAACCCTGTGAAAAGGCTGCACTCAGAGGGCTATCGTAAGTAGCCGGAATGTTGTGCCTTGGAGGCCCTGGCTGACCGGTGAAAAACCAGCTCTGAGGAATAGCAAAGGGAGAGAGACACTGGGAGGAAAAAGCAGGAACCAAAACAGCCTTTTAAATGATGGTACAGAGGGTCAGGCCACCCTACTTAGCCCAGCTGCCGGAACAACATGGTCTTCACCTGCTGACAGAAGGACAATGAGGAGGGAGCCAGTTTGGCTCCTCTAGTTAGGGAGTTCCGAAGCTGGCACCACCAAGAAGACCCTCCTCTCCCGCAGCCCCACCTGCGAAGGTCTAGGGACAGAAAGAAGAGCCTTCCCCAAAGATCTCAGAGCCCAGGAAGGTTCATATGGGGGATTAGAGTCCTTCACACAACCTGGGCCTAAGCCAGACTCTACGCAGACATTGCTCCTTCGCACCGGGGGCAGGGGGGACAGACCTGGCTGGCCCGTGTTCCCCCTCGTGTGGAGGAACTCTGCCCCAGCCTCAGGGTATGGGCACAGAATCCATTCCCCCCCACCTGCCAAATAGCAGGGCGTTTTCCAACTACACTAAATGGTCCCTGTCCCCCTTTAACCTTTCTGCATAGGTAAACAGCTCCTGTCCCCTGATCAGTGTAATTGCCCCATTGCTACACTTTTTTCCAAAACACAAAAATCCTTTGGAGATGCTGCAACCAGGACAGGACCAGGACTGAACTGGAAGTGACCCCGTACCTTTCCTCTCTAGGAGAACCCCGGACCGGGCTGGCTGGGGCAGATGGGAGTTGGGGGCCCAAGAATGTGGAGGGAGGCACCAGATTGGCTACCCCTGATTTATAGACCTCCCACCACCCCCATTTTACCACCTCAGTATACAGAGTCAACAGTCTCATTGAGCATTCCTCCATGAGCCAGCGTGGTGTAGTGGTTAAGAGGGGTGGACTCGTAATCTGGTGAACCGGGTTCGCTTCCCCGCTCCTCCACATGCAGCTGCTGGGTGACCTTGGGCTAGTCACACTTCTCTGAAGTCTCTCAGCCTCACTCACCTCACAGAGTGTTTGTTGTGGGGGAGGAGGGGAAAAGGAGGTCTTAGCCGCTTTTCGACTCCTTAGGGTAGTGATAAAACGGGATATCAAATCCAAACTCTTCTTCATGATTTTTTCCTAGTCACTTGCAAAGCTTACATTTGAAGTTAGGGAGTGAAGCCTCAATGTATGGGGCCTGCCCACTGGATCTCAATTTTCATTTTGTTTTCCGTACACTATGTTTGTAGCAGCTCTGAAAGGACCATCTGTTTGGATTTTCACTATTTTAGTAAATAACTCAGTGTCCTCTTCAAACCTGGCCACCTTGCTGCTCACCCCATTTCTAGGTCGTGTAAGAATAAATCAAATAGCATCACTCTCAGGACAGATCCTTCTTCTATTGTGGAATCTTATCAGTCTATAACTGCTGTCTCTGTCTTCTTTCTTGACCTTTTAAGGATCATTAATGCTGGCCCAATCCAGGGAACATTTCCAAAATGATACCTTGGAGGTTCCATCCTATATCCAGCAACCCAGAATTTTCTTCCAAACCCTCCACAGCCACTGACTTCTCCTTGGCGCTGCCTGCCCAGCATATGATTTCTGTACTTTCTGTGCCCCTGCATTAGATAATTAGATAGATAGATAGATAATTTATTACGGTCAAAGACCAGATTCCCCTGCTTTGTTTCTCACTAAGTGCCTGTCCTCCTTCCCATTGCCATGCAATCCTTTTAGACCAGACATGTTAAAAATCAGGCACGTCCAACAGGTAGATCATGATCTACCGATAGATCACTGAACGTCTGAGATAGATCACTGGCCGATCACTGGCTCCCCCCAAAGAAGCTCAACAACTTTGGCTCCCCTAAAAAAACCCAACTTTTCTGCCCTGCACCCTTAAAAAACGGGCCTTCCTCCTCTTCCTTCCCCAAAAAACAACTTTTCTTCCTAAAAAAAGCTCAGCAACTTTGGCCTGAACCCCCAAAAAGGGGGTAGATCACTGCCAGTTTTTAACTCTGTGAATAGATCGCACTCATGGGAGTTGGCCACCCCTGTTCTAAATAAAGTGCTCTGTGCCTGTCATCTAGGGTACCAGCCAGGTCCATAACAAATTATGCAGCTAACCCAGTTTATTTTTCTGCTATCTTCCCACTTCTCTTGCCTGATACTTCTCTTGCCTGATACTTCCCACTTCTCTTGCCTGGTTCTAAAACGTGTTTCGGAAGCCGGAGATGAGGGCACCTCTCTGATAGCCAGCCTTAAACACTTGCCACAAATGAACCTTCCTGCTCATTCTGCTGAGGCGTCTGCTCCAAGCCTCTTCCAGAGCTGCTGATGGTACAGGGCTGGGGTTGAGGAAGGTAGGGAATGACGCATGCATGTGTAGCATGTAACTGGCAGGACTGCAGCCTCTCCTGCCATGCAGGGCCACGCCTACTCTGGTCCCACAAGGACGGCAGGCAAAGGGCCAGTTGAAGGCCAAAGCCCCCTGAAGGGCTGCAGGCAGTCTTCCCCCCGTCTCATGTGCAGACATGCCTTTGATGCCTCTGTGGCCTGTAGGTAGAATCTGCTGCCTTGGTGTGTCTCCAACTGGAGCAACTGCCCTTCCATGGCAGCCAGGCGCCCTGAAGGTGCCAGGAAGAGGCTCCTGGCATGGTTCTAGCCAGCCTCGCATGCCTTGGTGATTGTACCAGAGAGACACAGGACCCTTAGTAAACAGCCACCAGCCGAGCGGCGGGGATGCTTCAGGGCAGGGCGAGTCGAGTTGCAGGCAGGCCTCAGCCAGCACCAAAGTTTGTCAGCAATGTCTAGGCAACACGATGACCATGTACATACGCAATAGACAATCTTTATAGAATTCCTTCAAACCATAACAAGTACAAAATGAAATCTTTCGTCTCAAAGTCTCTGAAAATCTTTAAATGAAGCGAGGTACCAGACAGTGATTCTGGACATTGACTACTGTTTCGTAGAATTCTTCGTCAGCGTGGTGGGAGGATATAGAATTGCATTCTACATTATTACATGAGCACTGTTCCACAGCATTTGATATTTTCGTTTACATACATTCATTCGAAATAAGATGGGTTTATGAAGCAATTCTATATCCTCCACCACGCGGACAAAGAATTCTACAAAACAGTAGTCAATATCCGGAATCACTGTCCAGCGTTGGGCATCATATTCGCTGAATACACAAAGCTTCACAGCTTGTCTTTCATCGTACAAAGTCTGGTACCTCGCTTCATTTAAAGATTTTCAGAGACTTTGAGACGAAAGATTTCATTTTGTACTTGTTATGGTTTGAAGGAATTCTATAAAGATTGTCTATTACGTATGTACATGGTCATCATGTTGCCTAGACATTGCTGACGTTCTCTTTGCAACACGGGGGTTTGTTTGGTTACTTATTGAGGCACCAAAGTTTGAGCAGCATCAGCGGTGGAAATAACCGTGAGGGGCAAGCTCAGGGAGGAGGAGATGTGAGAAAGAGGCTTCTCCCTTTTGGGAACAGAGACCCCAGGCGAGGAACGGAGCGAGGCTGCGGTGGAACAGCGAGCTTGCTCTAAGCAGCATCAATAACTTGCTTTATTCTTGGGCTGTGGGGGAAAGGACGGGCGCCTGGTGGCTGCGACGCCTCTTGCAGACGGACATTGCTATTTGAGCATTTTGTGGCTGCCCGCTGGACGATTACTGGGGCGCCATTTGCGCTCCTTCCCCCACAGGGCTTTGAGCTTGTGGTAATAGACCTGGCAGCTGAAGCCCTCCCGGGCACCACGTTTGATGTGGGCCTTGAGTGAGCGCAAAGTTGGAAACATTCGGCAGCAGGCCACACATTGGCACCCATGCGGGGGCCGCCACTTGGAAGCCAAGAGGATGTCCTGGGAAGTGATGCAGTCCGTGGCTTTCCTGCTGCTGCTCCTCTCTTGGGGATATGTTTTCTCCAGGGAGCCGGACGAAGAGGAGCCACTGTCCACGTTGTCTCCGGCAGGCCCAGTGTCGGCTGGGACTTCTAGGCTGTTGCCTCCCAGTGTCCCTGGGAAACCACAGGAGTCAGTTTGGCTGTCTTGGTCCATGCACACAAAGTAGCTGTAGGGGGAATACCAGGGGCGGTAGATGGTGCAGTTCTGCTGCGGTGGCTCCCCACTCTGCAGTTCCGCAAGGAGGCAGTCTGGCACAAGAAAAGGGGGAATGAGCCTTGTGACTTTCTCAGACCTGGCCAGCACCGTGTGATGGTTGGTGTGGTAAGCTAAAAGGTAAAGGCAATGGTGGAGCAAGCCAATCAGGCGCCTGGGGTGGCGTCTGTGCCCTGCGCCCAGGAGCGGCGCCTGCCACCCGTGGGGCAGGGGCAGCCGGGGCCGGACGCTCCGCAAGGCCTCCAAGGAATCTGCCTTCCTTCTCCCACTCAGCTGCCCTACAGCTGAAGGTGAGGCGGCGGGTAGGCCATTTATGGCAGTGCGGAGCCTGTGGGCGTGAGTGCCGCCTGGCATTTTGTCACCCCCTTGGTGGTGGCACCTGGGGTGACCTGCCCCCACCGCTCCCTCTTCCTCCGTCCCTAGGTAAAGGACCCCTGGAAGGTTAAGTCGAGCGAAAGGCAACTATGAGGTTGCGGCGCTCATCTCGCTTTCAGGCTGAGGTAGCCAGCGTTTGTCCACTGGCAGTTTTCCGGGTCATGTGGCCAGCAGGACTAAACCGCTTCTGGCGCAATGGGACACTGTGACGGAAACCAGAGCGCACGGAAACGCTGTTTACCTTCCCGCCACAGAAGTACCTATTTATCTACGTGCACTGGCATGCTTTCAAACTGCTAGGTTGGCAGGAGCTGGGACTGAGCAACAGGAGCTCACCCCGTCACAGGGATTCGAACCGCTGACATTCCGATCAGCAGGCCCAAGAGGCTCGGTGGCTTAGACCACAGCGCCACCCGCTTCCCATGCATTCCTATACTACCACAAACTAGGTTACTCCTCATCCTTCTACCCCATTTCACATTTCATTCAGAAAACATTTGCTTCTGTTCAAACTGTTCCGGGGGTACCTTTCTCCCACCACTCCCCCCTCCCCCCCCAGCTCACCTGGCAAGCTGCTTTTGTGCACGGGGCATGTTAAGTCAGGTACACTCTTCAGGGCAAAGCTGGGGAGACGTGGCCCAGAGATTGTCAAGAGGGAAAAATTTTCCATGTCCTCTCAGACACTCCTTCACTAAAAGGGCCCATTTGTGGTGCAAAGCTTTCTCCGGGCAAAGGACCAGGTAGCCAGCTGGCCTTGTGACATCATCTCCTGACCTAACAAACAGCGACTGCTGGCACCTGGGCCTGACTTTGTAGAGGCTGCCGGCTGGCAAGGGCAAGTTGTGGGGGAAGCCTTTCTATGTGGGTCTCATGCTGACTCCTCCTCGAGGGGAGAGATGTGTAGGGCAGGCTACACAGGTGCAATCGAAAGTGGTTCGGTGTCCTTTGCGAGGTATCTCAGCCCCATCGTCCTAATTTACCGCCTCTAACGAGAAAGGCAGCAATCGGTGGATTAAAATGAGACACAGGCTCTCAGCTCAGGCTCGGGAAACAAAAGCAGAGGAGGGTAAGGCAGGAGGATTTGCCAGGAAAATCTCAGCTAAAGAGATGCCTTGCGATAATTTTTTTAATGAAGTGATTGAAGTGGCTTAATCGCAGATGAGAAGAGTATTATAAAAACAATATGGTATAATCAGGGAGAAGGGGAAGGAGGCAAAAACTGAGGTAAAAATATTTGGCTTGGCAAGTAGATTTAAGTCAGAATGTGGAAGGAGAGGGAAAAAGTGGAGAAATAGAGAAGAGACACTTAAAAGATAATGAGGGCTTGAAGCAGACCTGAAACAAAAAAGGGAGTCAAAGGGAAGTGGAGAAACGTGATCACAATGACATGCGCTCTAAAGGAGACCATTGGCCAAATTTTGAATAGGAGTAAGCAAAAGAGGGAAACGGTCAAGGGTGAGGTGTGAGACAGTTCAAGAGAGTTTGAGAAAACTCATGAAGAGGGGAAAGAAACGATGGAAGAAGGGTAATGGGAAATATTTCCATCTGGAGAGATGGAAACCAACATGCCGAAATGGAATGAGGGTAATAAGTGCCAAAACACAACCAGCCGAGTGAACTGAAAAGGGAAGAGGAAATTAGCCAAATGGAAAGAGAAAAGGGCGAGTAAATGAATCGCTAGTGAAGAGTAGATTAAAGCAGCCTTAAATGGAGTAAATTGCCGTTGGCACCCATTTGTCTCGAGAGACAATGGAGTGCACCTCTGGGGGGTGAAGTCAAACCACTGTTAGCAGCACCAAAGTGGTCTCTCCAGGGCGCAAGCCTGGGCAGTTGTATGTTAAAGTCCTGGGATGCCCAGACAACAAGACCTATCTCTTGGCCTCACCAATGCATAGCTGTCAAGTTACAGATTTGAAAATAAGGGACCAGCAGCCTCGAAAAGAAGGGATCAGCAGCCAAAATAAGGGATTTTGGCTTAGCTTATGCATAAATCCGCCACTCATGGATCCATGCTGCTTTTGCTGCCACTGACTGTGTTTTACATGGGGTTGGACTAGATGATCCTAAGGGTCTACAACTCCAACCAAAGAAGAGGGGCAGACAAAACTGATGAACGACGTCGAGATGGCAAAGCTTCCAGGCAGAATTAGAAACCAGGAAGAGGACCTCTTTAATAAAGAATGGGGAAAGTTTATAATTTAGTTGAAAAGCTGTTGTAAAGAGTTACATACATTAGTAGGGTTGACAGAAAACTTGTAGTAAAAATTTGAACTATGGATGGACAAATGATTTATAAAAATAGAGTCATGAAAGGGATGCAGAGGGGGAAATCACTACATTAAGATGCTGCACTGGTTGGAGGGTATGCTAAGCAGCACGTCGGGGCTGCCGTCGTCCTGGCGCGAGGAGTTCCATCAGCCCTTCCCCGCCCGAGAGAGAGGGAGGAAGGGAGGGAGAGAGACTCTCGCCCACACCGCCTGCGAGCTGGCATGAGGCGGTTGCGGCGGCGCCGTGGCCACTGAAGCACCGCCCTTCTGTGTCCCTCCCCATCCCCTCTTCTTCCTCCTCCCTCAGGCCACCGCTGCCGCCTCCGGCTTCCCCTGGCAGCGCGGTGGAAGTCTCGCAAGAGAGGGGCTGCCTGCCCGCCTGCCGCCACCTGTCTCCTCACGACGCGCCCCTGAGGGGGAAAAGGGAGAGACAGAGATGCGGCAGCTCGTGCACGCTCTCTCTCTCTCGCTCTCTTGAGGCGGAGGACCCCGAGCCGCTGCTTCCCTCCCGAGCCGGGCGAGCATGAAACCCGGGAAATTTAAGGGACATTATCAATCTGGGACAGCAGCGGGAAACGGCACTGGGATAAGGGAGTTTCCCGCCAAATAAGGGACGCTTGACAGCTATGCACCAATGGGGTCCAAAGGAAAGCAGAGATTTATAAGCCTGCTTCTTAAGGAAGCAGGAAACAGGAAAGCCTGTGTACCAGAAGTGTCCTAGGACATAAAACTGGGAAAGTCGGTATGGGCTTTTTAATTAGCTGAACAGAGTTTCTGCCCTTTGGGGAACTTGGTTTCTTAAATGCACACCTTCCCCTTCCTTGTGTCCCTGGTGAGAAAAGCCAATCATGGCTTTCTTCCTTTGGCAACTGAGACAGCAATGGCCATTTCTAGACTGGGAGAGCCTCGCCACGGCCATCCACGCAGTGATAATCTCCATGTTGGATCGCTGCAGCCTGCTCTATCTGGGGCCCATAAAAGCTGCAGTTGGTGAAAAATACAGCGATGTGGCTGCTCACTGGGCCAGAATATTATGATCACGTTATATGTCTTGCTGAAAAAATTGCACCGGCTTCCAATTAGCTTCCGGCTCAGTTCAAAGGGCTGGTGTTAGTTATAGGCTCTTGAGACCAGTATAGCTTAAAGTTGTCTCACCCCTGATAACTGTGTTCCTCAAGACAAGGCCTCCTGCAGATACCAGTTCACTAGGAGTCCATCCCATGCCGCGTTAGAATTGGGATTCTCTCTTACGCTGTGTTTCAGGCAACCACCATCTTGGTTATCATTTCGGCGTCTATTAAATAACTCGCTTTTCTTTTTCCTTTTTAAAAATAATTTTAATCTAATTTTCAATTACAATCCAATAATAGCCTCATTATAACAATACCAAATTATAATACAATTACTAATACCAATCATTCAGGTACCAAATTATATCATTTAGGTCGCCCCCACGTGCTAGATATGATGGTTTGATGATTTTATTTATTTCTGCGTTCCAAAATCTTATTAATTTCAATTGCACTCCAGTCAAAATAATCCCTTATACAATACCTATGATATTAACAACATCAATTCATATTGACACATTAAGTGGTTTATAAAAACTACAAGTGAGGCAGTCAGACTATATCCTTGTTCTACTGGTGTGTGGCAATTATTCTGTCCGTGCTGTTTCTTCCTGTCCTTGTAAAATACTAACCGTATTTTTCGCTCCATAAGACGCACCTGACCATAAGACGCACCTAGTTTTTAGAGAAGGAAAACAAGAAAAAAAATACTCTGAACGAAACAGTGGGTGTATGATTTTTGTGGTTCATTCTATGGCCACAGAAATGTGATTTGATGGTGAGTTTGGGGTAGCCCAGTGCAAAAATCCTGAGAATACATGTGGATCCGTGCTTTGCAACCACATTTTGGCGCCATTGCAGCCCCAGGAAACAGTGGGTGCGTGATTTTTTTGGTGCAGGCTGTAGCCATGGACAAGCTATGTGATCTGAGGGTGAATTTGGGGTGACCCAATGTAAAAATCCTGAGGATCCATGGGCTTTTACCTCCCCCCTCCCAGGCAGCCTCCTTTATCGCTAGCGTCCCTTATCTCTCTCCTGATCCCACCGATCAGCTGCTTCCTTTCAACACTCCCTTCCCTTTTGTTTGCCTTAGTGTCTTTTCCTTAGCTGGAGCAGTTTTTTGCTCCTCCTTTTCTTCTAATTTCTCTCCTCATTGATTTAGTCTTCCTGTCCTCTCCTTGCAAGTATGCTGTCTTTACCTCCCCACTCCCAGGCAGCCTCCTTTATTGCTAGCGTCTCTTATCTCGCTTCTGATCGCTTGTGATCAGCCGCTTTGTTTCAACACCCACGTCCCTCTTTCAAAAAAAAAAAAAAAGCATGATCTGCTTTTCACCCCTGTGCTCCAGGGACCACACATTCGCTCCATAAGACGCACAGACATTTCCCCTTACTTTTTAGGAAGAAAAAATGCATCTTATGGAGCGAAAAATACGGGTTGTCTACCTTTTCCTGGTTGTTGCTGTTCTCCATCATGCCTTGGGCGGAGCTAATATCCCATTTTTGTTTCAGAAATTCTCCATTGCTCTATCGCGTACTTCATTGCTTTGCAACTTTAACAGCGGCTGCAAAACTCCCACTGTCCCAATAAATAACTTGCTTTTGCCATCTTTTCCTCTCAGACTGGGAAGGAGAGTGATTTGAAGAACTCGCTTTTCCAACAAGCCTCTCAACGGAAGATTTTCATCCCAGCTTGTGTTTATATTGGACTTGAAGTTGTTTTAAAATATGCTTTGGTTATTGATGCACATAGATTAAATCGCCTTGTGTTCTATGGGAAGAAATTCATTCATTAAACAGATAACAAATGCACATGAAAAACAATTGGTCAGGCTAGGCTGGGTGAAGAGGGATTTTCCTGGCAACTGTCCCACTCACACGGGTGCCATTTTGTTTCTTTTCTAGTTGACCAAAATACGTTTGAGAATTCAAACACTACCGCTGCAACAAAGCTGCCGGCTGCCAAATCGGTCTCCCTTCACCCCAGATCCTCCCCCTGTGTGAGCCCTCGAGGCCCCCCCGAGTGGGTAGGGGGCAGCCAGCACTTGAAGAACCTGAGCAAGACGGTGGGTGCGAAAGTCAACGACTTGCTACGCAGGAAAGAGACCAGCAACCACAGCAGCTTTGGGGTAACCGAAGTGAATGAGCGTGCTGGGGCCGCCCTCTCCTGTGGGGAAGGACCGGACCAGGAGGAATGGTAAGTGGGCATAATAATAATAATAATAATAATAATAATTTATTTGTACCCCGCCCATCTGGCTGGGTTTCCCCAGCCACTCTGGGCGGCTTCCACAAAGACCAAAAATACACTAAGATGTCACACATTAAAAACTTCCCTGAACAGGGCTGCCTTCAGATGTCTTCTGAATGTCAGGTAGTTGTTTATCTCTTTGGCATCTGGTGGGAGGGCGTTCCACAGAGCGGGTGCCACTACCGAGAAGGCCCTCTGCCTGGTTCCCTGTAACCTCACTTCTCGCAATGAGGGAACCGCCAGAAGGCCCTCGGCGCTGGACCTCAGCATCCGGGCAGAACGATGGGGGTGGAGACGCTCCTTCAGGTATACTGGGCCGAGGCCGTTTAGGGCTTTAAAGGTCAACACTAACACTTTGAACTGTGCTCGGAAATGTAGGTCTTTCAAGACCGGTGTTATGTGGTCTCGGCAGCCACCCCCCGTCACCAGTCTAGCTGCCGCATTCTGGATTAGTTGTCGTTTCCGGGTCACCTTCAAAGGTAGCCCCACGTAGAGCTCCAGAGCCATTAGTGGTCACTACTGTTTGCAGCTTCTGCAGGTCACTGATATAGGAATTTAGGACTTTACCTGAGGCCCCCCTCCCCCACTGCCAGAGGACGCAGGTGGCGCTGTGCTCTAAACCACCTGAGCTCAGAGCCTGAGCTCAGAGCCTGTGTCTCATTTTAATCCACCGATTGCTGCCTTTCTCGTTAGAGGCGGTAAATTAGGACGATGGGGCTGAGATACCTCGCAAAGGACACCGAACCACTTTCGATTGCATCTGTGTAGCCTGTCCTACACATCTCTCCCCTCGAGGAGGAGTCAGCATGAGACCCACATAGAAAGGCTTCCCCCACAACTTGCCCTTGCCAGCCGGCAGCCTCTACAAAGTCAGGCCCAGGTGCCGGCAGTCGCTGTTTGTTAGGTCAGGAGATGATGTCACAAGGCCAGCTGGCTACCTGGTCCTTTGCCCGGAGAAAGCTTTGCACCACAAATGGGCCCTTTTAGTGAAGGAGTGTCTGAGAGGACATGGAAAATTTTTCCCTCTTGACAATCTCTGGGCCACGTCTCCCCAGCTTTGCCCTGAAGAGTGTACCTGACTTAACATGCCCCGTGCACAAAAGCAGCTTGGCAGGTGAGCTGGGGGGAGGGGGGAGTGCTGGGAAAAGGTACCCCCGGAACAGTTTGAACAGAAGCAAATGTTTTCTGAATGAAATGTGAAATGGGGTAGAAGGATGAGGAGGAACCTAGCCTGTGGTAGTATAGGAATGCATGGGACGCGGGTGGCGCTGTGGTCTAAACCACTGAGCCTCTTGGGCCTGCCAATCGGAAGGTCGGCGGCTTGAATCCCCATGACGGGGTGAGCTCCCGTTGCTCTGTCCCAGCTCCTGCCAACCTAGCAGTTTGAAAGCACGCCAGCGTAAGTAGATAAATAGGTACTTCTGTGGTGGGAAGGTAAACGGCATTTCTGTGCGCTCTGGTTTCTGTCACGGTGTCCCATTGTGCCAGAAGCAGTTTAGTCCTGCTGGACACTTGGCCCGGAAAGCTGCCAGTGGACAAACGCCGGCTCCCTTAGCCTGAAAGCGAGATGAACGCCACAACCCCATAGTTGCCTTTGACTGGACTTAACTGTCCAGGACAGGCATAGGCCAACTCGGCCCTCCAGATGTTTTGGGACTACAGTTCCTATCATCCCTAGCTAACAGGACCAGTGGTCAGGGATGATGGGAACTGTAGTCTCCAAACATCTGGAAGGGAGAGTTGGCCTATGCCTGGTCCAGGGGTACCTTTACCTTTTTGCTGCCAGAGGACTCTTGGCTGCACTGGGGCTGGAGTTGGAATCGTCACAACATCTGAACTCCCAAAACTCACAACCCCCAGGGGCTCACACCTTTCAGAGGTTTAAGTCCCAGGACATACAGCTAACAGGTCATGAAAGTTGTACTAGGCCATTTTGCCCATCGCTACACTTGATTTAGGGACGCAGGTGGCGCTGTGGGTTAAACCACAGAGCCTAGGGCTTGCCGATCAGAAGGTCGACAGTTGGCTCCTGTTGCTCTGGGTGATCTCCCGTTGCTCGGTCCCTGCTCCTGCCAACCTAGCAGTTCGAAAGCATGTCAAAGTGCAAGTAGATAAATAGGTACCACTCCGGCGGGAAGGTAAACGGCGTTTCCATGCGCTGCTCTGGTTCGCTAGAAGCGGCTTAGTCTTGCTGGCCACATGACCCGGAAGCTGTACGCCGGCTCCCTTGGCCAATAAAGTGAGATGAGTGCCGCAACCCCAGAGTCGGCCACAACTGGACCTAATGGTCAGGGGTCCCTTTAGCTTTACACTTGATTTACTTGTGTAACGGAAAGCAGTGCACCACAATAGGTAGGCGGAAGATGGGACAGGACTCTCCACCAGATCAGCCCTGGGGTCAAAGAACTAAGGACCTGCGCTCTTAGGAGGTGTATTCCCTCGAATAGCTGGAAGAATTTGTGCCACTTTTTAAGCTGTGCTGCCCTGGTAGGCGAAGTGCTGAGAGCACTTTGCTGTCTTCTGCGTGCTACACATTCTAGCTTTGGTCGAAACGGAAGCCATTAGCTCTTTCCATCTTGTGTCTTAGAAAGAAGCTGGCGACACGAAGAGCTGTGAGCCATGATTGTTTTCAAGCCACACTTTTCAAAGGATTCGGTAATGCACCGTTCTCATTGAGTGCCTCCCTTAACCATTTCTTCTTATGCTTGTAGGCAGGCTCCCGTCGATGCCATTCCGCGGCTCAATCCACCCCCAGAGATTGCCAAGAAGCGTACCCCAAGAGCTCTGAAGACCACCCAAGATATGTTGATTGCCTCCCAGCCATTGGTAGGTAGTGCCAAGGCTTCTTTACCCGAGGGAAGCCAGGAACATGCATGCCAGCCTTCCAGGAGAGAGGCAGCGCGGAGCGAAATGGGTTTGTTGACGCAGGAGGAGGTTGGGACCAGCCACAGCCGGGCCTGTGGAGTGCCTGATCTCATCTATAAGGAGAATTTGGAGCCTAAACTAAACACTGCTTACAGGATACCTCCCTCCCCAGAAAATGTGGCACTCAGTTTGAGTGCGGACAAGATCCCTCCCGAATGCCAGTTCGAGAGCAACGTGGGCCCCTCAACGGCGGAGACGTCCACCCTGGAAGCTGAAGGTCACAGTCCAGATTTGCTGTCGTTTGAGTAGAATCATCTCAGCTGCTCCCGTTTCATAGCAAGACTGTCCCTGCTTCGGCTGCTCCTTTCTAACATTTCTTGAGCCTGCTGGCGGAACGGACCCCACATCACCAGAGGACAGCTCCAGTCGGGTAAAGTTGTGGGCAGGAGGTCGAGAAAGGCAGGTGTCCTTTCCAGCACCCAGAAATGTTTGCATTTGGTGTGGGAAGCCAGCCATTGGGGGCTCTGGGCTGCTCTGCTAACCAGTGGAGTATCTGTGGACCCTCCTGAGCAAACATCACCTCCGTTGGGGTGTTGGGAATGCTGAAACTGCACAACCAGAACGAGAATCACTTCCCTCCAGAGACCGGTCCTTGTGAGCAAAACTGGAAAGTGCTGTTGTTTAGCTGTTGTCCGGCTGTTTTACCGTAGCGCTGTGCCTTCCTCATGCCAGTTCTGCCACCCGGGACTCGGATCCCTACAGCTGTCTATATTCATCGGAGCTTCACGGTGGCTGGTGAGCAATTCAGAGTCAAATCACCGCTGTGCCGGTAGCCTTGCCAGTCACTAGCCTTGCCACCTAGGAGTCTGCTGTCATGAAGGATCTTGCATCTCGTGCCGAACTTCTGCATAAGGAAGCACTTTAAGCCAGCTTCATTGACGAATCCCTTAAAACCTCATGGCGAGAAGCAAAAGGATCTTCTGCTTACAGCCACTCTCACAGTCTTGTTCCTGTTACTCCTCTGCTCAGACCAAGACCTACCTACCTTCCTTCTTCTATTTGAGCTGCGTTTGACTCCAACAGGCCTTCTAATAAAACTCTTCTTTCTGGAATTCCTGGCAGAGTCCTATTTATTCAGGTGACCAGGGACCTTAATCTCTCTTGCCAAGTTGATCTTCTCGTTAAGCACACAAGATTCCTAGACCTTGTGGGGGGGAAATCCTTGAGGATTCTGCTCAAGAGCTGCCTGTCCTGTCCGTGTCTTCCAGGAATACAGTCTTTGCTGCTTCTATCTCCCTTAGGAGTGTGTACCTCATCGTCTTTCTAGAAGTCTTGAGTCCTGGCCTTAACCTTTTCCTCCCCCCTTTGCTGTCCAGACTCAGCACTGGGTGTTTTCAAGCCAAAGAGAGAGCAATGAGCAGCTTGTACTGAAATCAATGTGCTCTCTGTCATCTTCTGGTTTTGCCTTTACCCTTCCTCTCACTTTACCTCAGGATATGAAGATGGCAAGAGCCCCTTCCATCTGACTTGCACTACAGATGCCCGGCTACATTTCAGATGGATAGCAAGCATATTCGGCAATGCTATTTGCAAATGCCAATCAAATGGCTTTAACTCCGTTGTGCATGAAGAGCTGATGAAACACCACAGCTGCATCACCACAGATGCTCATATGATTTCCAAACAGTCTCAGGCCACCAGACATTCTGGACAAGGGAGTTCCACCTCGCTGGTGAATTTTCACATACCTGGTTACATCATTTGTCTTTTATACAAGCATTTGAAATTCAGCGAACCTTCCTATATATCGCCAAAGTGTTTATGTTACTTAGCAAGTTTTATATACCACTTAATCAGAAAAAAAACAATCTCTTAACGGTTTACATAAAATGGTACAAAATGTTAAACGAGATACTTGGATTTCAATGTGCAATTTTTAATTAACATTGGTAAGGCTCTCCCCCCCCTTTTTTTTAATCTCTCAATTTTGCTGGATTTGAAGTGAGAAATTCCACAAGTTGTCAGTTACGACTGCACGGTATATCAAATGCTGTAAGAAGAATTATACACACAGAGAGAGAAAGATTAGGTGTGTGCCTAAGAGTCAAGACAAATTCCTGATCTGAATCAAGCTGATTTGGATAAATTCAGGAGATGTCTGAGCCAAACTGGGCTCCCTCTAAAATGTTCCAATCCAAATTAAATCCCCTCAAAACCTTGTGCACATTAATCCAGAGATTTGGAGGCAGAGACAGAGAGACAGGCAGTGTATCTGCAAAAACTGCAACATTTATTCCCAAGTTTGCTTTTATCAGGAAAACACAAGGGTGGAAAATGTGGGGCCGTAGTTTTGTGATGGACAGCTTTCACTTTTAACTGGGGAATCTTTCCCAGGGTTCTCCTTTCTTCCTTCCCGTCGCAGTGCTTTTGGGAGGGATGCAGATACAACTTGTCAGAGGCTGATCCTGTGCTTTCAGTGAATTTTTGGCTACATGTTTGTGGCAGCAGCAGCAGCACATAGTGTTCCCAAGGATGCTCAAGGCCCATCACAAATGGGGAGCTGCCTGTCTCCACTGCTGCGCTTTCTGTGGTTGGCTGTTGCTGGCACCAACGCCCCTGGCAGCGCATGGAGTTCCACAGGGTCCCCACAAACTGAATCAAGCTGTGCCAGCTCCCCTGTTGCCTGGCAGCGAAGGGCACGGCACCCCTTCCTGCTTAAGGCAACTTAATAACAGAGGACCACGGGTGCCAGGGATGAAACACTTTAAAGTTTCTTTCTGCAGTGTTTTCAGCTGAGCAGGAAAACTAAAAAGCACCCTAAAAGTTTTTTCATTCATTTTTACAGCCATTCTCCTTCAGTTTGGCTGCCTTCTTTACTGTATATGGATATAAATTGCCCACAAAACCACAGAAGGGAGAAGGAAGTAAATCCCTTTGCAGTGCCCACCCACCCCCCTTTAACATACCTAGCAGAAAAAATCCCTGCACCCGTCCATCTGAAATTTTCCAGGTTTCTTACCAAAAGCACTTCTCTGTTTTCATACAAACTGACCCCAGAATAGGGGAGGTTAAGTTACACCTTTTAAAAACTACCCTCAGACTTGCAGAATAAGCCACCCTTCTCAAATTTGTTGGCAATTATCTTCTCGGAAGGGACTTCTAGGCCTGGAAATTTCATCCAGAAAAGTTTATTAAAATAATAATAATAAGCCAATGTATCAAAGATGCCCAACAGACACAAAAAATCTCCAGTTATTTATCTGGAATCCTTGGCCCAACAGCTGATCCTGCAATACTCCCTGAAGGTTATGAAAGGTTATGGGATGCGGGTGGCGCTGTGGTCTAAACCACCGAACCTCTTGGGCATGGGTAGGCAAACTAAAGCCCGGGGGCCAGATCCGGCCCAATCGCCTTCTAAATCCGGCCTGCGGGCGGTCCGGGAATCAGCATGTTTTTATATGAGTAGAATGTGTCCTTTTCTTTAAAATGCATCTCTGGGTTATTTGTGGGGCATAGGAATTCATTCATATTTTTTTCCCAAAATATAGTCCAGTGCCCCACAAGGTCTGAGGGACAGTGGACTGGCCCCCTGCTGAAAAAAATTGCTGACCCCTGCTCTTGGGCTTGCTGATCGGAAGGTCAGCAGTTCGAATCCCCGCAATGGAGAGAGCTCCTGTTGCTCTGTTCCAGCTCCTGCCAACCTAGCAGTTCGAAAGCACACCAGTGCAAGTAGATAAATAGGTATCACTGCAGCAGGAAGGTAAACGGCGTTTCCATGCATTCTGGCTTCCATTACAATGTTCTGTTGCGCCAGAAGCCGTTTAGTCCTGCTGGCCACATGACCTGGAAAGTTGTCTGTGAGCCAACGCCAGCTCCCTCTGCCTGAAAGCAAGATAAGTGCCACAACCCCATAGTCACTTTGGACTGGACTTAACCATCCAGGGGTCCTGTACCTTTTTTTTAACCTATGAAAGGAACCATGATGGGACTAGGAAGCAACACTGCAAGCTTGCTGTCAGATACCAGCTACTGAAGTAAAATATTACTGAGCATGAACTATGCACATCAGATATTTAGAGAATATTCTCTATTAACATTTGTAAATAATAATTATCAGAATTTTTGGAAGCAACACTCTTAGGACAGGCAGAAATTCAGCAGATGATGTTTTCCCCATCGTTGCTACTGAATTCTTATTACCTGTCTCTTAAGACATAGTGCCTCTTTTAAGAAACAAAAAACCCAAAACCTATTCACGTGAAGAGTTAAGACACAACTAAATCATTGCGCTGAAGCACACCAACTCTTTATAGGACTGGACTGTGATCCATCCAGCTCCTCTGAGCGAATTGTAATTCTGGGGAATAGGTCTACTCAGATTGAAGTTTGCGTGTGAGCAGTTTGGGCACGTATGGGTTTAGGTACAGTTAAAGAAACATGGTTAAACATTGTGCAGCGTTCCCTTGCGCATATGTTCTCAGAAGTAAAGTCCCCGGTGGTGTTCATTGGGGGCCTACTCACAAACAAGTGTGCACAGAACTGCAGCCTCATTTTCCTGAGAAAAGAATTACCTGGGGAAAGTATGAAAGTCAAATCAACTCCTGTTGAAGCGTATTCATTCTTCAGATGTCTTAATGTTGTCACTCAGATACCTGTTTCGGATCTGTATGTGTTTATGCGTATGTCCTATATAAAATTATAATGTATTTTGTACTGATATGTAGAAATTGAAGAAAGAAATCTTCATCACTTTTTAATGAAGGAGAATCTGCAAAAGCACTAGTATTTGAAAATCACAGGTTTCGCAAGAAAAATGATAGTGATCTTTAAACTCTGTAATCTAAATGTGTTCTGGTGTGGGCAGTTCACATTGCACAATAAAGTCTTTTCACCTTATGAGTTGCGGTGGTTTTCCCCTCCTCTCCATAAACTGAAACACCACGAAAACAGGTTGCCTAAAGCGGAGTTTCTCTTGCTGTATAAGTCTGCCTGACCTTCTGGCACACACCTTATGCCTTAAGACCTTAAGCATGGTGCAAAAATGTTCCTTTTCTGTTGCATTTCTTATGTGGAGAAAGGATCCTAAAAGAAGACATGGCTGGCTATAACACTTGAATACCAAGACTGCACACCAACAGAAATCCTTCCAGGTAATCTGTTTTATGTGTATAAAAAGAAACACAACCACTAGCACCCCCTCAAACTGTACCCTTAAAAATATTTTATCTCCGCCATAAGTCTTTTCAGTGCAGCTGGGGCTTCATCCAAATGCTGGACTCTCCATAGTCCATTTTCTAGTCTTGTCTACAGAGGCACCTATGTAGATGGTCACAATTTGAAAAACAAGCACAGAATAGGGATAGTTTTACTGTATCAAGGTAGTTCTTGCACTTTAAAGCTTTAGGTTAGCAGTTCTTCGTCTGGACTGCCATCTTCTGGCAGTTTTCTGTAACTTCACACAATAAAGGCAAGTGCCAGAAGATCTGGGGAATCCCTCTATATCTTAAGAACTAAAATACATGTGATAGTACCACTACCATGTCCTCCTCTGAAAGGAAGCAGGGGCTGATTTTTACGTGATTTATAGCGCAGCATATCTTGGATTCAAATCTTCACAGGCAACTCAACTTATTTGTTCATTAGCCTTTTTTAATTTATTTATTTTTTGCCATCACCTACACCAGCTCAAGGGACGCGGGTGGCGCTGTGGGTCAAACCACAGAGCCTAGGACTTGCCGATCAGAAGGCCGGCGGTTCAAATCCCCGCGACGGGGTGAGCTCCCGTTGCTCGGTCCTTGCTCCTGCCAACCTAGCAGTTTGAAAGCACGTCAAAGTGCAAGTAGATAAATAGGTACTGCTCCAGCGGGAAGGTAAACGGCGTTTCCGTGCACTGCTCTGGTTCGCCAGAAGCGGCTTAGTCATGCTGACCACATGACCCGGAAGCTGTACGCCGGCTCCCTCGGCCTATAGAGCGGGATGAGCGCCGCAACCCCAGAGTCAGCCACGACTGGACCTAATGTTCAGGGTTCCCTTTACCTTTACACCGGCTCAAATGCATTTGCCACAGAAAATTAAGCATTAATCTTGACTATTGTGCTGTCTTATAAATATTACGGGAAATGCAAAGTAGTCTTATGCTATTCCCCGAGCATTCGTTCATCTCTTCTGGAGGAAACATCTCATTAACGTAGTCTCCATGTTGGAGAATGTTAGCAGTATCAGATTTTGAGGCAGATGCTAAAAGCTCCAGCATGCTTGCTGCAACTTCAATAATATCCTTTTCTGAAATTGACTTAATTCCTTGCGATGTGCCTATTACTCTTTACAGTTCTGAAGCCTATCGTGTACGTTCAAGTGAGCTTATTTCAGGATTGAGGCCCAAGGGCTGTTGTTTGTTTGTTTGAAGGAGCAAAAGTGATTTCTTGATCCTGGCTCCCTTTAATCCACATCTTGAGTAATTGAAAGGCACTTAAATTGTTGGATAAAAGCTTGAAATTAGGGCTACAGTAGGCTTCCGTTGTAGGATTACGGTAAAAATGCATCGCACCCTTTCCCCACCACAGTCTGCTCAAAAGTTTTAAAGGCCAGGAGATTTAAGAGAAAACATATTGCTGAGAGAAACCAGATATTCAGGTACTTGATAAGGCATACCTTCCCCAAAACATCATGCTACCCCATCTGTTAATAGCATCTTTGAATCAAGTCACAGGGAGATGCAGCTATTCAGTGTGCCATGGAGAGCTGCTGCCTAAAATAGAAGCTCAGTAATCTTTTATGATTCTCTAACAGGAGGGCTGAGGGACGCAGGTGGCGCTGTGGGTAAAACCTCAGCGCCTAGGACTTGTCGATCGCATGGTCGGCGGTTCGAATCCCCGCGGCGGGGTGCGCTCCCGTCGTTCGGTCCCAGCGCCTGCCCACCTAGCAGTTCGAAAGCACCTCAAAGTGCAAGTAGATAAATAGGGACCGCTTACCAGCGGGAAGGTAAACGGCGTTTCCATGTGCTGCGCTGGCTCGCCAGATGCAGCTTGTCACGCTGGCCACGTGACCCAGAAGTGTCTGCGGACAGCGCTGGCTCCCGGCCTATAGAGTGAGATGGGCGCACAACCCTAGAGTCTCAAGACTGGCCCGTACGGGCAGGGGTACCTTTTCCTTTACCTTTATTCTTTCACATTTGTGTGAGAGAGAGACTTGTTTACGGTTAAACATTGTTTCAGGTATAATTTTAAATTGCAGTTCAATTTGTATTGAAGAAATTACACGTTTAGCAATTGTTCTGAGGTCAGGGATCAGATCACTGAACCTGTCATTTGAAATCCAAGAGCTGTGAAAGTCCAGAAAGGTCAAGGTCATTTTGTCTAGCACTAAGGCAGCAGAGTACGGGACGCGGGTGGCGCTGTGGGTAAAACCTCAGCGCCTAGGACTTGCCGATCGCATGGTCGGCGGTTCGAATCCCTGCGGCGGGGTGAGCTCCCGTCGTTCGGTCCCAGCGCCTGCCCACCTAGCAGTTTGAAAGCACCCCCGGGTGCAAGTAGATAAATAGGGACCGCTTACTGGTGGGAAGGTAAACAGCGTTTCCGTGTGCTGCGCTGGCTCGCCAGATGCAGCTTGTCACACTGGCCACGTGACCCGGAAGTGTCTGCGGACAGCGCTGGCTCCCGGCCTCTAGAGAGAGATGAGCGCACAACCCTAGAGTCTGTCAAGACTGGCCGTATGGGCAGCGGTACCTTTACCTAATAGGTGGGTACATCACACATATGCTTATGTTCAGGTAGCTCTGTCCAACAAAGCAAGACCAATGCTGAAATTAAATTAGGGGGTGAAATGGTATTATCTGTGCTGAGACCATCCTCGCTTCGCTTCTAATGGTTCCTTTTCTGATTATATTTCCCACTTAACCATATATAGACAGCGGCTTCACACTTTTACTGTAGCAGCTAGCTACATAACCAGAAAAGCCATGAGAGGAACGATCCGTTTCCTTTCAAAGCAATTTAAACATTTCTGACCCCAGCTTTGGATGTGTCATTTGAACGGGAACAAGAATTTGCATCTGAGTCTTTGATTTCCAACACATTTGCAAGAGAGTTGATTGCATCCCAGTGTTGGTGCTAATCAGATACTTAAGAGACTACCTTATTATATCTCTTTTCTATATCTTTGGTGATCACTCATAGCCGAGAAATAAATAATAATAATAATAATAATAATAATTTATTACTTGTACCCCACCCATCTGGCTGGGTCTCCCCAGTCACTCTGCGCGGCTTCCAACAAAGATTAAAAATATATTAAAATGTCACACATTAAAAACTTCCCTAAACAGAAAGATTGTCTTCCATGAACACAGTCTTCTTAACAGTGAGTGCATAAGTGACTGTGGAGGCCAATTCTGGATCCACACATCCTTCCACAGTGGGGGCATAGGGTTCCAGGCAGGAGTTGATCACGGTGAGGGTTTGCCAAGCATGCCTTCCTCTTAGCACGTTTCTCCCTTGCGTCCCGAGTTCGAGCATCTTCAAAGCCCATGACACCTTTGGTAAAGGCTGTTCTCCAATTGGGGCGCTCGCAGGCCAGTGTTTCCCAGTTGCCAGTGTTTATACTACAGTTTTTTAGATTTGCCTTGAGAGAGTCTTTAAACCTCTTTTGTTGACCATCAGCATTACACTTTCCATTTTTAAGTTCGGAAAGAGTAGTTGCTTTGGAAGACAATCATCAGGCATCCGAACAACGTGACCAGTCTGACAAAGCTGAGGTTTGTTTTTTAATAATTTTTTATTAAGTTTTACAATTTTATACACATTACAATCTCAAAGAAAAAATACAATTTCCATATTCCCCACCCCCATGACTTCCCTCAACTTCATCTTCTGGTTCTTTACATATTAACTTCTCCTGCTTGCTTTATTATACCTTAATATTACATTCTCTAGCTTAAATATTGTTATAATCTTTTTTTATACTGTAATTGTTTTCAAATTGTCTCTTACACTTTATCATTTCCCAATTTTTACACCTCAATCTCTATGTTCGTTTTGTTAATTGTGAGTGTTTACTCAAACCCTGCTAGTGAGTTCACTTCTTTATAATGTTTTTGTAAGTACCACATAAATGGTTCCCAGTCTTTTTTAAATTCTCTATTTTCTTTGTCTCTTAAGTTTCCCAGTTAGCTTCGCGATTTCCGCATAGCCCATCAGTTTTTCCTTGCCGTTCTTCGTTAGTTGGTATCTTCTCTTTCCGTTTTGGGGCTAGTAGTATCCTAGCCACTGTTGTGGCGTACATAAATAGTTTCTTCTGTTCCTTTGGCAAGTCTTGACCTATAGGTAAAGGTAAAGGGACCCCTGACCATTAGGCCCAGTCATGGCCGACTCTGGGGTTGCGGCGCTCATCTCGCTTTATTGGCCGAGGGAGCTGCCATACAGCTTCCAGGTCGTGTGGCCAGCATGACTAAGCCGCTTCTGGCGAACCAGAGCAGCACACGGAAATGCCGTTTACCTTCCCGCCGGGGTGGTACCTATTTATCTACTTGCACTTTGATGTGCTTTCGAACTGCTAGGTGGGCAGGAGCTGGGACCGAGCAACGGGAGCTCACCCCGTCGTGGGGATTCAAACTGCCGACCTTCTGATCAGCAAGTCGTAGGCTCTGTGGTTTAACCCACAGTGCCACCTGCGTCCCAGTCTTGACCTATAATGCCTAGCAAAAAAGTTTCTGGTCTTTTAACAAAGGTTATCTTAAACATTCCTTTCATTCAACAAAGTTGATGTTGAAGAATCATTGCTTCGACACTGGGGATCTTTGCTTCTTCCAGGACACTGGCATCAGAGCCAGGCTTTTAGTGTAGCTGCCCATTTTGTGCAATAGCATTTCTGTTGAGACGCAACAAGTTCCTACTAATATGCGCTCTCTGGAAACAACGGAAGAGATTTTAGTTCTGATAACCTTCCCCAGCTGGACTAACAGGTTTCTGTCATGAGAGACTCCTCGGCATTGTTTCTGAATTCATTTGTTGCTTTTGCGTTGCTTCTTTTCAGCTGCTTTTGTGGTTTGAGCGTTGCCTTGAAAGATGGGTGGAAGGTGATTTTTTTTAAAAAAATAACGAAAATAAAATTATGAACTTCGATAGATACTTCCAGGGCTGTTCACATAAATAACAGGGGTACCTCTGGTTGTGAAAAGGATCCGTTCTGGAGCCTCGTTCACAACCTGAGCAGAATGCAACCCGCGTCTACACGTGCGCAAGTCACGATTCGCCGCTTCTGCGCATGACGTCATTTTGAACGCATGTGCGAGCGGCGAAACCCAGAAGTATCCCGTTCCGTTACTTCCGGGTCGCCGTGGGACGCAACCTGAAAAGATTTAAACCTGAAGCGACTTTAACCCGAGGTATGACTGTACAAAAAAAAGAGGGCATCAAACATCTCAATGTAAATGGACTGCAAAAAGCACTTTAACTGGTACCAGAAAAAGACATAGACTCTACCAAGACACGCCATCATCAGTGTAACCGCGCATCTTTTGTTATCATCCTCTGGACATGCCCCAGAATTGTCCTTAAATAAATGTGGGGCACAGACCTGACCATTATGCTTGTTTTGTTGTTCTGGCACATTTGCTGTAGACTGAAACCCATATTATATTCTTATATTAAACAAATACATATCAGTAAGGTCTTGGCAGCTTACGGAGCTTTGAGAGGTCTTTTAGGGTGTGGTTTTATTTTCTGGGAGGGGGGGGAGCAACTTCTCTCTTTACAAGGCATACGAGAATTTTATAGAGTTGTAAAAATAAAAAATCTTCTATATTTCTTCCGTACCTTTTGGATAATGTCACATATGACCCCGAAAGGGTCATATGACCACCAATTCCTTCCTCATGCCTGAGATTACACTTATGCTAAATTTTGAAGGGGGCATGTGTTACATTTGGCATTGGTGTTTATATTTGAAGATAGGGAACATTTGTGCAACTGGGAGAAAATTGTTTGCTTGTCACCCGCTACGATATACACAGCAAAGTAATAATAAAAGCCCTAGCATCCTGGTTGGAAATCCAAAAAGAAGAGATCTCTATCTGCGTGGACAGAGCATTCCGAATTAGGTCAAGAACTGCCGGACCCAATAGGTGGCCTGGAGATTGCTAGTCTTTCTTAACTCACGAATTTTACAAGATAAAATAATGCAAGCAAATAAGAAGAAAAAACTCAGAATTGAAGAACAAGAAATTATAATCATGTGTGAAATACCAGCTAGGTTGAGGAAGAAAAGAGGAAAATATAAACGCTTAACAGATGCATTCAAAAAGAATAACATCCCCTTCCGCTGGGAATTCCCGGAAGGAATTTCACTCACTTATAAACAGAGCGGGAAGAGGCTGAACTCAGAGGAAGAAGCAAAATTTTTTTGGAGGAGATATCATAAAGCATTAGGAGGGGGAAATGGATGGGACAGGCGAGATACGAGAGACGAACAAGAGAGTGACAAGGGAGAAACAGAGGAAGAGACAAGATGTTAATGACAGAGTAGAAATAAGGAGGAACTTTTAGACGATATACAAAGCAAAACACTTTGACCAGAATATTTACATATTTTATTAAATCTTTACAATCAGCAATTATAATTAGGTACACAATTTTATATACAAGGATTATATATACACTTTGAGCTCAGACTTCTACATCACAGTACACAGTTGCCCTTAGGAATATTGTACACACTTAAAATTACCAGACAGTAAAACCCAACAACGGTCGTGTTGCAGCACCCCTTATTACACTTTTCATAAATTACATCATAAGAAAATATATGGCTGTAAATTGGGCTGGTAAAAAGTCTTATAAAATCTGGATGTACGGTTATGCATTCATAGAATGTTTCCTCTGTTGTCCTAACTATAGGGTTTCCCTGGGATCTCTATGAACCTGCTATAAATAACTACGCCGAAAGAAGCACAAGACAGCAGGTTTAGGAAGATCCTGATTAGAAATTAACCCTGTTATTGTGCCAGCTCATTTGATACCCTCTCCTCAAGGAACGCCTCAACCACATACAGGAATGCTTGTCCAAAAAAAGGGCTTTTGTTGTTGTGATATGAAGATATTAACTCATAATTGGTAAGCTCTCTCCAAAAGACAAGTCTCCAAATTTAGCTACTAACATGTAAACCTTTTTTGCTATTGTCCAACAGGCTTATGGCTATGATGAAGAACAAAAAATATATAAAAGGGCAACCTATATCTGAGGTAGACTCTACCACCATTCAGATGCTCCTTTCTAATGGCAAGGGAATCTTTCAATAATCCCTGAATTAATGAGGAAAACTCAAAAGGTTTGCAGATATTTTGATGTCAACACATCAACTTAAAAATCCACATTATGGACTATGTACAAATAAGTAGCAGGTAGCTCACACTCTTAATAAATTATCGGTAGGAAGAAATGAAATTTAGCAGCTGCTGTTTTGTCTAAAACACTTGGTGAAGATACAATGACTAAAGATTCAGTTCACCAGAAACACCAGTTCACCAGAAACACCAAATGATCCGTTACTATTGAAGGCCTATTGAAAATAGCAGTTTGATGGGGTAAGTTATAGCCTAGGACAGAGTTAATATTGAGAAGTTTTTTACGAGTGGCACTATTACTCAGACATGCAGAACATCCCACTTGCTTTTTACAGTTCTAACTTAAAATTAAGTGCATTTGGCCCGAAACGCACACATTCTCCTCTAAGCTCTAGGCCTAAGTTACTAAAGGACACTTTAGAGAAGCCTCTATTCAAATTCCCTGAAGGAACAGTCCACGTACAAAAAAAATAATCATTACAAAATTAAAGCCTCCAGTCTAAACATAATTCATCTCTGGGAACTCCACAAAAAAATGCCGAAGGCCCCACATCTAACACTCACATGTGCAAATGGGAAAAAGAATTGAAAAAAGTTAAAGGACACTTTTATTCATTTGTCCACTAAGATTTCGCACCACTGTTTCATCCATAGGAATAAGGTCTTTCCACCTGGCTGATGTTTTTTAGAAAGGTGCCTTTGCACCTTTTTGTGCTAGGATCAATCCTCGGGTTCGGACTGGAAATGAACCTAACTGTTATGTAGCCAGTTTCTAAGGATTTGTGTTGCACGCGACATTGACGCAATCTGGGACTGGACGGATAAAGGTATACTTGCCCTCTGAACTGCTCAGTTCACTGGGGTACAAAAGCAGAGGGCAGGTTTAGTTCACATACCAGTAGAATCCCAAGAGATACAGCTTTACTTTCTCCCTCTATGTATGTCTAAGTCAACGGTTGATAATTCACTTCTATGGGGAATGTAAAGTGCTGTCTTAAGAAAAAGTTCGTGCGCTCCAAAAACGCCCATCACCGAATGAATTTCGGTGAGAGCACTGGGGTACAAGCCCTCCTCTCCCCACATACTGCCCAGCACCCTAACAGGGATTCTGCTAGTTCTCAATTAAAACAAAAACACATTTATACATAAAGTGGCAGAACAAGGCACAGCACATACTGTGCCGTGTCAAATCGGTTTCCTACAGCCAAAAAACCCGAGAACAATAAAGACAAACGTAATCAAGACTGGATATAAATAAGCAACGTCTGGCAGTCTTGCGTAGATGCAGTTGTATTGTTTTTCTTTGTCTTTTAGCTACATGTAGGTTTGTAAAAAAAAAGAAGAAGAAGCTCACTTTAAGACATTTGTGAAACATGATTGCTGTCAAACACACTAGGATTTCTACAACTTTTTTTTTTAAAAAAAAAATCTACACATGATACCAGTCTTTCACTAACTTCATACTTTCCTATGGACATACTGGCCTTTTTGTGCACAGAAATTTAAGCTGTATACAGGAATAGAGAGATGTTACTGATGTAAGGCTGATTTAAAGTTGCAAAAAAATAAAATGAAATAAATTCTATCCCAGCACTATCTGATTTGGTACCTTGCCCAGAAAATCGGCAAGGACGCAAGTTTGGCTTATTTTAGCTCACGATTCACTGTGCAAGGTTCAAAATCAAAGTAATGGGAGTGTAGAGAAGAGGCTATGCCCCATTACTCAGATTCAAGTTTCAGAATTAACTGCGGTTTTATTTTTTGCTAATCGAGCACATAGTCTGTAAATCAAAGGCAATCTTGACTTGAGCTAGGAACTTAAAAAAAAAAAATCCAAGTTATCTTGGTCGCTCTTCAAAATAATAAATGGAAGATGTGATAAAGGAGGTACAGCACACTCGCTATATTAAGTGGCACAGGACACGTCAGAGCTGCCTGCTGTTCTGCCCTCGCTTATAAAGGCCACCACAGCCTGAAGTACCTTCTGCCATGTCTCCATAAAAAGGCTTCTGAGATACGGTATAGACCCTTGAAAAAGCATCATCGCCAACAGCCAGCCTGTAGCCATCATGTGCTGTGCCCCAAGTAGCCATCCAGACTCAGTGGTGCATTGAAATCCCCGTTTCATTCATTCATTCTCTGCTTCCTAAGGCTTAGACAAAGCTCACTTACAGCAACGTGGAACGCAGGAGGAATCCAAATCATTCCCTGAATGAACCTCCTGGGCTACAGCACCATGCAAAGGAACCCTGCAAATGGGTCAATTGCACATTCCCATTTTCCATAAAACAGGGGGGACAAAAACAATACAAATTTGAACACATGCTGGCTTTTGCCAATGGAACCTGGCTGCTCGTCACAATACTGAACAATTCCTTTTTTTAAAAAAAAAAATTCAGATGCTAGGGTCTTTACTATCCTCCATCAAGTTCACCACTTTGTAGTCCCACAAGCACTTTATTAGAAGTTATAGTTCATCCTTTTCCATCATTTCAAAAGCTTCTATGTCTTCATTCCAATCAGCTAATATTGATTCCATAGACTGTCCTTTATTATTATCCCAGCTATCAGTGGGATTGGAGTCAGTTTCAATCTTTGATTGTTCCTCGGGGTGATTTTCCAAGTCTGATGCTTGACTACTAGTTTCCTGGAGTTTATTAGTTTCCTGGAGTTTAGGGATACAGGATTCCTGGTCCATAAGAGAAACACTATTGCTGCCCAACTCTGCAGGTGACTCCAACCCACCTTCTCCTTCTGGGTCTTGATTGACCAAGTTCAAATCTGCTGAAATCTCTTCTGACCTCTGGTTATGAGAATCATTATCAGATGACTTCTGTTCCATGCTTTCCATTTCCAAATCTTAGAGGGGAAAGGAACACAATGATTTAAAAAACAACAACTGTAGTTTATGACTCTTGAGTACAGTCGTACCTTGGAAGCCGAGCAGAATCCGTTCCGGAAGTCCGTTCGACTTCCAAAACGTTCAAAAACCAAAGTACGGCTTCTGATTGGCTGCAGGAAGCTCCTGCAGCCAATCAGAAGCCATGGAAGCCACATAGGACGGATGGCTTCCCAAAAAAGTTCGCTAACCGAAACAGTCACTTCCAGGTTTGCGATGTTCAGGAGCCAAAATGTTCGGGAACTAAGCTGTTCCACTTCCAGGGTACGGCTGTATCTGTTTTCAAGCTTTTATCAAATAAACACAGCTATTAATAATGTCATAATTAACCCTCTTATTACACAGGTTTGAGAGTTTGAGGCTGATAGTTATTTTTGGAACAATTCCAAAGAAATTTTCTGCAAAGAAAATATATGCATGGTTTCCAAGGTCTCTAAAAATCAATTACTATAAGCTGCCCAAAGGACCCTTTCAGTCTGAACTAACCAATGGCTGATCTTTCAAGTGGTTTATCTGCCCCAAAGTTCCTAGAGATTATTAGTGTCCGTATGTCACCTATGAGACCAACATGTGAACAGCACCTCAATGACTTGAAACATACACTACTCATGAATCAAGGATTAGGCAATTCTGGTTCGTTTTGCATCACAATTCAGCACTGTCAAAGCGAACATACCAAAGGATAAATGCTTTCAGAATTTGGGGCAAAGACATACAGATGTTTGATACTTACTGCTATCAATAATGTAGTTTGGAATCATTTTATCTTTAAATATAGTTGCTGACAATCCAAGGGTAGCACAGGAAGAAGGGAAAAAGCACATATGCATTTTAAATTCAGAAATTTCCTAACTTACAAAGGCAATTCATTCATTAACCTAGCTGCTGCTTTAAAAAATGGTTTGAAGGAACCGCACACCAACACAAGACTACTGTTGACATGCCCTCCCTGCGTACAAAGGCATCCTCGCTTTTGACTTTCAGACATCTCTGGAAGATTATGCTATGGGGTCTACGACATCCTTTAAAATGTCCCTTGAGCAGCCAATCATTTTAATTATTGCTTTGTATTGCTTTTAAATGTCTTTATGTTGTTGTTTCGGGAAGCTTTTAATGTTTGATGTATTATAGTATTTTAATATTCTTTTGGAAGCCGCCCAGAGTGGCCGGGGAAGCCCAGCCAGATGGGCGGGGTATAAATAATAAATTATTATTATTATTATTATTATTGTACACCGACCCGCTGTTTTGTGAGAGGGCAGTTCCCAAATGCTTTTATAAATAAAATGTGATACAGCGGTCAGAAAGTTGCCACCTGAAGAGAAATATTCTAGGAACATAAAAGGCGGGAGAAATCCAGGGAGCTTTAAAGAGAATGCTAACTTGGCCCTAATCAAGAAGAACCTACTTGCATCTTAGTGCTGTTATGCCAGGCATAGGCAAACTCTGCCCTCCAGATGTTTTGGGACTACAACTCCCATCATCCCTAGCTAACAGGACCAGTGGTCCGGGATGATGGGAATTGTAGTCCCAAAACATCTGGAGGGCAGAGTTTGCCTATGCCTGTGTTATGCGTTTGCTGATCTTCCTGAGACTCGCATTCATCCTGTTATTTTGGCCTCTCTCCTGTTTCTATATTCTCTGGTGCTGAAATTTGGACTGAATTAACTGAGCCGGGGCCACCTTTCACACGCTAACATGGTTTTCGCTCTTACCTCTGTCCTTTGCTTTGTCAGAAAGCAGCACTTCTACAGCTTCATATTCCTGGATGGCATCAAGGATAATACTGCCTTCCTTGTTGAAGAGAAACAGCATTGGCACAGTGATGTCGTCTGTATTCTTGCCATCGCCTGCCATCTGGAAGAGAGGGGCTGTGTCGCTGCTGCTTCCTTCATTGTCATCTAGGTGGAACGAGTAGGGTTTCCATTAATATTAACTTTCACCCACTGAATTCTCAGTGCAACCTGAAAGTTACTTGGGACCTTCAATCAGTATAAAACCTGGTTAGCAGAATTCAGACCAATACAACCAGATTCACTTATACAGTGGTATCTCGGGTTACATACGCTTCAGGTTACATACACTTCAGGTTACAGACTCCGCTAACCCAGAAATAGTACCTCAGGTTAAGAACTTTGCTTCAGGATGAGAACAGAAATCGTGCTCCGGCGGTGCGGCAGCAGCAGGAGGCCCCATTAGCTAAAGTGGTGCTTCAGGTTAAGAACAGTTTCAGGTAAAGAACAAACCTCCGGAACGAATTAAGTACTTAACCCGAGGTACCACTGTAAAGGTAAAGGTACCCCTGACCATTGGGTCCAGCCGTGGATGACTCTGGGGTTGCGGCGCTCATCTCACTCTATAGGCCAAGGGAGCCGGCGTTTGTCCACAGACAGCTTCCGGGTCATGCGGCCAGCATGACTAAGCCGCTTCTGGCAAACCAGAGCAGCGCACAGAAACACCGTTTACCTTCCCACTGGAGCAGTACCTATTTATCTACTTGCACTTTGACGTGCTTTAGAACTGCTTGGTGGCAGGAGCTGGGACTGAACAACGGGAGCTCACCCCCATCGTGGGGATTTGAACCACCGACCTTTTGATTGGCAAGCCCTAGGCTCTGCAGTTTAGACCACAGTGCCACCCGCGTCACTTATAATACATTCCAATTTTAAATAAACTTCTAGCTGCCTCATTGTCTACAGGCAAGGTGCTGGTCCTTATCTTTAAAAATCCTAAATGGCTTGGAACCCGAATACTTGAAGGCGTGCCTCTTCTCATACAACCCACTGTGAGCTCCTCAGGAAAGGTGGGATATGAATGCAATACAGGCAACCAGATAATCTTGAGGTCTTTGATCGCCCTTAACCAACCGCCTACTCTATCAGAAATGCATTATTCAACCACAAGGGCTTTTTCACCCGTGAGGCATCCTGGTTTTTGGAATAAACCCAGTATGCGGCACCCACACTGTGATCCTTTAAATGCCAAGGTAATTTTTTATTTATTTAATGAGACAATTTGCATTACCCAAGCCTTAACCTGGGTAATAGTTTGAATTACTTCATGCTGTACACTGAATTAGAAGGAGGGTCGTATACAGTGGCACCTCGGGTTAAGAACTTAATTCGTTCTGGAGGTCCGTTCTTAACCTGAAACTGTTCTTAAACCTGAGGTAACACTTTAGCTAATGGGGCCTCCCACTGTCGCCGCTGTGCGATTTCTGTTCTCATCCTGAAGCAAAGTTCTTAACCCGAGGTACTATTTCTGGGTCAGCGGAGTCTGTAACCTGAAGCGTCTGTAACCCGAGGTACCACTGTATAAAGGTTAAAAAGGTTTTAAATACAGTGGACGCTCGGGTTGCGAACGTGATCCGTGCGGGATGCACGTTTGCAACCTGCAGCGACGAGTCTGTGCAGGCGTGGGTTGCAATTCGGCACTTCTGCGCATGCGTTCCGGTACTTCCAGGTTTCGGCGGTCCATAACCTGAAAAAACGCAACCTGAAGCGTCTGTAACCCAAGATATGACTGTAAATAAATATTATATAGATAGGCTGGGATGCACGTTGAAATTGTTCACATTAAAATTATTAAAGTGCACAAGTCACACCTGCCTTAACATTTCAAGTGTCTCACTGTTAGCCAAAAAACCTTTATATAAGTTTTCTGTTTCACTTACCAATAACAATGCCACCTATAGCCCCAGCTTTTTGGATGTTCCGTGCCTTTTCAGCAAACATGCACTGGCCTCTTTGCATCAAAGCAATTTTATCCTTCAGCGCTTCAGGGTTGGTGATCTCAGAGCATCCATTATATGGTTTACTGACTGCAACAAATCCTCTTGCCTGTTGAAGAGGTGAGAGGCTTTAGTATACGGTATTCAAGCATGTAAACATTTGCATTTTTTGCACTAAAATATATGAAGAGCATACTAGGAAATACAACCATCATCATCAGGGCCAGATTTAGGTTTGATGGGGCCCTAAGCTACTGGAGGTAATGGGGCCCTTTATATGTCCAGCTGTCCCCTGTCAACAACAAAGTGTCACTATTGTTTCTTTTGAATATATGCTATATGGTCATTTATGGACCTAATAGGCATCTAAAGCCATTTGCACATGCAGAATGTAGGCACCCTATATATACAAATGAGCAAACCAGTGATATTTTAGGGAGCAGGCTAGCAGGCGGGGCGCATTACTTACATCATAAGAGCCCACACAACACAAAACACTTCTGCTGTATGTAAGTTTTGTTTTATTTGTTTTTTATCTTATATTTTGGAATCGTACATCCAGGTTTTCTTTAAATTTTTTGGGGGCCCCCATGAGAGTGTGGCCCTAAGCTATATCTTGTTTAGCTTATATGTAAATCCGGCAGTGATCATCATCCAACTCAGGGCTAGCGCTCTTAAACCCAGTGAAATCTAACAGCTTCGGCACACTGCACTGGATTGTGCCCAATAACTGCAGTGAAGGCAGTTATTGCAGAACTCATTCACAGAACCATAAAGTTGGAAGGGACCCTGAGGGTCATCCAGTCCAACCCCCTGCGATGCAGGAATCTACTGCCCAACGTGGGGCTCGAACCCTGAGATTAAGAGCCTCATGCTCTACCGACTGAACTATCCCAGTAGGATAATTCATTGCATGCTAAATCAGAATAGTGGCATTTGAAGCTACTGCACTTTATAAAAACGTGTTGCCTGCAACAAATCATGCATCAGCTGATGCGCAGGAAGTTCAATCACGCTTTCCAGCCAGATCCATCTATCTGCCCCACACCTGACATCACATACGCTGTCAGGTATGGGATGGGTGGGTATGGTTTGGGGCAAATGGCCTGGTGGGCAAAAGGGGGAGCCTCAATTGGCTTCATACATAAAACAATCTTGCCCAGCAGCTATTCAGACTGTTCCCCTCCACTCCATTTCCTGTTTTTGGCCTTAGTTATTCAGAGTTGCTTTGTTTTCTTGACTTAGGGGGCTTCTAGAACAACTCCTCTTCTTGTTTTTTTTAGACTTAGCATATAGAATAAGAGAACAGGGAGAACATACGTTTAAAGAGATTGGAAAACATTTATGGAATATATGGGAAATAACTGTGTACAGCTGAAAACGCTGGCAGCATTAAGATAAATTCAACAAGTTTTGATGGATGCAATAATGGAATACTGAATGGTATAGTTTATATATACAGGGATTTATGTATGTAAAGTAAACCACGAAAGAGAAGAAGGGAAGTCATTGATATCTTAAGGATGTATAAATGAGTATTTTAAATTGTAAAACAGAAAACTTAATAAAATGATATGGAACTCTTTCTTTTAGATACATTAAATTTCTGTATGTTAACAATTTCCCATAAGTTCTGTATAAACCATACAAGTGGTGTTTTTTTTAATCACAAGGCTGTAAAACAGAACGAACCCCTGATTTGTGTTTGGAGAGATCCATTCCAAACTGCGCAGGCCCAGCTGTCAAAACCACTCTGCCAAAGAACGGGTGGGAAACAATTTGAACAGCACGAGGAGGTAGCTGCTGCTCTTTTTGCTGTTGACTGGACAACTCAATCATTTCTTGCATGAACCGTAGACCATCCTCCGCATCGAGTGAGCTTGCTGCCTAATGAAAAAGTAAGCAATATCTAGCATTTTTTCATTCTAACCCTGCAGACAAAACATGCAACAGTATTTCCTGAGGAAACTTGCTAATTAGTTTGTTCTGAACTTCTAGACATCCAGCGTTAGCCAAAATATTTTAGAATTAGTTTTTGGTTTTTTTAAAAAAAAGTAAATAAACAGTTATTTGTATCTGACAACACTTCCAAGGGTATTTTCAGTATAAAATTCCACATGCATGCTAGAAATATAAAAACACAGGCAAAAGAACCATTACACTGCCAGCAGCAAGACACAATACTCCTCAGTAAAAAAAACAGTTCAGAGAATTCAAAATGCCCTCTGGAATAAAGCAGTCCTACTCAGTGCCAGAAAGTCCTCAGCACAGGTGAGGAGAAAGGCTAACCTGGAAAGTACTAGAGCCTTGGTGTCACCACTGAAAAGGCCCTGTCATGGTAATGACCTCAAAATTTGAAACACATTCAGTTCAACTTCACAGCTTACCACTAGCAAATATTTTGAAAAACCTATCTCCCACTAAACATTCAGACATGATTGAATGGACTACTAGACAGTATAACTGTGTTACTTAGTTTGTGTAACATCAGGAAAAAGGACTTGTTGTTCAACAGCTTCACAGAAATTAGGACAAGTATTTCACGGATACTTTCTTGTGTGCCTAAATTTAAGAGTGCCAAATAGCTGTAGTAGTTGTAGAATTTGTACTGCTAAAACAGAAAGGGGTCAAACCATCGTAAGAGGTGTTGAAATTTTGGGAGGTTGGATAGTTACAATGGTCTCGAGGGTGGGGTGCACATTTTTATTTATTTATTATTATTACCTTGTCAAAATACAAAATAAAGATAAATAAAAATAAATAATGTGAGTGTATAAGGATTAGTAAACAAACTCAATGACTTAAGGGCAATACCCTTATAGGTCTGTCCGACTGAAATACAGTGGACCCTCCAGATACAAATTAAATTTGTTCTGGGGGTCTGTCCGCAACCCAAAAAGTCTGTAGGCAGAGGCGCCGCTTCTGAACACGCACACGGTCTGATTGCTTCTGCGCATGCGGCGAAACCCGGAAGTATACATTTCCGGGTTTGCTGCATTCGTAACCTGAAAGTTACGTATCCAGAGCAGTACGTAACTAGAGGGTCCACTGGATAAACTTATGAAGTTTTTTTCTGACAATAGTTCAGATGAGCTATTGGTATCCAAACTGGCAGGGTCTGGAGCAAAATGAATTGATTATAAATTAAAAATGATTATAATTAAAATCTTAATTCTAAATAAATCATTATTTTATATGCAGGTAGTTTGTTCATAATGGAAAGTCTTAATTTATTCCAATGTATTATATCCATATTTATACCTCTCCGACCTGTACTATAATTAAACTGAAACAACTTGTTCCAAATAAAATAAAATAAAATAAGAGTGCCTGCATGTCAACTTCCTACTGAGGACAAGTACACTGAGGGGCTAGGACAGGGCAAGATCTTACTTGAATAGCATGTTGCACCAGTTGGACTCTTCCATCTTTGAGGTGAATCAAGCTGACTCCCATCTTCTTTAGGATCTCTAAATGCTCAGGATTACTGGCCATGAAATCCCTGGCTCTCAGGGGGGGCTTTGGTCCGGTACCCAAACTCTCTTCCCTGCAAGAGAAAGCAGGCCATCTACATTTTAAGAACTGAATTGATGGTGCCTAAATAATATACATGAGGTGCATAAGACTAAAATATGCTATGCGTAGCCGTCAGAGGCCACTGAACGGGTAATAAAATGCATGAAAAGGCTTCTGGAAGTTGGCAGGCTGAAACCCAAGCCTTGCTTTCTCTTACTGCACACTGCCTAAGTGAGGGTGTGAATTTTATTCTTCCCTCGCTGTGTCACCAAACGCATCACTTGCCACGCCATTTTTCTCCTCTCTCTTTGCCAAAACCCATCCACGCAGATGTTTTTGACTACAACTCCCATCATCCATTACAAATAGGCAAGTCGCAATCAGGCTGGGAAATTCTGATACAAGAACCTTAGGCATATTCCATTGCAAGGAGTCAATCCAAACCAAGCTGTATCGAATGATTTCATCATTATGTGTTAGTCAATGCATAAAAGTATATCAGCTCAATATAAGCAGCTGTATCACCTAGTTAGGGGCGCGGGTGGCGCTGTGGTCTTAACCACAGAGCCTAGGGCTTGCCGATCAGAAGGTTGGCGGTTCGAATCCCTGCAACGGGCTGAGCTCCCGTTGCTCAGTCCCAGCTCCTGCCCACCTAGCAGTTCGAAAGCACGTCAAAGTGCAAGTAGATAAATAGGTACCGCTCCAGCGGGAAGGTAAATGGCATTTCCCTGCGCTGCTCTGGTTTCGCCAGAAGCTGCTTTGTCATGCTGGCCACACGACCCAGAAGCTGTCTGCGGACAAACGCCGGCTCCCTCGGCCTATAGAGTAAGATGAGCACACAACCCCAGAGTCGTCCGCAACTGGACCTAATATTAGGTCAGGGGTGCCTTTACCTTTACCTATCACATAGTTATGAAAGGTATAAATGATCTTACGCTCTGGAAACACCCCTAGGACAACTCTTGTCCACCACATTTTTCAGAGGTTCCCTGATGCTCTGAGCATACATTGGGTCATTTGGAAAGAGGATCTGAGTGTTGGGGCATGTCCAGTCAAAGTTGCTATCATCCAATTCTGTGTATTCTGTAGTCTGCAAAGGGGGAAAGAGGGAGAATTTAAGCGTTGTCTTCTCTTTCTTTCTTTAACCATGCGCAGTCACAATATCCAAATGTGTTTGCAAGGAAAGCACAATTACAAACCTTCCAACCACAAAAAGGAATATGCAGCGTTAAAATGTCAAACAATATATTGTTACAACTGTACAATTCTATGATTCTATGTAAGGAATCAGTTACAAAAGACCATATTTTCATTTAGAAACTCATTACCTAATTTACGTTTGCATAAACAGCAAAGCATGACAGTTTGTGCAACAATGGAAGAATAATCTAAAAATATTCTAAGAGTTACTTTTACAGAGGAAGATAAAACTAGCCTGCAATTAAATCAATTCAAAAATATGAAGCAACACTCACAATGTTTTTCCTAGGGGCCGTTTGGTTTGCAGTAGATAGCCAGAGAGGTAGCAAATGAGCTTCTGTAGTAAAGATATAGTCTTCTATATCGAAAGTCAGGTCTTCCTTATCAGCAAAGAGCAGGTATAAATATTTAAACATTTCAGCCAGGAAGAAAGAATCCATCCTAGAAGGAAGAAATAAATAGACTGAAGTATCATTTTCCCTTCTTGATACACAGTCGTACTTGGAAGTCAAACGGAATCCATTCCGAAAGTCTGTTCAACTTCCAAAGCGTTTGGAAACCAAAGCGCGGCTTCTGATTGGCTGCAGGAAGCTCTTGCAACCAATCAGAAGCCCCATCGGACGTTAGGCTTCCAAAAACAGATTGCAAACCGGAACACTCACTTCCGGGTTTGCTGCTTTCGGGTGCCAAAACGTTCAAGAACTAAGCTGTTCGAAAACCAAGGTACGACTGTATCACTAGCAACAAAATGAAAAACAAGATATACTTTGGAGTAAAGTCAAAATGACAACTAATGGGGAGAACTTCGCTAAGTTTTTCCAAAGAACGCATACATGGCTAAAGACTTAAATAGCAAGAATTTCACGTAAAGGATTGCTTAGTCCCATGTGATCCTGCCCACCCACTTAGGTCTCTGATAGAAATCCTGCTCTGCGCCAGAATCTTACGGGCCTTCTCTGATGCCGCATCTAGTGGCAGAACTTCTTCCTCCAAGGGCCTAGTCTGACCGCCTCCTTATTGACATTTCGCAGCAACTCAGTCCAGTTTGGCTGTGCCTTCAATTATTTGTATGCTATTTTGATGTTGTCACCTTATTTTCTGCTTCTGATGAGGGCTTGGACCCCCCAAAAAAGCCTTTTGACTAGCAGACAGCTATTTCTGTTCATAGAAGGGCTGTTTCTGCTGTGAGAAAAGTGACCCCAACTTCTTCTGCATCTACAAGCTTGAAGACCTTTTGATTTCCCCCCAATTATGCCACAACAGGAGTGGGAAACTTTTTCTGGCTAGTGGGCCAGATCCGAACTTCCTTGACAGCAATTCTGTCAGGTGGGTGGGATCACCTGACGTTATTATGAGGCAGGAAGTTCCCCATGCCTGCAATTCGTCTTCCGTTAGGGTTGCACAAGTTTACAGAACAGCACTATTCTCCCACCTGTAGTTGTTCAGATCTAAGCCCTTGTTTTGTGTGTGTGTGTGTGTGTTTTTTAACAAGACAGTAGTTTCGTTTATTAGAGGGGCAAGAAAACCAGTGTGGACATAACAAAAGGGGATCTGGGCATGTCAACAAAACAGTAAAATTTCTGGTTTAATGCACAGAAGTAATAAAACTGGCCAATAACCCAGCAGGCAATGGTGTCTTGGGGCAAGAGAAGTACAGAAGATGAATGTAAACTGATAAAGTACATTTTACATTTCTACAGCCTCTTAAGAACCTCTAAATAACTAGCCGCCCTTTGTGTTTGGTTATTTTTCTCTCTCCCCCCACATTCGTCCCCCAAACTCTGCCCCTTTAGACGACGATGGATTTCACAAGCTCCCATTGTCCATGAGCAACTGGCCGAGGATCGCCAGCTCCCTGGTCTTGTTTCCCCTGCCTCTTTGCAGATGAGGCATTCCTCTGCCTCACACATGCAACAGTGAAATTCAGCCTCTTAGGGCAGGGTTGGAGAAAGCAGCCGCCCAGCGCCGCCCCCCACCCCCAGGGACAGATCTAAGCCCTTGTTTTCATGCTATTTAAATGTCTATTGTTAAATACATTAACAAGTTAAATACTTAAGTTAGGTGCCTTGAGGAGGATCCAATATACATATATATACATACATATATATATATATATATATATATATATATATATATATATATATATATATATATATATATATATGGTAAAGGGACCCCTGACCATTAGGTCCAGTCGTGACTGACTCTGGGGTTGCGGCACTCATCTCGCTTTATTGGCCGAGGGAGCCGGAGTACAGCTTCCAGGTCATGTGGCCAGCATGACTAAGCCACTTCTGGTGAACCAGAGCAGTGCACGGAAACACCGTTTACCTTCCCGCTGGAGCGGGAAAGCACTTTGATGTGCTTTCAAACTGCTAGGTTGGCAGGAGCAGGGACTGAGCAACGGGAGCTCACCCCGTCACGGGGATTCGAACCGCTGACCTTCTGATCAGCAAGTCCTAGGCTCTGTGGTTTAACCCACAGCGCCACCCGCATCCCTATATATACACACACATATATCTCTTAATAAAATAAAAATCATGAAGCACTTGTTAACTTTTACTAAAGTATTAAGCCAGAGAAGATTTAATGTACAAAGAAATCCTACCAGCATGAATGCACAGTTGCAAGATTAAATTAGCAAAACCTAGCAACGCTTTTCAGCTAATTACCTGTCTTCATGGCTTCCAGTACGAACATCCTTCATAGCAGCAAATCCACAAGGTACACGAGCGTATTTATTTAAGTTTTCAATTAGTGTTTTTCCTACTTCTAGGTAGTAAGGATCTCCAGTAGCCTGTTTTTAAAGGAAGATTTTTTGCACTTACTCCTAGAGATACGCTATACACACATTACATTCTTATCTGTTGTTATACTTTGATATTTGACTTTGCACACATTTTAAAGCCTTGGATTTAAAGTCAAACAGCACTGCTAAATACATACTAGCCTGGACAGAAGAATATTCTCAGAGGGAGAACAGAGCTGAGAAACTGTTTGCAGTCAGCAATTCAAGGGGCTTCCCAGCCTCAATAGAAAGCTCCTTTATTTTGTGCAACAAGTTAGAAAGTCTCAAGCTCATCTTATTGTTAAAAATACTTGCACTGCATAAGTATTGTTCTTGACCATGCATAAGAAGACCAGAAGTACAGTCAACCTGCACCACAAACAGGGACGAATCAGAAGCCCAGGGAGGAAGTATAGATGGAAATTACCATTCTCTGCTGCTTGCCCTAAGCATCTGATAACAATCCTACTTATATTACCTTTCAGTTTGGAAGCTGCGCTTAGCTATCCCAGTTCATAATCATCAATAGGCCTCCTTTTTCAAAGCCATCTAAGGTTAGAGGCTGTGTGTAGTAGTACCTGCTGGCATAATTTCAGAGCAAGTGAAAGAGAAAAATCTCTTCCCACTATTCATGATTTTGAAATACTTTCATATCCTGCCCCCAAGCCCCAGTTAATTCATTCGTTCTAAGCTAACAAACCTAATTCTCTTTAGTCTTTCTTTATGGGAAAGTTGCTGCATATTCTTAACCACTATAGATTCCTCTTTCTGTACCTTATCTGCGCCTATAATATTCTTCTTGAGATAAAGCATCCACTTCAGTACAAAGTATTTTAGTGCAACTGCATCACAGTGTCATAAAAAGGTGTTAACATTTTCAATTCCTTTCCTAAGATTTTCAAGGATTTAAGGCACCTTGAATTGGAAGAACGAAATCTTACTTTATACAAGAAATAGGTACTCTCTGCAAATTCTGGCCTTAAAGGATGTTGAGCCCAGTGAACCCGGAAGTCTGTTGTGAAAGCCTGAAGGAGAAAAGAAGAAAGACATAGGGAAATATTAAATTGTACAGTACTTTGGTCACAAATGCTATTAATTATTATTATTATTATTATTATTAGTAGTAGTAGTAGTAGTATACCACACCTTCATCCAAAGATTGCAGGGCGGTTCACAACATAAAAATACAAAATGAGAACACAAAATACATAATAAAAACAAGAACAGAACAAAAGCGATAACCCCACCCCCACCCACACATTTTAAAGGACAGAGAATGTTAATCAGCCAAAGATCTGGTAAAAAAAAAACATTTTGCCTGGTGCCTAAAAACTTATCAAACAGTCCCTGTTAGCCAGGCAGGCAGGTGTTTTCCTTTGCGGTAGTCCTCACCTGTAAAATGAGGAGTAATCATCTACATCACAAGGGTTTTGTGTGGATGAAAATAGCATTCCCAATATGTTGGGTGCTATTTTATTATTCCCCTGTTACAGATTAGCTATCAAGAGAAGTTTGCAAAGTTCACTCAAACATGACAACTCTATGCTAGGCCAAGGTCTCCCGGGCTCTCGTCCTGGGAGACCACTGGGTCACAATCTCAGATACAGGGAAAGGAAAGAGACCAAGATATAGAATAGCATCCAATTAGTCCTATTCTGAGTAGATTTACTAAAATTGATGGACTTTAGATATGTCCAATGATTTCAAAGGAAATACTCAATAAGACTTAGTTGGATACCACTCATAAAACTAGATTCGAAAGTAAATGAGTTGTGAACATATGGCAAAGCTTTTCACTGTATGAGTGTGATGTAGTGGATAAAATGGTTAAGAGTTGAATATCTGGGTTGGAATCACTGTCATGCTGACACATTAGCCAAACCCTGGCTTCCACATTGCATTTTGTTTGGAAAGAAGCAGGAGTGCTGGTTCGGATGAGACACTAAACCAGTCTCTCCCCATTCATGTGCAACTATTATGTGAACAAATGAGCGCAAATATGAAAAAAGGAATTGCAGGCAGATGTAGCGATGCATGGAAATATCTTTTTTTTTTAAAACAATATTTATTATAGTTTCACAAAGAAAGAATCACATTAATAAAAAAGAAAAATTTAAGAATAAAAAGAAAAATACACAATACAAAATACAAAAGGAAAAAAGAAAAAACAAAGAAAAAAGAAAAAACAATTTAAAAAAATTCCGTCTTTTCATGACTTCTTTTACATTTACTTATTTCCCGGACCTCCTCATACCTCCCTCTTTTGTATTCCAATTCAGTTTGTTAATCCAGCAATTTCTTTCCCTCTTTTTTAATCCCAATCCTTAATCTTAATATATTATAACATTAAGTTTTAACCTATTAAAAACCAATTTTTCCATTCTTTTAACCTTTTTAATCCTAATCCTTGATATATTTACAACTTTCGATGCATGGAAATATCAAGGTCAACCATATGGGCAAGAAATGCACTAGCCTCCAGTTCCTACAGGAGGAACAGAAAGTTAAAAAAAGAAGATCAAAATATGCAAAGGGATGCTGATTAGCACATGAATGACTAATCAGTAATTAGAAATCAACATCGCCCCTTTCCCAGTATTATTATTATCCCCACAATGATAATAATACAAGCCTACCGCCTTACCTCTGGAAGAAAGTTATGCTTTTTTATCACCTGATACAGCATCTCATGAGTTTCTATAGCTGGTCTGATATCACCTTTCAAGACCTATAATCCAAACAGATAGTACCAATGTAAGGCCATTTAGATATGCCCCTTTCCTGTCAGATAATGACCGATTCCATATCTCCCACCACCTGCCCCAAGCCCATGGTTATTACTTTTTCTTACACAGGCCACGGCGTAAGACAAGGAAACATGAGAGAGCAGAATGGCACTTGGTTAATTAAGCAAAAGTCAGAAAATCATGTGTACTGTGTACATATGTGCTGAAACCAGTGCTTAACATATATTTGGTTTGGTCTGTCAGGTTGGCCATATGTTTATATTCTTAGCGTTAAAGTTATTAGCTCAAATTTAGGTACAGCTTTGATAAAGTTGCTTTCTGGAAATCTTAGGTGCCAAACCAGATATTTCCAAGAGTACTCATGTGCATAGAGGAACCTGTGAATTAAACAATGTTTATGTAATGATATTCCTAATGCGTTCCCAGCCACAGAAATTTCTACTCTGCATCTCTGATAAGCTTACCTGCAAACCAGGGAAAAATGCTAGTAGTGAGTCCATCCAGGTCCGAGCATTAAGCATTGGTTTGTGTATGTGCACATCAAGCAGGAGAGGTGGTTGGCTAATGTATCTCATTATGGCATCATAATGCTGCAAAACATCAGACCCTGGTGAGTCCACATTCATTTTTCATACCAAATTCATTTGCAAAGTTAAGATCTAAACACACTAAATTGTATGTTGCACTCGCCTCTCCTTAACGTCATGCAAAACAGCTGAGAGGACACCGAACCACACAAGAGAATTAACAGGAGAGTAAGTCCTAATCAACAAGAGTCCAGCTGAGAAACGAGGGTGGAAAGGACTCGTGCAACTGACCGCAACAGCAAGGGGTGAAATTTCTGCCATGTTTGGCTTAACGTTGGATAATTTTAGTGAAGTGCATTCATTAAATGAAATTAAACAGGCAGGAAGGCTGGAGAGGAGGGGTGTCATTCCAGGAATTTCTTGTTCCTCTTTGAATGATTTAAAACTTGAGCTCCCACAGCCCTGCCATATAACAAAATTGCTAAATATCACACAGATTGTTTTATCCTCCCTTCGTGTTTGAGCCGGATTGTGACACATAAGCTGCTCTGCCTTTAGCACATCGCTGCTCAGTAAATTCCCTCAATCTTTTAGTCAGGGTGACATCCACATTTAAGCTATACATCTGATGCTGGAATTTGTTTAAGTATTTTAAAGTTGATGCATCAAGAGTTCATGTAAGGAGGCTAGCAGCCTTTCACCTGAAAAGCGTTTTACCGAGAGAGATTAGCTTTAATAAAAAGCAACACAGTCCAGTCTTCATGTTTCGCAAATATATTGCATCTGTCAGCATCGCCCTTGAGCCAGTGCCACCAACTGGACTCATCCACTTCAGCCCCGACTGGGCTAGGCAAGCTGGGTAGCACTTCCAGAGACCACCTTCTGCACAGGAACAGGTCAAAGTGCTGTGGACTCACAGCTTAGAGTTGTGAGCACCCGATGCACTCCAATAAGACAGTCGTTGCACAGCAGAGTACAACAGAGTATAGCAGAACATAAACGACTCAGAGAGCAGCTCTCTAGAATAACTACTTTTATTCTATCTACAACTATAATACACAACTATGTACAGAGCTAAATGAGGTCTATGCGAAAATGCTGAACTGCACTGGGTGTCTGCAGTTGCTCTTAGCAGCAACCTTACCTATACACACGATCTCTCTCTAACACTCAGTCTCTCTCTCTCTTTGATGTGAGGCTGGAGCGGAATAAGTAGAGAGCAGAAAACGCCCCCTCCTCTCTGGAGAATCAGCAGAGAACATCAGCAGATTCTTGGATATGGGAGGGGTGAAATCTCCTCAGAAATATTGTAGCCAATATTTCACCACTAAGCCACTTTGAATAGGGATACTCAATTAAATTCAAGGGGAATCCTTTTACAAGCCCTTCCTGTAGATTTATTCATGTCTGGAGCCAGATGGACTTTTATGGCAAGCAGATACACTGACCAGTGGTTGCTTCTTAGGAATGAGTTATACCTCATGAAATGCACAACCCCTGAGTCTCATGCAAGAGACTTACCGTGTTAAATCTTTCCAGAAAACTGTCGTCTCCAAGCAAGACGTAAGCCTTTAATAAATATTCGTAATATGAATCTATACCTGCTCCAACACCACTATCTAGGAAAAAGATGGAAAAACCTGTTATATATTTAAGATTGACCTTACAACTAGTTTTCATTCCTGCGAAAGAAGCCCCTGTTAAGAGTGCAGCCAAGAAATAAACAAAGAAACTGCACTCAGCACAATACAATATTTTCTGTTTTATTTTAAAAAAATCCACATGGAACAGGGGTGGGTAGTCTTTGCCACCCTGATGGGCACCTTCCAGCTTGCCAGCTCTTCGAGGGCTACCTGCCAGCAAACGCACACAGGTAGGTGCAGCTAAAATAGTTCTGCCCTGGTTCTACCACACATGCACAGCCATGAATACAACACAGTCATTCAGTCATTCATTTGTTCATTCATTCACACCCCACATTCATTCCCATCACTGTGCTGGACCGAGAGAAAAGGTTTAGCCCTCTCCATGGCTGCAGTGGGACTATTTCCCCACCATTGCTGGGTGTGGAGAAGGCGGCCAGCACTCCCGACAGGGAAGACGATGGGGACTGGCAGTCCACTTCACACAGCTTCGCAGGCCTGATCCAGGCCACAGTGTAGTTTAAGGAAATACTTTTCTAGCATTCTGTTCATCTGCATGAAACGCTTCCATCAATGTGCAGTCACAATTCCTTTTATTTGCTCTTCTACTTGCAGGAGTGTTTACCCTTCTTTAGGTAAAGATGGTTGAACCAAATAAGACTAAGGGGAGCAACAGGTGGAAGCAGCCACAAGCAGCTCATCTTAATGCGCTAGATCGATGGGATAAAAAGGACTGACAAAACCTGGGACCAGGAGGAAGGGACGCTGGATGAAGATTGGATTGCTTCTATTTCTTTTTCTTATCACTAGGATTGTTTTATAAAATTGATGACTGTTAGAAAAATGTTGGAACGAAATTACTTGGCTCTAGCAAAAGTGTTTAAAGAATTAGGCAAGAATATTATGGTTATGAGAAGTGGGTAAAAATAAGATTTAAGTTTTAAGTTTTAAGGTTTTTTATAAGATAAGATAAAAATAGATTAAGGTAATGTAATGACAGAATATTATGAAATATGGAAAGGATTTGCTGCGACAATTATTAACTAGGATACAAAAAAAGGGAGGAGGAGGAGGTCAAAGAAAGAAGGTAATGAAAGTTGAAGATTTGAGAATGATGGTTTTATTTTTATCTGTTTGTGGTGTATTTTTGTTTTTTGAATTTGTATTGTTGGATATGGCTTGTTTTCTTTTTCTTTTTTGTTTTTTCTTTTTCTGCTTTGTCTTTTTCTGTAATTTTAAAAAATTTTCAATAAATATCATTTAAAAAAAACAAAACAAGCAGCTCATCTTATTTACAGCCCATACATTTAAAAGGTTAACCACTGATTTATTAGGCTGCAGCCTGACAAATCCTAGGTCTCTCATGTCAGGGTCAAGCATACAGGCCTCCCCAGCATGAAAGAGGTTCCAGATTGCATAGATGCTTTGCAAATTCCCATTTCTGCATGAGCCACAGAGGGCACACAGTTGCAAAGTGCCATACCTTTGCGGACCCAATCACCCGTATGAATATTAATTGTGACTCCCACCAAGTTGCTGCTGCGTTGCCTTTTCTCCCAAAGAAAATCAAGTGCCTTCCGTGCATATTCCTGCAGCAAACAAAGTCAACATTTCCAGTTAAATGCTGTTTAAATACAATGGTAAAAATGGGGGAAAAAATACATCTGATGCAAACAACTGGTGTATCAATTCATTCCACATTTATAATTAGAGAGCTCTGAAGTATTTTGCATAGCTAAATTAAGGTACAAAGGAGTAAGTCAGACCCACTGATATCATGGAATTAGGTAACTTACCAATTGAGTCCAATGAGTCTATGGAGAGCATAGATCATGGATAGGCAAACCCAGGGACCGGATCTGGCCCAATCGCCTTCTAAATCCGACTCGCAGACTGTCTGGGAATCAGCGTGTTTTTACATGAGTAGAATGTGTCCTTTTATTTAAATTGCATCTCTGGGTGATTTGTGGGGCATAGGAATTTGTTCATTTTTTTTTTTTTTCAAAATATAGTCCGGCCCCCCACAAGGTCTGAGGGACAGTGGACCGGCCCCCTGCTGAAAAGTTTGCCGACCCCTGGCATAGATTAACATAATCAATGTTAATCACCCAAAAGCAATTCTCTGCTTTCACAGTTATTCCACTCTTTGCTGCCAATAATGGCTATTCATTCCTGATTCCACATATGTTAATGGAGATTCTATCCATCAGCTGGAACGGCAGCCCTTCCAGTTTAAGAACTAGTCATTCTTTAAGACTGGAAGGAAATTACCAAAGTGCCAAATGCACAGCCTTTAGATGCTACCCTGTGTAAATTGCTACTGTCACAAGCAACTAGAAAACTGCCAAATTACAAGGCAGCCCTAAGCCTCACATAATACCCAGATAGTAATAGATAGCAAACAATTCCACAAGCAAAGCTATTAACAATGTAAGGGGGAGGGGGAAGAGAGAGACTGAATACCTTAAGGCAATTTGGGTATTATTTAGGAGAAATTTTGGTCCAGCGTTCAGTCTATTTTGCTATAGTAGAGCAAAGCTACAAGAATATTGGGGTTGCTACTGTTGGGAATCAATATCAACATAATCAGCACACCATAAGAGAAAAAAACATTGGTTTCTTCCTTGATGCAAGTGCAATGCACACCATAAATACAAACACATGCCAATAAATAGCAGCTTATTTTATACAAAGGTTTAACAATAAACTGCTGCTTATACCATCGAGTTTATGCCAAGATGTTTACAATACTGATTAGAGTGCAACAAACAAGACACTGATAAGAAAATATCCATTACAGAGCAATCCAAGTACAGAATTTCTGGAATATTTATCGCAAAGCCTCCAAATAGACAGAGAGACCATTTACTAAACTCCTATATCACAGATTTAGTTACCAATTCAGCAATAGATATACTGACACTGAAATGCTATAAAACACCACACTAACAGAAGTTATAAATTAAACAAGGAATGATGAATTATAACCCGTATTCAAACCTCAAATATTGATGCTCCTGTGAAGCGGCTCAGAGCTGCAAACTCCAAGATCAAGGTACCTGCACAAGCTGTACAAGTGTCAGTCTCTGTTCCTGTTCGAGCTTCTGGACTCCTTACACCAAATTTTAAGTTAACCTAGAAGAAAAGGCACCAAAACCGTTTACTGCTACAGTAGTAAATTAAGCAATCATTGACAGATAAAACGCAACTTATGGAAACTGCAAGAAAAACACGTTCCTTGAGTTCTGGATAGAGTTTAAAAGCAAAGTACCCGAGGCACCAGGAACAGATGGTAAGCTGGCTTTCAGACAAATGTCAGAATTTGGTGCCATACATACACAAACAGACTTTATACAAACATTAATCCTTAAGGTTTCCATTACCTGACAATATGGACCAAGACATCTTGACAAACATAAAAGTGCAACATTCAAAACATTTATATTTGTTGGCATCGTGTAAAGGTGCGTTAGGCTTTAGACATGAGAATGCTTACAACATATCTTATGTCATCTAGACTAAAATAGGAATGCTAACAGCACACTTCCAGATGACTATTTTAAAGCAACTTTCAGGGCTAAGTATGTAGCTCACCACCTATAGACTATGGCCATAACTTAGGGTTGCCATATTTTAAACAGTGAAAATATGGACAAGACAGTTGTGGAGCTTGCTTGTGGGGGGCAAAGTTGTTGACCTTTTTTGAGCTATTTTTATGGAAAATCAGCAAAAACAACACTGACAACATGGGTTGCCATAGATCCGCATTTTCCCAGACATTTTGCCGATTTACACCCAGACACTGCTGCCACCTGCGTGTAGATATAATCGTTTCTGAAGTTTGCGGCGGCAGTTCCCAACACCGAAATCTGTGGTGCTTTGAGTTCGAGAACAGCTTGTCATTTAGAGTGGAGAGAACAGCAAGTTCACAGTAAACTCTGGCAGTATTCCTGACTTTCATGCATACAGCGTGCTTGGAACAGAGAACTTGAAAATTATTTAATAAAGGGCACAGGAGAAAAATGGTGGCAATTGTTTTAAATACGAAATAAGCTACAAACAGGATTAACTGGTATCGTATACTTCTGAACAGATTTACATCTTGCAATCAAGAGATATGAAAATATACCATGGGATAGTTCAGTCAGTAGAACGTGAGACACTTACTCTTAGAGTTTTGGGTTCAAACCCCACATTGGGCAAAAGATTCCTGCATTGCAGAGGATTGGACTAGATGACCCTTGTGGTCCCTTCCAACACTACAATTCTAGGATTCTATGAGAATTTATATCTAAATCAACAAGAAACAAAATTCTCAACTGCCCTCACAATACATTATATACTTACTCGTGGATATGGAAGACCGCTGGTGGTGTTAAAAGCTGGCAAAAGCTTGTAGCCCAACTGTTTTGCCATATGCAGAAGTTCTCCGTTGTACCATTGCATGTCTTCGCCCTTCTCTTTCAACATGATTGCTACTGAGTGCCCACCTAAAAGACCTCTAAATACACAGAAAGGACAACAATGAAATTCAGCACATAAAAATACTGAGCTCAAACATGGTATTGCTTAAGGGCTGGTGCCAAACGTTCAAGCATTAGCACTTTCTCAACTGGGGCTGGCATTGACCCCAGACACCACTGCAGCAGAGCAGAATAGCAGGGTGGGGAGGATTGACTACATCTCCCTACAAACCGCATCCTTAAGCTGTGGTTAGCACATTTATTTCACATATTTATTACATTTCCCATTCCCTTCCAGGAGCTCAAGGTGGTATACACGGTTGCCCACCCCCGTTTTGTCTTCAGAACAACCCTGTGAGGTAGATTAGGCTGAGAAACAGCGATTGACCCAAGATCAACAAGTGAACTTAGTGGCTGAGTGGGGATTCGAACCCCAGTCTCCTAGCTCATAAACCAACACCCTAACCATTACAAAACATGATCTGTATCAGTTCCAAATGTATGTAAGTCGAGTAGCAGAGAATAAAGTCAACAGGTCTAAATGCTCTTCACTTTTGGAGAAGACGTTTAAAATGGGGCTATGTACCGTATTTTTTGCACAATAAGACTCACTTTTTCCCTCCTAAAAAGTAAGAGGAAATGTGTGTGCATCTTATGGAGCGAATGCAGGCTGCGCAGCTATCCCAGAAGCCAGAACAGCAAGAGGGATTGCTGCTTTCACTGCGCAGCGATCCCTCTTGCTGTTCTGGCTTCTGAGATTCAGAATATATATATTTTTTTCTTGTTTTCCTCCTCCATAAACTAGGTGCATCTTGTGGTCTGGTGCGTCTTATGGAGCAAAAAATACGGTATATACAGTCGTACCTCCGCTTACGTATCCCTCCAGTTACGTAAACTTCAGGATACGTAAGTGGCGAACCTGGAAGTATATTTCCGGGTTCTTGCCGCGCGCGCATGCGCAGAAGCGCTCTACCATCGCGTGTGCGTGAGCAGAAGTGGTCTCTCCAGTTGCGAAAACCTCAGGATCCGGCCAGACCTCTGGAACGGATCCCGTCTGCAACCAGAGGTACCACTGTACTGCCATTCCACTGGAATGTAGAAATCCTGCAAAATATACAGTACAGAATGTAGCTTCCTGAGAACTTAAGAAGAGCTCTGCCAGGTTAGACTAAAAGCCTAGATTAGTCCAGGATCTGGTTTCCTACAGTAACCAACAAGGTGTCTGCAAGAAAGCAGGACAGAAGGGCAAAAGCTCTCTCTCGCTGTTGTGCTCGAGCAACTTGCATTCAGAGGGCTGTTGCTTCTGGGCATAGAGGCAATATTTATCCATTGCTAGTTTTATCATACGTGAATCTGTCTAATCCCACTTTAAAGCCATCCAAATCTTATGCCATCTCAGCTTTTAGGTCTTTAACTTATCTAGCCTTTATCCAAACATTTCCCACAAGTATGTGGGAAATGCCCAAAGTATTTCAGCTATCAAACTTTCACCAAAGGACACTTCTAAGGATTTGAGCATGCAAGATTGCAGCTAAGTGGAGATGAATGCAGGAAAAGCTAGAACTACAACTTTTGCTGCATGTTTCTTAAGGTAACAGATGCACCATTTCGATTATTCTTAAACATTTATGGAACAGGCATATTCACCTCCAACTAAAAAGCAGCACAGAAAGTACCAAAACTCAACAAACTGAAATGTGGTTTATTTTCCTCTGGCATCAAACTTACCCAAGGACTCTTATGTTAGTTTCAAACACTGATACTACAATGTCGTTGTCTAAATTAACATCTCTGATCACTTTTTTGACAGCCTCTTCAAACTCTTTGGTTTTATTTAACACCTGCAAAAGAAAAATTAGCTGTTAACAATTTGACCTCCCCTGTAGTGAAACCTATCAATGAAGAGGTAATTACAGATATCCTCCCAAACCGGACAACTGACTTTTCGGCAGGTTTCCAACTTCCAGCATATTACACAAGACCTGTAAGATCGCTTGGATCTGGGGAAACTGTACTCGTGGGAAATTGAATCTTACCTCCAGAGGTCAACTGTGGCTAAATAAACATATCAGGAATGTGGATGTTAGGCACATGATCAACTCATCATCCAATACATTCCACATACTGAGCTGGCAGCTCCACTCATATTTACCATGCCACCCACTGCTAAACCCACTTTCAGAAGTTTTGTAATGTCGCAATTCAGTGTGGGCTGAATTGCAAGGTGGGTGTAGGGAAAAGGGAAATTAACCACACATATTTCAAAAGCACCCACAGTTCCTCCTGAGTCATCCAAGTCTGTGAGGGCAAATAGAAATAGAATGTGCAAAAGAAGCACGGAGGTGATGTAAGCAGGAAGAGCTCAAGTACAAGTTGACAGGAGAGGGATAAGTTCAAAAGAGTTCCTGGTATGGAAGAGGAGAATGCGATACAGAGCAAGCAGGCTGGTCGGGTCTCACAGACTCACTTAAGAAATACTCTTGTATTCTCCAAGGCTGGTCCTAACTCTGAGACTATCAGAGAAGCACTTTTTATTTGCAATACAATGCAGAAACTGTTTTTCTTCATCATAATAAAGGTCTCTAAAGCCATCTGATTAAAGTAGACTTAAACCATAAGTTACACACACGTCAAAGAATTTTCTTCCAAAAATGGAAGTGCAAGTGTAACATTCAGAAGTGACCCAACTTACCACAAGAGTGTCCAAAGTATCAATCAGTGTCAGTGAAAACCTGAGTGAGGGAGAAGCAGGCACAAGAACACATTAGAACCCAGTACACTTTATCTGTAGCGACAACAAAACATCCAAAAAACAGTATGACACGTTATTACTAACAAAGAAGACATCAGTTTGAATGGAGAAGTTCCGGTACAAAGGAGCCAGAACTTCACTGTGCATGTTTTGAGTGCACAGGAGGAACAAAACTAGCGCTCTCTTCATAGTCCTCACACCTAGTGAAACAAGATGCTGTCTGCAATTCTTGTATTTTCTGTGTAGCTTCAAGGCCATTACACATTGGTACCTGCCCACTCCCAGACAAATGCTGCCACAGATTTCAGAAATCCACAATTTTTAGTATCCACTTTTAAGGCCAAATGTGCAGAGGTTTACTACATATTTGGTGTATGGAATTTTATCCAAATAAGTACAGTGGCACCTCTGGATGCGAATGGGATCCGTTCCGGAGCCCCTTTTGCATCCAGAAGCAAACACAACCACTTTTGCGCATGCGCGTGACATCATTTTGACTGTCTGCGCATGCGTGAGCAACAAAACCCGGAAGTAATGCACTCCGTTACTTCTGGGTCGCTGCAGCGCGCAACCCGAAAATACTTACCCCGAAGCTACTTCAACTCGAGGTATGACTGTACTACAAAGGAAGAAATGCAAAAAGCTAAAGGACCCCTGGATGGTTAAGTCCAGTCAAAGGCTAGGGTTGCGGTGCTCATCTCACTTTCATGCCGAGGGAGCCAGCGTTTGTCCACAGACAACTTTCCTGGTCATGTGGCCAGCAGGACTAAACCGCTTCTGGCACAACGGAACACCGTGACAGAAACCAGAGCGCACGGAAACACCGTTTACCTTCCCGCCACAGCATTACCTATTTATCTACTTGCACTGGCGTGCTTTCCAACTGCTAGGTTGGCAGGAGCTGGGACAGAGCAACGGGAGCTCCCTCCGTCGCGGGGATTCGAACCGCCGACCTTCTGAATGGCAAGCCCAAGAGGCTCGGTGGTTTAGACCATAAAGGAAGTAACCAACTCCAACTTATTTCAGCCATGAAGCAATATAGCTAGATGGAAGGAGGGAGTGGCGTTGCCTTATGGCTCCGCAATACAAACTTTGCAAGCTGTGTGGCATGGGAGTAGAGCTTTGCTCTACCTTCCATAAAACCCTTAGTGTAAGCTAGAGTTTGTGTGAACAAAAGCCTTCCCAAATAGATCCTGCTTATGAAATCTTTTCTGGCAAAAAAGGACTGCATGGGCAAGGCCCACGTCCCAATGAAGATTCCATAAAGTGCCTGGGTCCACATTATTATATCCAAAGACTGTGGAATGAATGCATTTGCCTGTGTTTTTCTTTATAAGGCACGTGGGGCTGTGTTTCCACAGCACCGAACCTGAAACAAGATTTTTGCTGTTTCACATAACTAGAATTATTTCGAAGTACTAACTTTCCCAAGGCATCATCCACATCTCCACGACTTGGTTCTTGACCACGAACTCTTCCACGGCAAGTTAAAGGCATGAGCTCGTCGGCTGGGTAGGCATGTTCCTGTTTAATGCAAAAAAGTGCAAAGAGTATGCTGAAATTTGGGGTACATTGGTGGTTAGGGAACAACAAAATGGACATGATTACTGAAACATACACATATAAACATATGCAAGTATACGTGTATTGAATACAAAACATAAGTTACCCAAGCTGTGGCCACTGTATTAACAAAGAAGTTCTCCAAATAATACAGATACTGATGGATGAGATCTCCAAGTTTGTATCTCATTTCATATTTCTTTGGAAGCAAATAGGAGCATTTGCATCACCCCATAGAAGTGTGGAAAATTCAACATTGATGCAAGGTTACAAGCCCTGTGCAATTCTTTATAAAACCCCCAATGGAAAACAGCTATTTTTAGGCTGCAATCCTAACCCCATAGAACTCAGTGAAACATATATTCAACTAGACATGTATGGAATTGCACTGTTAACTACAGGCAGAAAGCTTCCTGTTATATACTGTGTTTAATAATGGGAACATCGGTTATATTTTGCAATGTAGCAGATATACCTTCAAAACAAAACAAAATTGAAGCAGCAGTAAAAATCAGCACTTTATGGCAGCCTGCAGAACATGTCACTATCAAACCATCTGATAAAGTACAAAACCATAATCTCGCTTGCCAGGTTCGCAAACACAAGAAACACAATTCGTTTATTTAATACCCTAGTATACGTGGCAAATACATATCCTTTTGACTTTAAAGCTTCCAGGATATGCCAAGTCATGCTTTCACATAACCCAAACATTTCATGCTACAAATGTAGAACAGAAAGCCACTGTTTCCCTGCAAAAAGTACAATCCCAGCTCACTATGGTGTTTCCCTTCCACAAGAGAGGTTCAGTTTTAAAGTCTACTGAAGGACATTTCCTAACACCTTATGCACAACCGACTTGGTTAGTTTGTTGTGTTTCTACACTACCCTTCATTAGAGGATCACAAAGTGGTTTACAATATAAAAAACTCAAAAATACATAACATAGTAACAAACAAAAACAACCTTCCAACACACAGTTTAAAAGGCCATAGAATTGTTTAATAATTAGGGTTCAAATCCACACCACTGTCTCAAAGACTGCATTTTATTCCTAAACACGTAACAACAGAGCATCATTTATGTAAACTGTACATGTGTCTATGCACTGTGTCTACAAGTATGCACACATAAGCAAGTGTGCACATGTAAGCAAGACAGCATAAAGCCAAAACACAACAACCACAAACAATTAATAAGCTGCTATATGCACTTGTATTTCACTTCAAGCAGTGTAAATTTGAATTCCATTGTTCCTTTTTCACAATAATCCCACACTCTAATTCAGATTCAGTACTCTGACCACTGCTGCTTATTGCCAAACTGGAGCGAACTATGTACAAGGAGATGGTATTAGCAGATTTAGGGAAACTCTGAGGTTTGCAAAAATATTTAGTAAAAAACATGGTTAGTAAAATCAGCGCCCACATAAAATGGATTGTTGAGAGCATAAACTGGACAACCAGAGGGTTGTTGTTTTTTTGGAGGGATAGTAGAATGGAAGGACTGGAAAATGAAGCCTGAGAATGAGGGAAACAGGTCTATAAACACCATCTAAATGTCTAGAGAGGCGATTTTCTGGTTTATACAAAGGAATTATTTTTATGTGTCCCCAAGAACAGAAGCGAAAATTATCCACATAAATAAAAGGACAGAGCCATGATTTTAAAGTAGCTGGGACGGGGCACCAGTGTGTGCATTCTATGCTCAGCAGACATGGTGTGGCTGGAAACCTGAACAGTAGCAATTATCACTGCAACATTTTGTTGTTGCAAAGGCCCACTTGAACTAACTACATGCTCCAAGTGCTTTTCATACACTGGGTCAATAATGTTTACCATACCCCTGTAAGAAGATTACTATTGCCCTCACTGAACAGAGGCGTAATAAAAAGAATAGTGGCTTGTTCTAGCATGTGGAGAATTTGTGGGAGGAGTGAGATTTCACCAGGAACTTGCTGGATCACAGAGCTTGCAATCCCAGGTGCCTGTGCCATGCTATTTGTTATCAGAACATAAGGTAAAAATGTTATCTGAACATAAGGATACCTTATCAGAACATAACTTATCAAACTGCCCTTGTTAGCTAGGCAAACAGGTGTTTTCCCTTTGCCATAGTTCTCACCTGTAAAATGAGGATCATCTACATCACAAGGATCTTGAGGGGATAAAAATAGCATTCCTAATATGTTAAGTACTCTGCTGGGTTTTAAAAAACTGCTATTGGCATTATTTATAAGTTTTATGTAGGTTAGTCAATTCTCACATCTATTAACTGTAGAACAGTTAGTAGATGTGAGACTTAGGTGTGTACAAGTAACTCTCAAGAGACAGCTATTTAAGCAGGTGCAAGTTGCCTGTAGGGATAGCTCAGTTGGTAGAGCATGACTCTTAATCTCAGGGCTGTGGGTTCAAGACCCACATTGGGCAAAGGATTCCTGCACTGCCAGACTAGATGATCCTCATGGTCACTTCCAACAAGATGATTCTACAATCTATGATCTAAGTGGCGTCAAAAACCCTGCAGTAATCACACTATGACAAATTCACAGATTTGTTGTATTCTATGGCTGAATTTTGATAGCACACTAAATCATGGTTAATGCAAACCATAGTCCATCATTTGAGCTTCCTAATATTTACAAACTAAGGTTTAACGCAGTTTCTCTGCGTTCATTTTCCTTCCAGCTGTGGAGCAACAGTCATAACTACAATTTAATTCAGATATCATGCCAAACTGTAAGGACATGCTGATCCATCTCAAACCATGTTTCCAGTTTTAGTCTGGAGGCTAGTCTGTGAATACAGACATTACATCAAACCACAACTATGCTCTCTCAACCATGGTTTAGTGTAACAACTAAATCAGGTGCATAAGTACTTATAGCTGCAACATTGCAGCCCAAACTCAGAAGTAAATCCTATTAAGACTATGCAGAACCACATCCATATCCTGGTTGCAGTCTAGGAGTGTCACTTAACAGCAACTGAGCTTGTTTCCATATAGGATTAGAACACAAGATTATAATCCTAAAAAATAAAATAATGAAATTCATCACCATATGTTTATACCTTATGTATCTCTCTCAGAATGGCCTGGTTCATACGTCACATTAAACCATCGTGTAAAACAAACTATGCTTCAATATGAACAAACAATATGTGGCTGCAAGTCTGACTTGTTGTGTCATCTGAACCTAGGCTTGTACTTTATTTCCCCAGAACAAACCACAAGCAGTGAGTGAAGAGCAAATTGTGGTTCTCTTCAAACATGCTACAAGGATGGGTTTTGACTCTGGATTATTTGTCGGTGTCATGGTGGCAGTAGGAGCACAGTGGGAACTTTGGAGCACCATGGACCAGAACGCTGCTCAACCACAGATATGATAGTTTGTTTTAAGCTATGGCTTAACGTGATATGTGATACACTGAGTCAAGGTAGAAGGAAGCAGTTATTTAAAAGTACATATAGTCATTTTACTCACCATGTAATTACTATAGGCATGATCAAACATTTCCACTACTTGATTCCTACAGAAGAGACAAAAGCGAAAATGATTTAGCTGGTGAAGTAAAACCTTCTCTGACCATGAGGTTTAAACAGAAACAATTCATCACATTTAGGTCAAGCAGAGCACTGTCCTCAGTCCACCCTCATTTGCCTGCCTTTCTTACTTTCAACCATACCAGGTTTGTGGCACTGCCTGTCGCTTTCTGCCTCCGGAACTGTTGCTCCTATAGACCTCCGTAGGGAGGATGATGGAGGCAAACCACTGCACCAAGGGAGGATGATGGAGCGACCACTGCACCAAGAGCTTTTAAAAGACTGTCAACATGTAGTAAACAAGATACTTAGACTCTTATCAGTCATAATTTGTCAGTTCGGGATATAAAGGAAAACAATACTACCTAAAGCTGCAATGTATTGTAAAAGACAAAGTATATTCAGCTAAAACCCAGCAAAGCAAATGATAGGGATGATAGCAGTTGTGGTTCAGAATATCTAAACTTCTAAAGGGAACTAGGTTGGGGACGGTTGGCAGAACTGAAAATACGGCTTGCAAAATGTAGGAAAAGATTCTTATTTCCTCTAATTACTAAAGAAGGCATAAGTGAAATGGTAAGTCTGAAAATGGGATGGTGCAGCCCCACTTGGACTGATTAGCATAGCTTCTTGGGCCCTCCAGGGACTCAGCCAGATTGGTAAAGAAAAAGCATTTTATATGTGTTGTATATGCAATATAACACTGTGACACCAGATGGCGCTGTGGAGTCCTGTCTTTCCCTACCAGATTTCCCTGTACAGTGGTACCTCGGGTTACATACGCTTCAGGTTACACACTCCGCTAACCCAGAAATAGTGCTTCAGGTTAAGAACTTTGCTTCAGGATGAGAACAGAAATCGTGCTCCGGCGGCGCGGCAGCAGCAGGAGGCCCCATTAGATAAAGTAGTGCTTCAGGTTAAGAACAGTTTCAGGTTAAGTACGGACCTCCAAAACGAATTAAGTACTTAATCCAATGTACCACTATATGGGCTTACAAAGCATTTAACTGACTCACTTCTTTGACGTATCTAGATCCAGCCCAACTTATTCACATGGCTTTTATTTCCCAGTGATGACCATCACAAGAATTTCAATAGGCATGTCATTTTAATCCATTTCATCTTCCTATGCCCTGTACCTAAGAAGAAGTACTAGAAGCAAAACCATTTTGCCCTAGCTATTTTTCAGAACGGCACATGTTGGGAAAGTCTGTTGCGAACAGTAGCCACAAATAATGAACCAACACTGAATATTTGCTTAACTTGTCCAAGGTAGGAAGTGTGATGGATGGCATATTTCACACTGACAGTCTCAGAAAAACCCCACAGGTTATTGTCAGTGCTTCCACCTTTACCTCCTTTGCTTTCACAGCATGTTTTAAAGAAAATGCAGGAAACAGAAAACATTCGTAGCTCTGCTCTTTGTGTCCCTTCGCAATCCTGACATGATCACGTGCAGCATCACAAGCCCTTTCTTTAAGTATCTGTCTTGCCCCCTTCCTCACCTTGAACAATAAATTAAAATATATAAACACCAAATAAAATATAAAAACAATTTGGAGCAAGAAATTTCATATATGAGCTTTTATTCCTTTATTTTAATAATTCACCTTGTCAGCAATCATTGTTCAATTTATGGACAATTCATTACTTCAATAGGGCACCGCTGCTGTGTATTTCTCCAAGCATCATTTTAACCAATTCTATACCCTGATCAAGGGACGCGGGTGGCGCTGTGGGTAAAACCTCAGTGCCTAGGACTTGCCGATCGCATGGTCGGCGGTTCGAATCCCTGCGGCGGGATGAGCTCCTGTCGTTCGGTCCCAGCTCCTGCCCACCTAGCAGTTCGAAAGCACCCTTAAGTGCAAGTAGATAAATAGGTACCGCTTTATAGCAGGAAGGTAAACGGCGTTTCCGTGTGCTGCTCTGGTGCCGGTTTGCCAGAGCAGCTTCGTCACGCTGGCCACGTGACACGGAAGTGTCTGCGGACAGCGCTGGCTCCCGGCCTCTAGAGTGAGATGCGCGCACAACCCTAGAGTCTGTCAAGACTGGCCCGTACGGGCAGGGGTACTTTTACCTTTTATACCCTGATCATATGCATGTTTACTCAGAAGGAAGTCCCATGAAATCAATGAGATGCACTCCCAAATTGGTGTAAGATTTAGGCTGCTATCTTATGTACTTACTTCAGAGCAAGTTTCACTGAAGCATGAGGTTTACTTCCAAGTAAACATACACAGAATTGCATTTTACAGGAGCAATAAATGCTTTTTATCTCTATCAGCTGGATGACACTTTTCATACCAGCTGCCAACTTGGCTGCTTAGCCAGCTGTACTGCTCTAGCAGACCAGGCTACGAAACAGGAAAACCCCAGTTCATGGGGTTCATGATTTGCTAAATCAGACCAAAGGTCCATATACTCCTATTTCCCACAGTAACCCACCAGGATGAGCCTCAAATAGCTAACAACAGATACTTCACTCAAGATTAGACCTTCACTCCCCTTGGAAATGCTAACTTACTTTTCATGAACTTTCAGCTCAAGCATGTGTAGCTGTCTACTGTAAGCTAAGCCTCAACTCTTGTACAGTATATGCCTATGGAGATATATAGACAAATGAGCAAGTGCTCACTCCTCCAAAAAAAACCAAGCAAAACCAAGTAGCAGGAGAGTCACAAAGTACTTATAGTCTGAGTAGACTGTTCACCTCTGGAGAATTTTGCATAATGAAATAGAAAAGTCGTAAGAGGAAAGCTTCCTTGCACCACCACCCAACTCTGAGTTGTACCTGGAGAATAACCTTTATTTATAAAATGGGTGGTTTTGGTGGAGATCAAGACACACAGACCTGCCACTCTTGACTTGAGAGAAACCCTATTATCTCAGACTTCTGAATACTTACTGGCCTAGTCACCTATAACAAACAGGAACTCCCTCAAGGCGACCAGGCAGAGAGGAGAAAAGAGAGGCTGAGAGGAGGAAGAGAAGTGACCAAAGACTAATAAAACACGTTTACAGGCTACCAAGATGAGGGGGCTTTCTTTACAACACTTCCTTGGCCCTCTTCTCAACACACCTTGCTTTATCTTGCAGCCTGCTCTTTCTTAGTGACACACTTATTATTATTATTATTCCTCAGTAAAGCGTGGAGACGAGGGTCGTGGGTTCAAGTCCCATGCTGGGTCAAAGCCCAGGGGGTTGGGCTAGATGACCCTTGGGACCCCTTCCTTCCCAACTACGATTCTAAGAATGAAAGCAAACCATGTCAGGTTCGTCTGACGTGTTCCCCCCCACCTTTTCACAGACTACGAGACCCATGAACACGGAGACTCGTTTGACGCAGGTTCTCTCCTTCCTTGAGGTTTTTAAGCAAGGGTTGGATGGCCGCCTGCCAGGAACAACTTGAGTTGAGATTCCTGAGTTGCTGGGGGGTTGGGCTAGATGACCCTTGGGACCCCTTCCTTCCCAACTATGATTCTAAGAACGAAAGCAAACCATGTCAGGTTCGTCTGACATGCTCCCACCCCTTTTTTCACGAACTACGAGACCCATGAACACAGAGACTCGTTTGACGCAGGTTCTCTCCTTCCTCGGACGTTTTTAAGGGTTGAATGGCCGCCTGCCAAGAACGACTTGAGATTCCTGCGTTGCAGGGGGGTTGGGCTAGATGACCCTCGGGGTCCCTTCCCAACCCTAATAGCCGCTGAAAGAACCATAAGGAGAAGCCGGGCTCGGGCCTCGCTTTTCCTCCCAACCTCGGCAGGAAGGCTTGGGTGACAAGCGAAGAAAGCGCCGCCACTTCTTCCCTGACAGGGCGGCCTGCCCGGGGGCGGAACAAGGCGGGGCCCCCGCTCCCTCCCGCCGCCGCCGCTCTTACCCGAGGCGCCGCTTCTCCTCCCTGCCCATGGCCTGCGCGGCCGGGGCTGCCGCCAGCACCGAGGACGCGGAGAGGAGGCCCAAGGCCAGCAGTTTCCAGCCAGCCCAGCGGCCTGCAGAGTCGCCGCCGCCGCCGCCTCCTCCTCCTCCGCCGTCGCTCCTTCCCTGGCCGCCAACCGCTACTCCGCTCATGGCGGCAGCTGCCTCGCTAGGCCCGGCTCTGTGCCATCCCCTCAGCGCTGGTGCTGCTGCTGCTGCTGCTGCCGCCGCCGCCGCGACATAAGAAGGGACCGGCCCTTTTTTCCCTCCCCCCCTCCCGCCCTTCTCCGTCGTAGCCAAGGAAACCGAGATCCGGCCTCTAGCCCGCTTCCGGGTTTTCCTTTCCGGCCACGTGACCCTCGCGCCGCTCGCCAGCCAGTGGGGAGGGAGGGTTCGTGTCACGTGGCGGCCGAGCCAACGCGCTCCCGGATGCACAGACGTGGCCCCGGCGCGCGGTTGCGCGCGCAAGGGACGCAGGCGCCTCTTTTCACGGCCCCGCCCCCGGGCTTGGACGTGACATGTCACGTGCGGAGATTTTAAAAAAAGGGAAGAGTAGCCGGTCCTTATTGTCCTGAGTGGGACTTGCGAGGCGCGTTTGCAGCGTTTCCCTCGGGGCGGATATCAATAGATGGAAAGAATTGTAGAGTTGGCTATAATTAAATAAATGGGATTTAGAATGTTAAGAAAAGTGAATAAGATGGACTATAATTGGAAATTGTTTTAGTTTAATAATGATATTGGAAAGCTGTTACTTTTAATTACAAGGAAACTCAGAAGGGAGGGATTTGAGGAAGTCAACCAAGATGTTTAAAAGGTTGGAATTGTGAAGAATTAAGTTTGTTGTTATTGTTTATCGCTCCCTCCCCCCCTTTTCTTTTTCTGTTTTTGTGTATCATTTTGCTTTGTGGTTAGATTGTGGAAAATCTAATAAAAATTATTTTTTAAAAAAAAGAATTGTAGATTTGGAAAGGACCCTTTGTTGTTTAGTCGTGTCCGACTCTTCGTGTCCCCATGGACCAGAGCATGCCAGGCACTCCTGTCTTCCACTGCCTCCCGCAGTTTGGTCAGACTCATGTTTGTAGCTTCGAGAACACTGTCCCACCATCGCGTCCTCTGTCGTCCCCTTCTCCTTGTGCCCTCCATCTTTCCCAACATCAGGGTCTTTTCCAGGGAGTCTTCTCTTCTCATGAGGTGGCCAAAGTATTGGAGCCTCAGCTTCAGGATCTGTCCTTCCAGTGAGCACTCAGGGCTGATTTCCTTCTTCTTGCAGTCCATGGGACTCTCAAGAGTCTCCTCCAGCACCATAATTCAAAAGCATCAATTCTTCGGCGATCAGCCTTCTTGATGGTCCAGCTCTCACTTCCATACATCACTACTGGGAAAACCATGGCTTTAACTATAAGGACCTTGGTCGGCAAGGTGACGTCTCTGCTTTTTAAGATGGTTTATAGGTTTGTCATGGGACGCAGGTGGTGCTGTGGTCTAAACCACAGAGCCTAGGACTTGCCAATCAGAAGGCTGGTGGTTCGAATCCCCACGACGGGGTGAGCTCCCGTTGCTCGGTCCCTGCTCTTGCCAAACTAGCAGTTCAAAAACACATCAAAGTACAAGTAGATAAATAGGTACCGCTCCGGCAGGAAGGTAAACGGCATTTCCGTGCGCTGCTCTGGTTTGCCAGAAGCGGCTTAGTCATGCTGGCCACATGACCCAGAAGCTGTACGCCGGCTCCCTCGGCCACTAAAGCGAGATGAGCGCCGCAAGCCCAGAGTCGGCCACGACTGGACCTAATGGTCAGGAGTCCCTTTACCTTTAGGTTTGTCATTGCTTTTCTCCCAAAAAGCAGGCGTCTTTTAATTTCATGACTGCTGTCACCATCTGCAGTGATCATGGAACCCAAGAAAGTAAAATCTCTCACTGCCTCAATTTCTTCCCCTTCTATTTGCCACGAAGTGATGGGACCAGTGGCCATGATCTTAGTTATTTTGATGTTGAGCTTCAGACCATATTTTGCACTCTCCTCTTTCACCCTCCTCCTCACTTTCTGCCATCAAGGTTGTGTCATCTGCATATCTGAGGTTGTTGATATTTCTTCTGCCAATCTTAATTCCAGTTTGGGATTCATCCAGGTCATCTAGTCCAACCCCTGCAATGCAGGAATCCCATGCCCAACATGGGGCTCCCACAACCCTGAGATTAAGAGCCTCATGCTCTACAGACTTGAACTATCCACACAGGACTCTCCTCCCTTGAGGTTTTAAAGCAGAGGTTTGGATGGCCATCTGTCATGGTCCATGGACGATTTAGTTGAGATTCCTGCCTTACAGAGGGGGCTGGACTAGATGACCCTCGGGTCCCCCACAGAAACAACAGTAGTAGCAGAGAGGGGGGAAATTAATGCTCTTTCTAACTCGGGACTTATTTGATATCGATATTATTCAGATTTTATATTTAATAGCCCCCTGATACTAGTTCTTTTTTCCTCTCTTATCTATTTTTTTTAACAAGCAATATTCTCCCCAGAAGGGAGGTGCACTGTTCCTGGAGGTACAGTCATATCTCGGGTTACAGATGCTTCAGGTTGCGTTTTTTCGGGTTACGGACCGCTGAAACTCAGAGGTACCAGAACGGGTTACTTCTGGGTTTTGGTGGTCACGCATGCGCAGAAGCGCCGAATCGCAACCCGTGCATGCGCAGAAGTGCCGCTGCGGGTTGCAAACGTGCATCCCACACCGATCACGTTCACAACCCGAGAGTCCACTGTACTGCAATACCAGGTCTATGCATGGAGTGGATGGATCAAGTCCCTATTCCATCTCCCAGCTCCAAAAAGACATTTAATATATAGTCCTCAAATACAGGACATATCAGGTATTAAACTGATAAGAACAGATACTACACTTGATATTAGCCAAAAGGCCGAGACGAGATGTTTGATACTAGTTCTCAGCGCTACGCTATTTTGTTCTCATGATATTGCAAGGTTTGGGTGTAAACATCACAAAGTTTGGGTGACTTGAGAGGGTGGTTTGCAGCAGCCTTGGGATGTAGTCTGTTGTTGATATTGCAGGCTAGGGTTCAGAACAAGGCCGGTTTGCAAAAAATATCTGCCCCCTCGCCATGCAAATCCACCATCAAGCTACAGCAATTGCTCAGTTCTGCAACATTCCTTCTTCAGCCACTCTCAGAGCACCAATCCAGGATTCAGTTGCAAACTACTGCTCTACTCACATTCATGAAAACCAATTGCATTTCTTTTTTACACAACTAAGATTAGTTAGAATGACTAAAAACTCCTGCATTTATTATTTACTCGATGACAACTATGGTAGTTTTGCAAATTGAGGTTGGAAGTCGACATCAATCAATTCCAGCTGCTGCGTTTGTAAAGTGATCTTCAAATACGCAAATTTTAGTATCTGGAACGACAGTTTGAATGTCTTGATCGCATTGAGTAGTCATTATGAATTATTAGGTGCAAATTTTATGATAGAGAACACCAGAATATGAGAGAAGCGCCTTCTAGCATAGTAAGGCAGGAATGGGGTTGTGGGTGAGCAATTTGTAGACTGCTCTGGACTGTTCAAACTGTCAATTTTGACCATGACTAAGGGCAGACATTTAATTTTCACCCAAAAATATTAGGACTTTTGGAGCACGACCTTTCTAAAAAGTATATGACAATATGAAGAAATTATGTGACAGATCTAACATTCCTCATACGTACCAAATCACATTTTAAAGAAAAGACGCAATGGAAGAGATAATAATATTTTATTTTGGCTTAAGTACTTGAGAAATGTTAAAAACATTACACTGTGTTTCATAATTTATCTCTTCAGAAGAGTTAATCAAATGAAATAAAGAACCTACATAAAAACCCTGACACCTGGGACATCCTGCCCATGGGAAAACAATTCTTTACACATGAAGCTATTACATATTACCTTTTGGTTTGAATTTTTCTTAGAAAGTCAGCTTCTGAATTAGCAAAACTGGGAGGGGGGGCACAACTTAAAATACGAGTTGGTTAAACAGATTAAACAGAAGAATTAAGGATTTGCCTTTTTAAGGCTGCAGTGCAAGATGTGCTTCATTAGGAGGAGGAAGCATGCCCAACCAAAACAAGTGGGACTCGTTTCCAAAGAAACAGGGTTAGGATTTGATTACAAAATAAGCTTTATAGAGCTCCAGTTCCTGAAACCGAACAGGGAAAGCAGAATGACAGCATGTATTGTACACATCATCGTAAGCCAGAAACCAAAGCTTATTGTGAGCAAGCAGTATTCTGGTGCATAACTGCGTGGTCACTCCTGATTTCCTCCTCCTCTACTGTAAGCTACAAGGCATGTTCTTTGGAGTACTGTGATTCCCAAGCCTGGAACTGTGACTTGTTTACAGAGAAAGAAAACCACAATCCCACGCCTTACTTTCTGGAAGAGGACACTCTGCAAATGTGGGGAAATGGAGTAATATAGCCATAGATATAAAATATCTCCAAAAATCATTTCATTTGTTAATACTTTTTGAATAGTAAAGCAATGGAATGCAGAAACAAAATTACAGGTGTATGCAATTCAAGCATATTTAGGCAGCTCGCAAACGTCTGCTAAGAGATCAAGGATTCCTAATATTTAAGGCTGCCATCCTATGCCCACTTGCCTGAAAAGAAATCTGGCTGAAATTGCTTTTCTGAGGACAACTGTCAAAGTTTCTAGTTCTCAGGATAAAAGTGATAAAATGTGGTGTATGATAAAATGTGGCGTCCATCGTTTTAAACCCTCACTGAAATGCTCAACTTTCATTCTTTTCAAATCCAGATATAAAGGTTCTCCAAGACGATGGCTTTTCAGATTTCTCATATGTGATGCGAATGTCAAATATACCGTACACTAACTTATATTTTCACCAATGATAGCTTTCATCTCTGTTCAAGATACGCAAAATCAATTAAATGCCATTAAAATATACAAATTAACTCCAGTCCGCCTTATGACACATTTGCAATATGGTTCTTGGGGTTGTTTTTCGGTTTTTTTACCAACTCTTTGCACTTGTGGGTCTACCGCTCTTCAACTGAAGTAACTTTTTAATGTCCCCTTGAATTAATCTACTGGTGTTGCCTATGTCAAATACAGACAATTCAGAGCTAGTTCCACCAGGTCCTGTTATTTTATTTTATTCTTGCATCACGGTAGCGATGCCAAACTTTCCAGTGGGTGTATCAAAGACTAAGAGAGTACCACACATCTGACACAAGGTTTCTGTGCCACTCTGACCCTCTGCCCTTGCCAGGCCCTCCTAATTCTCTCCAGGCATGTTACAGGATCCCTTTGCCTATGCCACTTGAGGCAAAACACCCCCCCACACACAATTTTGGGCATATTTACTTGGCAAAAAAGAATCACTAAAAAGATGTTAACGATGTACGTTTCTGAATCTATGCTAAGGATGAAATCAGCTTCATAGGTGCTACCTCTTAATTTAGGACCTTTGTTCTGGTGTATTATTTGTTATACAGATAGACTACATTTTCACCTTGGTTTTAAACAGCTGAACTGGCATATTTAACCACAAAACTTTGAGTCTGAGAGACAACTGCAACCTGTCCCTGCTTCTTGGATATCCCAGGACCTCTCCCTGGATTTTCAACTTGACTTTTTTTATTTAAAAAAAATTAAAAGTGTAAATCTCCAGACCTTTTATTTATAGAGGTACAAGAAAAAATGTGCACGCCATTTTCTACTCAATTGCTCATTTAAAAAAGAAGCTTGCTTCTGGCTTCCAGCATTGTGACCAATAAGAGCAAAGGCATTTATTGGGGTGATCTGACCTCGTGCACATTTTCCATGTCTAAAAGGATCGGAATAAATTATGTAATGTAACAAATATGCAAATCTCCTTATTTTGCATAATATATGCATTTTTCATAATGCTGCTCTTCTTGGTATAGAACGTAGACTGTTCAGACAGAAATTGGCTTATTTTTGTTTTTTTTAATGGTCCTGGCGAAAGCACCTAGCTGTAGACACGGGTTACAAGTTGCTGTAAACATCTGTCATTTTCTTTGGAAAGAAGGTATAAAGTGCTCTGCAAAAGGTGCAGAAGAATAGGATAGAGAAACCTGCCCCAACTATTCTAGCAGTTTTAAATATAGCAACCACAGCAATGAGGAATGGAATCAGACCACTCCACTGTCAAAGTATCTGCCAAATGGGGGGTGGGGGTGGGAAATCTGCCAAAGCTTTTAAATACAGATGCAATCGTTCAGCTATATCAAAGGTCAAAACTACATGCACAACTATGTTGTGCAAGACTCCAATAAGCAAATCGTTTCACCCCATCATTTGAGATTTCCCAGCGTTTTCTTCTTGGCATGTTTCATGCAGATTTTTACTCTCCCCCAATGGTTACTTGATTTTACCAGGTCCTTGTAAGTTCTACTGACCCTTGGCTACAAGTCTCATTCCTGTGAGTGGGTCATGGGCCTCAATGAATATATTCTCAGTTTTAAAGCAATTTCAAACGTTTAATGAGTTCTGTCGCTGACAGGTCACTCAAGTCTTCACCACGTTGGTGAGAGCAAGTAGTCTTTGGAGGCCAGCTTCCAAGTTGTGGGTACGAACGACGAACAAGAAGTAGTAAGTGGCAAAGGAAAGATGATTCAGACTATCAGCATTCTCAAGGAGCTGGAGATTCAACATGTAAGAGTGCTCTCGAATAGGATTTGAGAGTTTGAATAGACCGCTCTCTTCTAATTTTAAGGGTACTCTGATCATAAACCCTGCAAGGAGGGGCTTTAGATAGCCAAGATAACCTTTTTCATTTCTCAGACTGTGGCTCAGGACAGTTGCCCCCAGTATCTCCCCTTCTGTCTTTTCCCCCTTCGACTGCATCTTCTGCACTTGGCAAAGGCACACTCGCTTGCTTCAAATCTTCCTCCTGAGCAGAGCTGAAGCCTTTGGCGTCTAAATTCACTGACACCTCCGCATCGCTACCTTCAGTCTCTTTGGCTTCTGGAGAAACTGGCAGATTGATTGAGGCTATTGCCAACTTTGCAATATTCAGAATGGACTCCTGTGCTTCAGCAGAGCAGCCCGGGAAGGAGAGAGAATCCACTTTGGTCAGAACAGAATGAAGAGAGGGGACTTCTGTTTCCGGAAAGTCAGATCTTGGATCTTCAACATAATGCCCTGTTTGGAAATGGTCATCCACTGGGACTGACTGAAGAGAAGGAAGCTCTTCTCTTTCCTGGTCATGCTTTCTAATTTCAGCATGTTGTTCTACCTGTGACTTCTCTTCTATAGGGACATGAGGAAGAAGGGAGGGGTCTCCTTCCCCCTGGCCAGATTTTCCACTTTCAGTATCTGGCTTTGTTTGAGATTGGTGATCAGGGATGTCACTCTTCTCATCGGTGTACCATACGCTGATCTTTGTCTCAGACTCTGCCCCTGGGCTAAGACCTGGTTCTTCACACACCATGGAAGGATCTGGGTGAGTAATGTAGCGTCCTTCCCCAGAGACACTTGTCACGTTTATATAGTCCCCTTCCTCACTGGGTGGAAGGGAAATTCTTGTCACATTTATATAATCCCCTTCTTCACTGGATGGTAGAGAAATTCTTGTCACGTTTATATAATCTCCTTCTTCACTGGGTGGAAGAGAAATTCGTGCCACGTTTATATGACCACTTTCTTCACTGGGTGGAAAAGAAATAGCTGTTGTGTTTGTATCAGCAGCTTCTGTGCTGGGTGGAAAACGTTCTTCAGAAGGTTCATGCAACTCATCCGTTTGGCATTCCTCTACGTTCCTTTCCTCTTCCTTATCCTTCGCTTCTGCAGGTTCCTGTGGCGTTAGAAGCCCACCTTCATGAACTTGTTCCTTCTTCTCGGACGGAGGATCTGCTGGCAGTTCAATAGTCACAGTGAGCAATCTTCTTATTTCATCCACACCTCCAAGAACTGGAAGATTTTCCTCTTCCTCGGGTACCTTATTTTCACTTTCTGTGCTTCTACCCAAACCTGATTCTACCACAGTGGGAAGCTGTGGGTCCACCTTCTCTTCCCTTCCTCCAGTAGGAATGCTAGATAGAGTACTGGAAATCTCTTCACTTTTGTTCCTAGCCTCGTGGCATCCATCCTGAGCCATTTTTTCCAGGGCGAACACTTCATTACTCTGAGCGTCAGTAGCCAATGTCTCTATCAAGCTGGCGGAAGGCTTCCTAGCTGGGCTGGCTTGCGCTGATCCCGAAGGGGTCTTTAGATCACTCAGACTGGAAACACTTTCACAAGGCAAGTGCACTTCCTCATAAAGGTTATGTTTCTTCAAGTGGGCAGCCTCTTTTATCACTAAGCAGGAAATAAACAAAAAAGTGGGGAGAAAAGAAATTCAGCCAAAGGATGTGTAAGGGTGGAGAGGAAAGCAGGAAAATGACACACAATCCCAGAAAACCCAGGAGGTGGGGATTGTCCCTTCCCAAATAAATTGTTGATTTGCTGGGTTTCTGTCCTTGAATCCCACTCGTGAATAAGCTTGGCTAAGTCTAGAGGGCAGAGGGGACTGGCAAGACCAGAGGTAAGGGGGCAAGAAACACAAAGGCTCTTGCTGGATGTGGTTGCGAGAAATAGGTCAGGGACATGGGCTTGGTGGCATCAAGAGCTGGGTGGGTGAACCAAGGGGGCAGGTATTGGCTGGGTGATAAGGCATGGCTTCAGGAGCCTAGACTGTCTTCACCCCCACCCCCTGAAAAGTTCAGCCTGTTAGGGGGAAGATTAAGGGTCTGGAAGACATCTTAGAAGATGGAGCAGAGTCGTTCTGTGTTGCTCCAGAGGGCAGGAGTAGAACCAATGGGTAAAAATGACAGGAATCAAGATTTCAGCTAAAGATTAGGATAAATTTTATAATAGCGAGAACTGCTCAGCAGTAGGGCAGACCATCCAACCCTGTAAAAGCTTTGAGGGTGGTTTTTTTTGGGTGTGTGGAACCCGTAGAGTCAGTAAACATCTAAGGAAGACCACCATCTAAGAAGAAACTAAATGGGTAAAGCCAAACTTACTATCTTGAAAGCGGCTGCCAGTTTCTTACTTTGTGGGATTATTATCGTTTTGTCACAGAAAGCGAAGTTACCTTTGAGGGCTTCGTCGAGCAAAGTTTGCAGCAAAATCTCTTCGTAGACGTTTTCGACTTGGATCACGTTGTTGTGCTCGGCAAAAATGAACTGCTCGTATTTCTGGAGCTCCTGTGTGGTAAGACACAATGTCAAGAGGATTAAAAAGAACCACGTTCCGACTGCAGAAAATTGGAGTTCTTCCTGCATGTGTGAAAGAGGCCCAAGCCAGCTGTGTGCCAAAAGAAATTTCAGAAGGAGCGGGGTGGGGGTGGGGATTTGCAGGAAACAGTGAGCAAGCCAAGGGAGCAGAGTTCTTTCCAACGAGGCAAGAAACCCAGAGCACTGGCTCAAGTTTGAGAGGAAAGAAAAAGGAAGAGCTGTTATCATTTGGCAAATAAAGCAAACAAAACGGACAGAATCCCTAGACTAGCTCAAGAACATAACCTGGATATAAGGTAAAGGTAAAGGGACCCCTGACCATTAGGTCCAGTCGTGACCGACTCTGGGGTTGCGGCGCTCATCTCGCTTTCAGGCCGAGGGAGCCGGCATACAGCTTCCGGGTCATGTGGCCAGCAGGACTAAGCCGCTTCTGGCGAACCAGAGCAGTGCATGGAAATGCCGTTTACCTTCCCGCCGGAGCGGTACCTATTTATCTACTTGCACTTTGACGTGCTTTCGAACTGCTAGTTTGGCAGGAGCAGGGACTGAGCAACGGGAGCTCACCCCGTCGCAGGGATTCGAACCGCTGACCTTCTGATCGGCAAGTCCTAGGCTCTGTGGTTTAACCCACAGCGCCACCCGCGTCCCTCAGCTTGGAGATAAGTCTGTACTAATAACTACTCTCTCCATCTCTCTTATCGGCTGCTTTCATGCCTCCTTTGTAAAGACAGCTACTCCATCTGCATATATTTCTTACCATTTTTGCTGTAAGGACCAATACTGGCAGAATTCAGCTGATGGCTGACCAAATTTATTGGTTGATAACATGGTAGATAGATAATGTAAGAAGTTTTATAATTTCCTAACATGCAGAGAATAATATGTGCTGAGAAATCAGAGAGAGGAGCTGAGGATAGTCTCGGGGGGGGGGGAGGGTTCGAAGGGGGGGGGAATAATGAATATGATATGTTTTGATAATTTGTTATGTTGAAATTGCTAATAAGAACATTTTTTAAAAAAGAATTCAGCTGATGGCTCCACAAGGGGAAACGACAGGCATTTCCTGCCCCCCCCGCCCCCTCGCCAAGCTGTATACTTGCTGCAAATTAGACACATCCACTGTGCACACATTCTCCTTCACAAAGACTATTATCTATGTGTGGGGCATGGAATATGCGAAACAGCAGCTAACTAAGGAAAGACCTTGTTATGTACTGAGTGGAATAGGATTCAGAATGCAGCAGTCTGATTGGTCCTAGAACAATAGGATCCAGAATGCAGCAGTCTGATTTGTCCACAGGAGCCTCCCAATCCAGGTCCAGGTGGAAGTGAATCCGCTACCTGATTGGCCTACAGGTGAATCCCGGAATCAGCCAATCACGTGGGGCCCATTGTGTAAATAATGTACCGTATTTTTCGCCTTTTAGGATGCACTTTTCCCCCTCCAAAAATGAAGGGGAAATGTGTGTGCGTCCTATGGGGCGAATGCAGGCTTTCGCTGAAGCCTGGAGAGCGAGAGGGGTCGGTGCGCTCTCCAGGCTTCAGGAAGCTATCCGCAAGCCTTGGGAGCTCGGCGGGAGTGCCTGCCGGGCTCCCAAGGCTTGCAGACAGCAGCCTGCAGCCCGAAACCCGGGGAACGCAGCGGGGCGCGCCCCGGGCTTCGGGCAGATATCCGCAAGCCTGGAGAGCCAAGGCTTGCGGATAGCAGCCTGTTCTCCCGGACCCGTTCTGGGGTCGGGGGTAGGGGGAAGCCCAAGCTTCCCCCGCCCCCAGCCCCGGAAGCTCCGGGAGCGATGGCAAGGTTGAGCGCCACCTCACCTTCGCTCCCGGACCCCCAGCCCCGAGGCTAAAAACGAAGCCAGGACAGCAAGTGGGATCCACCCCACTCACTGTCATGGCTTCTTTGCTCTTTGGGGCTTGGGGGGGGATTTTTTTATTATTATTATTCCCCCCCCAAAAAAAATAAGTGCGCCCTATGAGCCAGTGTGCCCATACGGTATATAAAGCAGACATTCTGGCGGAACTTCCATCCCTCCTCACCACTATGAGCTGAGTAAAGAGCATGAAATCCACTCTCAACTCCGAGTATATTTCAGACCTGTTGAAAAGTAAAAATCATAGAGTTGTAGAGTTGGAAGGGACCCCACCCCAAGGGTTACCTAGGGGAGTCCCCTGCAATGCAGGAATCCCATGCCCAAGGTGGGGCTCAAACCCACAACCCTGAGATTAAGAGTCTCGTGCTCTGCTGACTGAGCTATCAAGCCACCTTGTGGGCTAGCAGTGTTGTGCAGCAGGCTGCCTCTTTTAAAAACCTTTCACAGAACTTATTTCAAGAAGGGCAATGGAGCTTATTTCAAGTAGTTGTTCTGGCATTGCTGGGGGTTGGACTAGATGACCCTCGGTGCCCCCTTCCAACTCTAAAATTCTATGATTTTATATGTGCTTCTTGTGCCTCCTGCTTTCACGAAATCAGATCTTATGCACCCCTCCATGCAAAGGAGATTGGAAAATGCAAGGAAGAGGAAATGCAAATGAATCAATTTTCCGTGCTGCCCATAGCTTATCATTATGACCAAAATGGCTCATATCTATGTGTGTATGATATTATCCTTTCATATGGCTTCATCTATGTCTAGATCAGTGAAGATTCCCACCTCCAACGAACCATGGATCAATCACTACGTCTTCCAAAGTTGGTGCAGTTTGGTCACAGAATATGTAAAAGGGAAAAGGGAATGGACCCCTGGACAGTTAGGTCCACTCAAAGGCGACTATGGGGTGCAAAGATCCTTCTCCTATTGTGTGGGCAGGGTGGTCCCTCCCCCTACCTGGCCTGATCACCTTGGCAACGCCTCCTCAGGTCGGATTGGGCAACTGGCTGAGGTAGGCGGAGACCTCCAGGTATCTCACCTGGGGAAGGCAAAGCCAAGCCTGTGCCAATGTTGCCGCATAGGGTCCCAGGGGCTGCGCGTGACCACGCAAAGGGCGCCCCCCATTTAATGTGGGGAGCGGTCATTGTGCATGTTTTGAGTGTGCAAGAGGAACAAAGCTAGCGCTCTCTTCATAGTCCTCACACCTAGTGAAACAAGATGCTGTCTGCAATTCTTGTATTTTCTGTGTAGCTTCAAGGCCATTACACATTGGTACCTGCCCACTCCCAGACACTGCCACAGATTTCAGAAATCCACATTTTTTAGTATCCACTTTTAGCCCAAATGTGCAAAAGTTTACCACATATTTGGTGTATGCAATTTTATCCAAATAAGTACTACAAAGAAAGTAAGGTAAACCCTGGATGGTTAAGTCCAGTCAAAGGCGACTATGGGATTGCAGCATTCATCTCACTTTCAGGCCGAGGGAGCCGGCGTTTGTCCATAGACAGCGTTCCAGGTCATGTGGCCAGCAGAACTAAACCGCTTTTGGCTCAACGGGACACCATGATGGAAACCAGAGCGCACGGAAACGCCGTTTACCTTCCCGCTGCAGTGGTACCTATTTATCTACTTGCACTGGTTGTAGCTAGGTTGGCAGAAGCTGGGACAGAGCAACGGGAGCTCAGCACATCACGGGGATTCAAACCGCCGACCTTCTGATCGGCAAGCCCAAGAGGCTCAGTGGTTTAGCGCACAGCGCCACCTGTGTTTATAGCTCCCGTGAGGCCACAGAATATAGAGGGTTGTCAAAATGTGAAACTCGTCTGCTTGTATGGCTGTGATCAGGAATACTGTTTGGGGTGTGGCGCACTTGCCCCTCTCCATCCTGCAAGCTGTTGTTGGCCAGTGCCAGACCACAAAAGTATCTTCCCACCCCGATCATTCTTCCGATTGCAACCCCTTGTGTTTTGTAATAGAAGTCATTGCCACAAATGCACATATTTTGTAATATTTTGAAAATTTCAATAAAGAAGGGGAAAGGGTATTGTCTGTATTTGAGAAACGCATCCTAAAGACAGAACATATTTCTTTGGCTCCAAGAGCAGGAAAGGAGGATGACCGAGGCTTCATAAGCCCATTCTGTGATTTAAAAGACATTGTAAAAATTTTTTTGGAGGATGGATGGCGGCTAACAGATTGAGGTTGAATCCTGACAAGACAAAAGTACTGTTTTTGGGGGACAGGAGGCAGGCAGGTGCGGAGGATTCCCTGGTCCTGAATGGGGTAACTGTGCCCCTGGAGGACCAGGTGCGCAGCCTGGGAGTCATTTTGGACTCACAGCTGTCCATGGAGGCGCAGGTCAAATCTGTGTCCAGGGCAGCTGTTTACCAGCTCCATCTGGTACGCAGGCTTAGACCCTACCTGCCCACAGACTGTCTCGCCAGAGTGGTGCATGTTCTGGTTATCTCCTGCTTGGACTACTGCAATGCGCTCTACATGGGGCTACCTTTGAAGGTGACCTGGAAACTACAACTAATCCAGAACACGGCAGCTAGACTGGTGACTGGGAGCGGCCGCCGAGACCATATAACACCGGTCTTGAAAGACCTACATTGGCTCCCAGTGATTCCGAGCACAATTCAAAGTGTTGGTGCTGACCTTTAAAGCCCTAAACGGCCTTGGTCCAGTATACCTAAAGGAGCGTCTCCACCCCCATCGTTCTACTCGGACACTGAGGTCCAGCTCTGAGGGCCTTCTGGTGGTTCCCTCACTGCGAGAAGCCAAGTTACAGGGAACCAGACAGAGGGCCTTCTCGGTAGTGGCGCCCTCCCTGTGAAACGCCCTCCCACCAGATGTCAAAGAGAACAACAACTACCAGACTTTTAGAAGATATCTGAAGGCAGCCCTGTTTAGAGAAGCTTTTAATGTTTGATGTATTACAGTATTTTAATATTTTTTTGGAAGCCACCCAGAGTGGCTGGGGAAGCCCAGCCAGATGGGCGGGGTATAAATAATAAATTATTATTATTATTATTATTAAAATGCCCATTCACAGTGATAAGCCCAGTAGCTTCAGTATGCAAATCCTTCCTCTCCTTTCAATTCAAACACAGGTATTGTAACTTACCGGCTTACACGTTGAAGCCAATGTCCGCTGAAGTGTGGGCAATGAGATTTGGACCAAGGCATCCTGAAATATCTTTTTCCGGGCGGTACTGCTGTCATAGTCATATTGCTGTCAATTTAAAAATAAATAAATAGAATCAGCTGCGAGATCTGAATGTGCTGGCAAACATCTCCCAGCTTTCTGCACAAAATCAAAGTAAACCCCATCCAAAATCAGTGCACAAAGGCAATCGTGGTTTCTTTTCAAACTGTTCCAGGAAGTCTTTGGAAACAGTTGCTTTAACGAAGTCCCTTCTTTTGTTCTTGCAAAGTATAATGTGCACAATCTATAAAATCCACATGTTAAATATAAATGTGTGTGTGTGTGTGTGTGTGTGTATAAGAAGTGAACACACACACCTCCTCAAAAGACTGCTTGTTCTATCACACATGACTCACTTATCATAAGTGTTATTAATAAAATAAGAAGCATCCGATGCATTTTTTATTACATTTATTCTACCTTCACACAGCAGCTCCTTACCAACGTTAAGAAATGGAAACACATGTCCAGGATATACATTAATAGAAATTTAAGGAATGTACCTTTTCTCCTAGGCTTCTGATAGACCAAGATGATAATTTATTTTTAAACTGTAAGTGTGCTGTCGTATCTTCCTGAGGCTGTTACTAGGGGGTTGCGGGAATTGCTCTGTGTGTGTGTGTGTGTGTGTGTGTGTATATATATATATATGTGTGTGTGTGTGTGTGTGTGTGTGTATGTATTAATCTGTGTTTTTGCATGGAGATGTTCATTTTTTAGTGTTTTGTGTTTTTCAAACATATGTTTGAAGCTGCTTGGAGACCTCCAGGTAACAAGCGTCGTGATACGGTGGTTCTCAAACTTTTTTTTTCTCAGGGCCACAATAAAAATTTGGTTTGCGCCATGCCAAATTTTTAACTGTTAACAAATACAATGGAAAACAAAAAGAAACAAGTCCCAGCAGTGCTTGATTTGTAACACAGAACACAACTACTTTATAATATGAGCATGTTTCTGAAAGTATTATGCTTGTCTGTTCCTAAGAGGGAGCACTGAAAGTATGAAACAATGCAACTACGTAAGACCATGATTCAGTCCCAAAATATATTATAAACAAGCCTGAAATGTTTAAATATCTCTTTGATTGTCCTTGTGTCTTCCCACCCCACTTGCCATCCTCTCCTGCCACACCCTTTTGCGAACCACTGGTCTAACAAGTCTAGATGTGGTGATATATATAATTATAATAGACACTACACCCCTAGATTTCCCTTGCAGAGGACGGGAATAAGTAAATAAACAGCATACCTTAAGAACACGGAGTTTGACTTTCTCAATGGCTGTTGACACTTTGGCCGCATCCCTATGATGGCTTAGACTCAGCAGGTGATCAAAGGTATATACAGCATTTTCCATAAGCTATAAACACATTGAGAGATAGAGGCCATAATTATTTGCCTACAAAATTCCGAGAGTCACCATGGTGAACCTATCAGTCGACATCAACCTCAAGGCACTTCTGACAACAGCACATCATCATCTTGGTTCTGTCAGAGACTCTACGGCTTAATTCAGGAGCCTTGTGGTCTGGGGATGGGATCTAGCCTGGTGATTATTATGAATCCTCTGTGAATCTTCTTCAGGCACAGAAGGGAACAGTGACATCTTCAGCGATGGGCAGGCAACATGAAGTCTTTGCATCAATCTGGTCTGATATACAGGTGAAACTCGGAAAATTAGAATATTGTGGAAAAGTTCATTTATTTCAGTAATTCAACTTAAAAGGTGAAACTAATATATGAGACAGACTCATGACATGCAATTGCAATCTCCTGGTAGATGGCCGCGTTGACCTTGGACTTAATGAAGCACAGTGGACCAACACCAGCTGATGACATGGCTCCCCAAATCTCTTTTCTGATGAGAGCAGCTTTTGCATCTCATTTGGAAACCAAGGACCCAGAATCTGGAGGAAGAATGGGGACGCACACAATGCCAGATGCTTCAAGTCCAATGTGAAGTTTCCACAGTCTGTGTTGATTTGGGGAGCCATTTCATCAGCTGGTGTTGGTCCAATGTGCTTCATTAAGTCCAGGGTCAACGCAGCTGTCTACCAGGAGATTTTGGAGCACTTCATGCTTCCTTCCGCAGATGAGCTTTATGGGGATGCTGATTTCATTTTCCAGCAGGACTTTGTCACCTGCCCACACTGCCAAAAGTACCAAAACCTGGTTCAGTGCCC